AAGACCCCCTCGACCCGATCATATATATAATATTCGGTTAATATACACACCTGTATTCATATTAATATTCTAGAATAGAAATGGAAATCGAGTTTATTTATTTTTTAGCAAGACAGAAATATTAATTTTAACAAAAACTCGACTCTAAATCTTTGAATTATATATATATAATGTGTGTGTGTGTGTGTGTGTATAATTATTATACATGGTTTTAAACATAATATACTTTTATAGTTGGACATTCTGTACTGTATAGTTGATATCAAATTATGATCGTACATGATGGGTTAAACAAGCGTATATTATTAAAATCAAATCTTTCATTTAGAAAAAATCGTTTTACTGTATAATATTAAAGTAGGTTTAATAGATACCTACGTATATTTTGAATGTTTTTGTTCGTTTAATACTTTGATAGTAATAATGGTTATATTTAAAATAAGTACAACACGCATATAAAATAAATTAATGCATTAAAGAGCGATAAAAAAAATAATGTTTATTAGCATCCAAATCAAGTAATAAAAAATATATTTTATTCACTCCATTAATACTAAAACTAGATTCTATCTGATATTATTAAATAACTATTTAAATTATAGTATAGCAATGACATAAAACAATAAAGTATTATAAAATATTACATTTTTGGTTCTATGATTAAAAGAAATTTATGAATACCAAGCCAAAAACATTATCAATATTATGTGGAATACCTTATACTTATTATCAATTATAATTTATCGTTTCATCTAATATTTATTTAATTCGTACAAAAGCAAAAAAAAAAAAACTGCTGAATCATAATATTATTGTACATATTTTTATCCTTGATCATAAATATGTTTCAAGTCAAAATCAAAAATTGATACCAAATATTTGAGTTGTATACTTGAATGTGTAACGAAAACCATAAAAGAATCTCTGTTATTTGGAAATAGCCATTTTCTCCAAAATATGATGTTATCGTTTATACGATATTATAGATGTCATAAATCGAGTGATCGATTTATACGAAAAATTTTAACAGAAAAAAAGGTCATAAAAGACAACAATAGAACTAATGAAATCGATTAGTCGAGATACCTGTGGAGAATGTAGACTGTAGTGTCGTAGAGAGTATCATTGACCATTAGACGAAACTATATTTTCATGTGCGCTTGTTTTGACTCTGGGAAAAGTCAACAACGTCGTTCTCAACATAATATCGTCAAATTTAATATACGTCGCCAGGCATATATTACAGCGTAGTATAAGAGTAATAATAAAATGAAATAATAATAATAATAATAAAACTATTTAAAGATCGCTTGGACACAATAGTGACGTTAGTTCCACTTGTGGACATTATGACGTAACAAACACGGGGTCTGCTGCAATATCAAGGGCGTGATCGATTTTTATGGCCGTGCCTGTGTGTGCGCATTCGTCCTTTCCGCGATTTAATGTAATCGTATTATAGCAACAAATGTGGTGGATCCATGTAACGAATTAGAAGAAAAAAAACTCGCACGAAACGCAAAAAAGAAATAAACACACTGCAGCTACTGTACAACAGTGATTAACGTCGATCTTCCGGACTGTCCAAATCAGGACGGACGAGAGGGTTCACTTTCGCTCGTCCGTATTTGGAAAAACGGGTCAAATTTCTACACACGAGCACACACATCTATACGTATACACACACATGAGACCGGCACTATCGCTTTTCGCGCTTGGGAATTATTTTTCAAACGTCATAATCGCGTACACGTAACGATCCATAATAGTGCTAATCGTTATTGTTTCACAAATCGACGGTATAAACATAATAATAATATCAGCAGATTTTTGCGCGGCCCCGCCGCAAGAAACGACTGAGTAAAGAAGATATACCACGCTTGTCTTTGCTGCGGAGTCGTTGCAATTTCTCTTTTCAGTCGTCGCATCAACACCGTGTTACACAACCGCGATTTATACGTCTGATTTTGGCCTTGAATATCGTACGTTTCATTATAATATTCATATCCTACGTACGATACATATCTAGACCATATAACATATTATATGATATACTTAGAATAACGCGACAAGCCACAATGCGCCACATTTTCACTGTGCGTTATTGTGTAGGTATATTATTATATATATATATAAATATAATATATTGTCTTTTTATCTGCACGTGTGTGTCAGTCTTTCGTCCGCGCTGCAGATGCGTAGAAATATAATCGTCGGCGGTAACGTTTTCACTATGTGACATTCACCCAGAAAAATTGAAATTATGTAATCTGCTGCAGCAGACGGTGGCGTCTTCGTGGGTGCATACTAATGTATTCTTTGAACGGGTCGCGAGCGCACTCTTGTGTGTGTGTGTGTGTGTGTACATATGCGAAACACTCGAAATAATAATGTTATTATTGCGTCCTTGGGCCGACTCGAGTTCCCATATAAGGGTAAGCTATAGCGGTTTCTCCGGTAACCCACGCCATGCCGGAGCGGACGACCTCATGATATTATGTCGTAATGTTGCATGAGAATATAATAATCGTACCGAACCCGCAAAGATTCCGTACGAAAGCTGTTGTGGATTCAGAGAACACTGGTGTAATCATGAAAATACAAATACCTACTAACTATAGGTATACCTAGTTGAAAATAGACGAGGGCGTCTGGAAAGCAATCATTATATCACGGTGCCTCTATATGAACTAGCCGTGCGTTTAAGTCACCAAATCCTATAATATTATAATACGTTCGGTGTTCTCAGAAAACTAAACATATTAAGTAGATATCTACATAAATGTATATGCCCACGAAAAATTTACCGTCTTCGTGATTTAACGTTACGGTACAGTCACGGGAAACCTTCTTACACATTATAACTATTACGACACGAAATTCCAAAATCGGAAAAAATAATCGATCAGTATTCAGTACGTTTGTTCACTGTACATTGCCTATTAACGGTCAAAGCCCAGTGCTCTCAGTAAATCTTTTTTCTTCGGTGTTTCCTGCATGCTATAACTGCAGTGTTACATATATATACAGTCCAACCGGACAGTGCTTGGTCATCGCTATGACCATCATGATTATCTGACAAAAAGTACTGGTTGATGTCTTTTTTTTTACGACTGTGGTGGACTGATGAGACTAATAAAAAAAAGTAATGTATAACGGTCACAATACGAATCGTGGTACAAGAATTCACTTACAGTTCCATTCAGTAATTTAATTCAATAGAAACTAATTTTTTCCATCGAAAGCGGCCAAAGACATTCGTCTTCTGTTTTGATTAGTTTTTAACAGTTCACAGCGCTTATAGTATGTGTGATGAATGGTGATCGATTGTTTCCACTACACTTTAAGATTAAAATATTGACATTTTCAACGATAGAGACGTGTACCTATACGGCAGATCACTATTATACAAATTTGATTTATTGAATTGAGTGTACATACTTTCTATGTGTATGAAGGTTTTTCTATGTTAACCTACAGTTAAATAAACAATTTCATAGTTATACAATCGTGTAGTATATTATGTAGTAGCTAGATGAGACCTAAAATGATTAGATAATGATGATACAGTACTATACGAATCAAATATAATATTATGATTATGATTATGATTATTCATATACACCACCACGTGTATGTACAAAGATGTAGATATATATTATTTTAGATTTACACGCGTGGATAAGACCGTGATACTGTCATTTATTTGAATGCGCATAATTTGCGTGAATATAATTTGGGGATAAAAAGAAACAGAAAACGCAATACAGTCATGGTGGGTAACCTAAGGTTAAGGGCATAGGAGTCTCGGATGGTTTCTTAGTAATTCATAACCTTGTAGTTAAAAGGAAGACGATATAACGACATCAGCTCAGATAATGGCTACTGCGTGAACCTAAACGAACCCAACAAACCATGTAATTGTTGATGGAGCGTTACGTTTTAGTCTGTACATCGTTGTTGATCCGGTGTTTTGAAAATTGACATTTTTCATAGTAAAAAAAAACAAACCAATTGTATCTTGCACAAAAATTGGAAAAACATTAGTTTTTAATTAATCATTATTTCTTTTATTTAAGAATATTACATGTATTATAACGTAATTACTCGTATTTATAGAAAAATGAAAATGTTCACACCACTATTATATTATAATACATGTGATATACATTATATTTTATTTTTCTGCAAAATAAATCAAATAAAATATTTTCTATATTAAAACAATTTTTTGTTTTATAAATGTACTGAGAAAATACACTATTTAATAGATCCATGAATTTATAATAGTATCAGTTAAACATGTATTTTTAAATATTATTCAATTTTAATTTTAAAATATAATTTATAACTGTCACACTGTAAGTTTTTGGTGGTTAGTATAAGCTATTTAGGTACGTGAATGTTACATTTATAAATTATATTATTATTGTAAATTTCATTGAATAGCATATACCAACTGCTACAGATCTCAGGGTTAACAGCACCACATGATATGTTTTTGTTTTGAAATATAGGGCACGTCATAGTCTTAGGCGATAATTATATCTAGTATTAAAAAATGATCATCAATAGTAACTAGTGAGCCAGTTATATTAATACAGTTAATTATCCGAATAGCTAGGTATACATAATATACGGTATACGCATTCAAATAAAAGTCCGCAAGGTAAATATTAATACATTTCCTTCCGTTCAATTACTCATTTCATTTATTCGTGTGAATTGAATATACAGTGTATACAGTACCAACAACACTATGAACTTACTATCTATAGCACAATAATGGTTTCGTAATTATTCGTAGCTGATACTTTAAAAATAAATTATGATAATATATATGTTTGGTGGGTCAATAGAAAAGTCCACGTAATTGAAACTGTATAGACTTTGCTCTGAAGATTTAATTTTAAAAATGCATAAATATTTTGATTCCAATTACTCCTGTAACTGACTATACTGATTATATATGTAAACTAATGTTCTGAATTGATTCTCAGGTTAATGCTCAAGGCGGAATTGGATTTGGAATAAAAAGAGAGATATTCTTTTTGAATTTGGAAGATGGATACTTTGGATGTCAAGTTAACGAGTCTACAGCGGTATTGCAGTTGTATGAGCTTTCCAGGCTATGCGATGGCAAACAAGACTGTTACAAGGGATCCGACGAACTGAGACGAGAACTCAAGTGCACAAGTAAGTTAAAAATTGTTTTATTTCAATGTTTTTGTAATAGTTTTTATTTAACTATCGATTATTTAGTAATAAAATAGTCGAAAAATAACGAAGCTACGTAGGTGAAACCGGATATTTTAATCAGTATTCGATATTATTTTGCGTTATCCGGCTTTAGTGCCTACGGAGATAATATATTTTACATATTACTCATAACGCGTTTGCATTTTTAACCACAAGTCAATTTCGTCGTTTCAGTCGCTATTATACTATAATATCAATCGTGTACAACAAATTGAAAACCTTGGAGATATCAATTATTTAACTTTGAGATCTATAACTTTCACGACCCTCAACATGCAACGGCTGTAGGCCCTGTAGCGCGTATAGTCTACATCATTATAACACATGCGACTTATAGGCGACGGTTTTTCTCTTCACATTACAACGCACTACGTCACTATTGTAAAAATAAAAATTGAATTGCTGCAGTAACGTATATATTGATAATCATGATACTTTGACGTATGTGTAGGATTCACGAATCAACCACATAATAATGTAATATCCAATAAATGCAATCAATCATATTCCCTTTGTTTCTTTGTCATAATAATCCCGTTGTTGTTATTAAAAACAAGAGCTCGTGCAATGGAAAGTTATACGACAAACATGGATCGAACTGTATCAATAACAAATATGTGGTTTTGAAAACCGATGTATAACTTCTATTAAAAGAGCCAAAAAAAATGGACAACGTTCAAATTGTGAACATCATTTTCGAGCGTAGATATCAAACTATGCGGCCGTAGCTCGTAATGTGTATTGTGAATCTTTCGGACTGTTCGTTGAAAGATAAATCATGCGAACGCACTGACATTTTGTTCTATACATAGTGTACCTTATATATATATCAACACATAATAAGTATAATTTAATTTATAATAAACGCATTCTATTGTATTTCACTCGAAGTTGTTAAATCATCAAATCCGTCCGATCGTACACTTGTACATTCGTAAATATAATATATATATATGACTTATATTATTAATTAATGTATAATATTATAATACATGTAAACTGCAGCGACCGCACGCGTACACCACCACAGTCGCTCGTGTAAGAGAAAAAAAAATCACCGGGCCGAGTTAACATATACGGCACAATAAGTATTGTATACCTAACCTTACGTACTTGCCTCTTCCTATACTTATAATGGGTACGCGCAGACGGACACACAATGCGTACGTAATAATAACGGGTTGATGTATAATATGCATGTACGCACACCTACCCGAAACGGCCGTCGTCGTATTCGTCATCACCGCCGTCGTCGGGGACGTGCCATGGGTCTTTTAATAATCAGCCGGCTGCAGCACGCTGTTTGAATAATCAAACACCGTCCGTACACGAGTGTAAAATAATGAAGAAAATAAAAAACAACGTGTCGACGTAACACCGTGAAAAAAAAAACAGGATTAATCGTACGCCACAGCCATACCATCATTGGTGGTTGGCAACTTAAGATCTAGAATTAAAAAAAGGAAATGCAACTATCGTAAATCGGTACAATATATATATAAATATGTATAAATTTTCATATATTTACGCGCACAATTCGCGTTTCCACTGATTTATACCTCTGCAGGTGACGATACCATTAGATGGTGTGCTGAAAATACTGGACACAAAACACTGATAACAGATCCAATAGTAATATGTTTTATGCTTTTTTTTTTTTTAACATAATTTTTTGAAATACGATATCAATAACGGACTTTGGTGTTAACGATTTTTAAAGTTAAAATTCCGGGTAACGTGTTAATCCAAAACGCCAAAAATGTTAACAACCACAAAATATATGAGCATTGGGCATATTGTCTTTGTAGCTCTCCGGAAAATGTTACTTCATCAAAGTGACAACAACAAATGATTGCGCAATAGTTACAATGATACAATTTCAAACTAGCATATTATTATAATATTTCATATTGGTAATAGATATTGATAATAATATGCATAGTAACGTGGTGATATTCAAGTGTTATTTATATATTATAAACAAATAAGTATTAATAAATATTCATTATTCACTCGTATTCCAGTAGTCCAGTACCAATAATTTTGTCATACAAACGACAATTACAAGATGTGTTTCAGTTACAAAGCATATTACGGTGTTTAAGTGGTGGAACATTTTTTTGAACATTTGAATATTATTGAGTAATAATAATATCTTATACTTGTAAACGACCGAGAGATTATTTGCCATATCGACTATAAATGGTTTTATATAACCATTACTGCTTGTATTGCGATATGCGTATAATAAACATTTCATGAGAAAAAGTTTGTTTGCTAAAATTTTGATTGGACTACTATTCAGTTACAAAATCTATAATATGATACAGCGTTCCGCAAAATGAGAATCAAAATCGATTTGTCTTTGAAATCAGGAAAAAAATTTTTTTTTAAATACACATTTTGCGACCATGACGGTGTATCTATATCCCATTTTGATTAAAGACGGCAGATATATCGAGACCATCGTATTATAGGAAGTATGACATAGGTACTACGATATAACAACGTTCTAGTGTAGTATAAAAGTATACATAAAATAACACGTTACTGTATCAACACGGTCGAAAAGTACACTTCTCAAACTGATACAAAATGATCCCGTACCTACCGTCATTTTATCGTATAAGTATATTATGTAGACTTTTAAACGCACGCGGCTTTAACCATCGATTTCGCATCATGTGCGACGTTACATCGCCACTCATCGTGACTTTGAAATAAAAAATAAAAACTTATCACAAACAGACAAGCATGCAGTACTTATGTAAAAATATTATACATAAAGTTAGTATACTTATATATTTTACTCGGATTGTAATCGACATTATACAGCATACATATAGTATAATTTAATATAATTATATCAGGTACATATACTTATATTAGGTAGTACTTACATAATATAACGTTGTATTGTATTGTATATAAAAGCGTTCGTTCGTTTTCTAAAATTTTTTTCGATCGGACCGATCTTCAGATGCTCTCAGATGTGTCTCGAGGGATGTCATAGTCCGAAAGGTCCTGTGACTACAGCGTACCACCCACAATACTCGTAATCTGTTTCAATTGTTGTTATTATAGTAAGTTACATTAACAGACAAACAACGCCGACAATAATGACAAGATAGGGATAACCGCCCCCAAAACATTATGAAAGATGTCGAAGTAATTTTTTCTACTCACCGCTCTAATGTTTCTTTACAGGTAATTTTTATTGTTAAAACATCCAACCCCATGGTATTTCTTTCCGACTTCCATTTAATTATCTCACGAGGAACTTCTCCGTTTTTAAATACGGGTTACATACATATCATAGTGTTATTATTATTATTATTATTGTTATATCTCGGTAAAACTAGAATATGATATATAGCGTAACACGAACATGGCCGCTGTACCAATGTGCATCGTAATAATTTTATTCGAATAATTCACGGTTACACGCGCTGTACAACATTTTATTTGTTCGTGTGCACATAAGATAAAAAAAAATTGTGTACAAGTACATAATATAATAATATATTATTTTGTATTGTCACAGCTCGTAGATGATGATATTTATCGCATATATAAAACGTAATTTGCATAACGTGGTTCTATGTTGACAGATCACTTAAGTGAATAAATCGAATTTGTTACGTTATTATGGACCCGTAACGATATTAATTTTCAAGATAATAATAAAAATAATAATAATAACGATGGTGCAGATTGTTACATTATCAGGAAAAAAGTATGAAGTTTTAAAAATAAATATTATTCTCTTTCCGGTCCATCATCTCACCAGGAAAAATGAGTAGATAATAACATAATATCTTTTGAAGATGTCAATATCATAGCAGTCTACGGCTAAAACGTTTAAACCTGCGCGGTGGGTATTAATTTTTTTTTCCCGTATAGCAAATAAATAATTGTAGGTATTCAACAATATTATGCCTATTATTATACGAATAATATCACAGTATGACGGAAAGATAATTTATACTAATCTTTGCAGTCCCGTTTCGTGAAAAATAACGAAATAATATTTCAGCGCTGGATACTTTTACCTACGTTCTGTCGAGTTAATCGTAATGACGAAAACTTTAAGCACGAACAGTGGTATAGCCATCAGACGTGATTAAAAACAATAAAAACCAAGTGAGAAAAAATTATAAAACGTAGTAACAAACCAGTAAATAATTTTCGCCAGAACGGACGATCTGATAGTATACGTTCGTATAGAGTTGTATTACACAAACGTCAATAGTTATTATACATCAGATTTCGTCTTCAGTCCACATCCTCAATTCGCATCCTCGCGGTAACGTAAATATTAAGCCGCGGTTTACATGTGGGCACAACAATACATTGCACCAAATATGTTTACGCATACTATTTCACGTACAAGTCATCGCATAAAGTATCATTTTTTGAATCTAGCAAACCGTTAAGAGTCGCGTGCTATGATTAATTATCGCGCGTAAAACGTCGAGGCCAAGGCCCTGCTATTATAGCTCGCTGACCTGTCATCCCGCCGACGAAATCCGTTCGCTCGCACGTACCCACGATAATTTTATTACACCATATATTTTATTCTTCCATATTAAATTACATTGTATTACTTACACGTGCGAGATGTGTACATACGAAACGGAAGTTACATACGGCGAAACGACGTAATGGTAATAATAACAACAGTATTGATATGCGTGTGCGCAACACTCCAACGGAACTCGTCCGGGGTAAACGCCTGCGCCGTCCGTCCGTGCGGTTTTTTTTTTTTATTTTTTTTATTCCTCCGAATTCCCGTTGACCGACCGATGACGAACTGCAATCTTCGGGGAGAGGTCAACGACGTATAACATCTTCTTCATTTCGCGGCCTCTCGCACATTTAAGTCAGTCGAGTGTGTATAATGCGTATAATTAATAACCGACGCGTTATGTATGTTTACGCGGCGGGTACATATACATATTACGCATAACGCAAAACATTGAAATATATAGGTGAAAAACGATATTATGATGTTCGTACCGTCATGCCAGATACACGTATGCCAATCACATTATTATGCATTTTGTGCCCGAGCGCCCCGTGCGTTCCATCAGGTGGAGATCGGTCACGAATTTTTTTTTCTTCTAAGCGAAAAAAGCAACGCACACAAAACATGTCCGAGTACGATCTAATCCGACGGAGCCGTTAATTGTGCACCGACGCTGAAACTCGAACGACGAATAGTACTGCATAAACATAATATATTTTCCAACATCCAACAGAAATATCCGCAACGGAAAAATAAAAATGATATAAATAATAAATCGTGCGTTCCGAAGAATGTTATATAGTAGAGGTACCTATCTATATGCCTACGGTTTATATACCTACGTATAATAATATTATATATTATTATATTATATATATATATGTAATATATAGTGACCGTTGGGTGAACGACCTTAAAATAACCAATGCCGCTGCTATGTCGCTTCGATTCACTTTTCTTCCACGCGTCGCACTATGTAATAATTGGGAGTCCATTTAGAGCATCCGTTTCTTTCTGCAGCGGTCCCGTGTGTGAGTGTGTTTATTTTGCGTCGCTCGTATTATTATTATTATTATTATTGCTCTAACTGTAAAGTGTTTTTGTTTTTTTACTAGGCTCTTTGGCAGCGTATATAATATGTATATGTAGATACTAGGTATATATATAAATTGAGAAAAAAATTAATATTTAACGTATAGCAGAGGCGTACGTTTTCCGTTGTTTTTTGCGTTAAGGCTCAAGAATATCGTTGTCATTTTTTTTTTCACAAATACCGGAATCACACCGAAAACTCATAAACTGCTATTACACAAATAACAATACATTTTATTTTTACTCGGGACGTATAATTTGAAATTCCAAACAGTACATTTTTATTTTTATAATTACACCATATTTTTGCAATATTAAATTTATAGACGTGTAGACGTGATAAAATGGCTCAAACGTAGAGTTTACGAAATTCTAAAGAATACAGTTTATATTATGGTGCACGAATACCAATAATTTTAAAAGTGTAAAACCGTAGACGGTAAAAAAATTGCATAAGTAATGGTGTACTCAATAAAAATTGTCGGTATTTGGTATTATAATTTTTCAAATTTTTATCGGATAACCGCTGCAGACACTAGTGTTGCTTTCTTCCAAGGCCACCAAGAACATCGAATACAATTAATTTAATTAAACGAAACGCATGTGCAATACTGTTGCATACTGCGCCTAAAACCAGATTTACGGGTCATCTTCACTTGTTTTATTTACATATTATACTGCAAAAGTAACACAATACGCATTAAAAAAGAGCAAATTTTACGTGCAGATGATATTTGATACATACCTACCTCAAATCGTTATCTCTCGGATCGGCAAGGAATCGAACGAAAAGAAAAAAAAATTATAACACGACAACGCTCGAATCGAGTACTACAAGCGACAATGGTGTTTAATGTTTATGGTTTTATGCACACTGCAAAAAGCGTTGCCCGCCGCACACACAATAATATTATATATAGGTACATTCGAAATGACTATACATCACGAAAGCTGACCTGCAACGTGAATGTGTATCGTATTTTATTACATTCGATCTTCGATTATTTTTATGCGCGCGTACACCTCTCTACATACACCTATATGGCAATAATAATAATACGACCGTATTACCGCGGCCTTCGGACAGACGATTTACATTTTAAAATAACCTGCAACGTTTACTATTGTTTCAGACGACTGCGAGGCTAAAGAAGGAACGCCCTGTCAGAACGGCGCGTGTCTCGACTCCCTTTGCCATTGTAACGACGGATACGGTGGATGTTCGTGTCAAGTGCCAGGTAAGCATATTATACATAAAAATATAGACACACCATAATCGATGCGTATACAGCTTAATAAAATTATGTACGGCGGTGTACATGCTACGTATACCTACGTCTTAACTGCAGTCCGTAACCGGCCGACCGGGCGATTTAACAAGCGCTCGTGAAAATCGTGTCCCGAACGGCGGCGGTCGGTCGACGGATACTGCGCGTATTCCGATGTCCGCAATCAACGGGATTATCATTATCTAACGTTGTACGATATTAATTTGTTCACAGACGAGAACGAATGCAAGTACCGGCCGTGTGACGTGTTCGCTCATTGCACTAACACGCTGGGCAGTTTCACGTGTTCCTGTTTTCCGGGATACGTCGGCGATGGATTTCACTGCCAAGGTACGTGCATATATATATATGTGTGTGTGTGTATATATATATACGTGATGTTATTGTGCTCTTCGAAAATCGTTAGGACGAGCCCATAATAATACATATATGATAACACACACACACACACACAAATACTGAAATACCTATACGCGCACGTAATTAGCGTTGTATATAATTATATACATAAATATGATATATATCGCGTAATTTACACGATGCCGTGATCCGGCAATATCCGCGGCCCCAGATAGGTTCTCGAGGATCGCGGTGTAAATGGCATCGACCTTGCTGCCCGGGCTGTTTATCCATTCCGCAGGCCGCCGACTCCCAGTCCGTTGTTGTAAATAATGTGGTATACATAATAATAATATAACACTGCAGATATAATAATATACCGTTACGTTTCGAGACCGGCGAAACCGGATTATTATTATTATTATTATTATTATTATTATTATTATTATGATTTTTCCTAGGCCCCGTATGTTCCAGTAGCTTTTTTTTTCTCATCTCATTGTTATTCATTATGTATTTATACTAGCTGCAATAATTTTGCGGAACCGCCGACACCGACGTCGTAGGCATAATATTATCGTAACGCTTGCGCGCTCCGCATATACCTACGACGTCGTTTTGTGTAATTATAATGGTATAGAATGTACGGTAGGAAATGTAACGTCCAATGTGTTAATGCGAACTCCCCGCACTACCCGTCCAGATCGAAAAGTGAAAAATGCGTTTCGTCCGCGGATTCGACGAGAACCCCCTTAACCTCCCGGGGCTCGACAATAAGCCGCCGATACGTTACACGTTATAATATTTCGTTTTATCGTCAACGTGTTTGATTTGGATTTTCATAGATATCAACGAATGCGAAGATCCAGCCATAGCCAGTAGATGCGTACAGAACGCCGAATGCTGTAACCTGCCGTCTCATTTCTTATGCAAATGTAAACCCGGATATATCGGCGACGGCGAAGTCGAGTGCAAAGGTAAGACTGTACGACCGACGAGCGTTTGATATACCTATGGAGCTACGTGCGCGTGTGTGACGCGAGTAGGTATAATAGTATACGCCGAACGCTTAGGACAATCATTCGAAATAATATTTTACTATTGTCCAAACATTTGGACCGGGTCTGACAACCGAAAAATTGCAAAACAGTCGTCGACCTTGCTGTCGTTTCCCATCAATCACGAGGAATTCAACGACCGTCGATTTGAAAAGAATAGGACAATCGTATTGTCGGTTAACGTTCCTAATTCCTCGTGGGTGCTATTAACGTGTCTAGAATTTTCCGCGATAGTTCAGATTCGCCAACGTTTTTTCCTCACATATCGGTCGGTATCTCTACGTCAACACCAATCCGTGACATTTCTTATTTATTTTAAATTGACTATAGTTTACCTTATATCATTATATTATCTATGTAATACACATTACGCATCTCACAGCAAAATCAATTGTTATACTTATAGAAAACTTATGAATTAATAAAATACTTAAAATAATAGTATTTTTCGAAATTATCGTATAATTTATTTAACAATTAATACGAATTAAAATTACACACTTATCATAAAAGCAAAAAAATTAATTATGGTACTATGCATTAAAGACAATCATTATTCATTGTACGTGTCAATTTTTTCTGTTATTGCCCATAGTTATTAGAGTAGTCGCCAGTCGGCAGGAATCATTTATTTCATAATTATTTCTTATAGAAAATTTATTGCTTATTTTTAAGGATTGTTAAATATTTATAAATTTATTGTTCAAGAAAGTATGAATTAAAAAAAAATACAATAGGTACCTATTATTTATATCTTTTTTAAGTTCCATAACATTTTATATCTTTTCTGAAGCATGGTATATTTAATAAACATTGGTTATTGCTGCAGTTAATAAAAAAAAAAAAATAATAATAATAATTCAGGTGCAAAATATGTTGCCATCCTATAATTATATGATTACTGACTGGTTATAACGACTAATCCGACAAGTACGCGTCGTTAGGATTATTGAATCACATACACATATATCATAATTCATAACGCTTCAATACTCGCTATTTCCCACGACATCTTACTCGTTTTCCTATAGTTGCATGGTATTGCCGAAACGCCGCGTGGTATGCAAATCGTCTGCATATACTTCACGCAAACATGGTATTCCGTATTTAACTACATTATATTGTATTTATTATTATTATTATTATATTATGATCTTTACGTATGTTAACGCCCCGTACTATTAATAACGTTATCATTTTGCAGACATCGATGAGTGTTTGAGACCGGACGCTTGCGGCAACAACGCAATATGCAGGAACACGCCGGGAAACTACACGTGCGACTGTCAACAAGGATTTGTGGGCAACCCGTACGACGGGGTAATTATATTTCGATATTATAATAACGTTTAATCCTAATACACTTAATTTGCCGCAATGTAGTTCAACGGACTCTCCCGTCATGAGTTATTATGTGTTTTATAATAAACGTTTCATTATTGAAACATAACTTCTCGTGATGTATAACTAATCTGATCGATGAAAGACGTGTTTAAAAAAAGTCTGTTTACACGAACTCATGTCAAATTTGTTGTTTTTATTTAATTCCATTACTCTAGTGGTAACGAGTTTTTTTTTATTTTTAATCAATTCACATCATTCACTTTCAACATTAACGGTGAAAAATTATGAGGCAAAGCATGCACTACAACAACCATAAATCGAATTATTACACGATTATCGATCACACATAAATTAAATGTACTACGGTATTGATAATTATTACTTCTTCAATGGCGATTCTTGTTTGCTGCAGTAACGTTTAGGTGATGTCATATTTTTTATTATCTTGACATCATCGATTTAGTGGCGGGATGTAATAGCAGATATTACATACACAAACTGAATGGTATACGAATGCCATATAAGGATGCGAAGAAATTTTATTTTTTATTTTTATTTATAGCATATAACATTAAATGTCTGTAGCAACCTGTAGTAACGACCGTTAAAGATTATATACAATTAATTCGTGACTAATTAAATCCTATTTAATTATATCGATGTATAACTATATTTTACTTAACAACTTAACTTAATACCTACCTACTGGTTATTTGTAAAAAAAGAATATTTGTTAAACGTTTTAAAAGAGGAATTCGACATAATTATTAATTATAATTATTTATCAGTATTATTATTCTTTACACCTCGTGCCAGCATAATTACCTAGTGAACAATAATTGACCACAGTTTATAAATATTTGGGTTAATTAACCATTAGGCGGTAAACTGTTTTATGTATTAAAAATAAATAATTTTTATCAGATTATCTCAATAAAAAAATTGTTGTAAATTCCGTTAGGTAAAAGATGAGTAAAATGCTTTGTAATAAATTATATTAAATTGCGGTGTTTTAGTACACGTTTATTGATACGAACGATTTTTTACATAATGGTTGTGTAAAAAAATCAATTTAATATAAGCACGATATTCTACATCATTATTCATTTTAGTGGTAAAATTGCTTTGAAAACTTTAGAGATGTATCTAGTATCTCGACTTCGTAAACTAACGTATTTCAATCGACATGATTTATTTATAGACGTACCTATTATACGAACAGTATAACTGTTCAGGATAAATAACTTTAGTTCAGTTGAAATTTAAATAATATTTTGTCCTAAAATACTATAATTTATTTTTTTGTATATATAGTGTGTGGACGTTAACGAGTGTAGTTTGCCGAACGCTTGCGGTCCCGGTTCTCTGTGCACCAACTTTCCAGGCGGACACCACTGTGAATGTCCAGAAGGATATGCGGGCGATGCGTACGGCGCCGGATGTCATGACGTGGACGAATGTTCGCGATCTCCTTGCGGCAAAGACGCACAGTGCCACAACAACGAGGGCAGTTTCCGATGTACCTGTCCACCAGGATTCGTCGGCGACCCGTTCCACTCTTGTAAAGGTATGCGACGATCACATGCGGCTCGTCACCAAATCATGTATATAATACAACGCGATAATATAAAAAAATTTAATCAATCAATAATTAACAATCTCGAAGCCTGCAGCGCATTTGTTGATTAATATATTATTTCAAATCAAAGTCCGGAACAACGGACAGTTTTTAAACACCACGTAAACCGAGTTTTGAACAGAAGTATACAGTCTGTCGACCGAACGTATATTCTCTCTCGCAAATAATAATAAAAAAAAAATGTTTGCTGTTTAACTTCACTTGTAATGTTCTCGCGTCGTTCATATACCTGTATACCGATGTCAAAACTGCACTCGAGCGGAATACAAATCGCTTCTTTTTTTCATTTAAACACCATATCAATCTTAAAGTCTCATCGACAAATGTGCGCATAACATGAAAAAAAAAAAAAAATTGATGAAAAAAACGTACGAGTACGCCTACTATTTGCGTACTTCTTACACCTACTACCACCTAATTTCAATAATATTATTGCGACACTGTGTACATAATAACATAGACTGTGTCTAACACCTGCTTTTTCTAACGTATAATTATATGTATTATTGTGTATTACATCGACACCGTATTTCGCCTTGGCCGGAAACGCAGACGTGGACGAATGCGAGTCTTCGCCGTGCGGTCCCAACGCCGTGTGCGCAAACTCGGCCGGCAACTACACGTGCTCCTGCGCGACCGGATATACCGCGTCCGCGGAGGAAATGAGAACGGGAAGTGGATGCGCGGACATCAACGAGTGCGGGGCGCCATCCAACCCGTGCGGGGTCAACGCCAAATGCACGAACGTCCCTGGCTCGTACACCTGCCAATGTCTGCCCGGGTTCACCGGGTCCGCGATAGATCACTGCCAAAGTTAGTGCGCCGTCCGCTAATGCTTGTCGATCCTCCCCCGATCGACGCTTAATACTGTTATAATGATATTATCTATATCGCTGCTCGTCTGGTTGCTGTCGCACGCACTGGACACTTGCATGGCGCGCTCTTTTTTTTCTCTCGGCTTTACACTGTGTTTTTATTATTGTTGTTGTTGTCGAGTGTCGATTTACACAGACGCTGCGCGTGGGTCAATACTCTTGAGTCTCTCTCTCTTTATATTAATTCTTTTTACATATTATTATTTGTTAAGTGTTTACCTTTTAATGCGATTTTATGCTATACCTTTCCTTTCCAAATCCTATATTATGCATCGTTTTCCCGTTTTAGTGGGAAATTCATTGTTATAAATCTTACTTTATTTATACTTGTTTTTTTATACGAGTATTTAGCAGCATGCACCGATATATTGGAGGTAAAACTATTCTTTCTTTGATTACTATTATGTGTGGCACGAACGCATCAAGATTCTTCGGTATGTATCAATTTTTATTATTGTTTTGGACGACTTCTTGACTTACTGTGTAGTTATACGTATCTATATTGCATTTTCTTTTTTTCATAAATTTATTTTTTATTTAACATATTAATAACACTGTTAATGTATTCGCGATAGATATTAACGAATGTGATCACTCGCCATGTGGAAATAATACCATTTGCACGGATACAGTCGGGAGTTTTGTCTGTTCGTGCAAAGAAGACTACACGGGCGACCCGATGAAAGGATGTCAAGGTATTTATTTTTACTCATAACCCTATTTTTACTTATTTTAATCTTATCAAATTGATTATGTTAAGATATAAACGAATGCGAAATCCTGAGTAAGCCTTGTGGCCCTAATGCGATCTGTGAGAATACTAGCCCCGGATTTAATTGTCTTTGCCCACAAGGATATTCTGGCAAACCGGATCCAAAAGTTGCTTGCGAACAAGTAAACGATCATTTTTTAGTTTCGGTTTTAATATACATTATTCATTCTTTGGTTTTTCTTATTAACCATAGGTCGATGTGACGGTTTTATGTAAATCAAATTTTGATTGTACCACTAATGCTGAGTGCACAGAAGGTCAATGTTTTTGTAAGAACGGGTTTAATGCCAAAGGATCAGTGTGTGTGGACATTGACGAGTGCCTCGCTCAACCATGTGGACCATATTCTATGTGTTCAAATACTCCCGGTGGATTCCATTGTCAATGTCAAACGGGATACGTAGGCGCCCCACCAAGAATACAGTGCAAAGGTAAATTTAAATTAATTTTTTCATTGATTTTTATATTAATATATTTATTTTATTAATAGCTCCTTGCGAAGACGTCAAATGTGGAATGCACGCTTATTGCAAACCCAACGGTCAAGAAGCATACTGTATATGTGAAGAGGGTTGGACATACAATCCAAATGATTTATCTTTAGGATGTGTTGGTAAGATTCACCGAAGAGCTTTTCTAAATTCGCATCTACACATAATATATGTTTTGAGAAACATATATACCTATGTATTATATACTAACTGTTGAAAAATTTAATTTAAGATATCGATGAATGTGACAAAGCAAATGGACCATTTGGACGATGTGGAGGAAATACGATATGTACAAATACACCTGGGAGTTTTGGGTGTCAATGTAAACCTGGATTTACTGGAAATGCGTTCAAACAGTGCACTGGTAAATAAACAATAGATTTATTTTGTTTAAATATTTTTTTACTATTGGTTTTTAATATTTATTCACAGATATAAACGAATGTTCTGACACCAACAGTTGTGGAAAAGATGCTTTATGTATTAATTTACCTGGCTCATTTGATTGTATATGTCCCGGAGGTTCCATACCCGAACCAGATCCATTTATTAAATGTACCAAAGCAATTAACTGCACGGCTGATACCGAATGTCCTGGAAATTCTGTTTGTAGTAATCAAAGGCGTTGTTTCTGCCCCGAGCCAAACGTCGGTGATGATTGCAGACGTAAGAATAAAACTATGGGCTTCAATGTAATATACTAAGAAAAAAATGTTTAATATTTAGATCCGTGTGAAGACGTACAATGTGGTCCCAATTCCGAGTGTATGTTGCTCAACAAAGATGCTCAGTGTCTATGTTCGGCTGGATATACAGGAAATTCAAATACAGGATGTACAGATATTGACGAATGCAAGGGTAATCCTTGTGGTCCTGGAGCAGTTTGTAACAACGAACCAGGATCGTTTTCTTGTCAATGTCCTGGTGGAATAAGTGGAGACCCGTTCAGAGAAGGATGTTCGCAAGCTAAAAGTCCTACACAATGTAGTGCAAAGTCTCCATGTCCAGGATCTGAAATATGTGTTCAAGATGAATTTGTTGGCGAGAGTGTTTGTATATGTCAAAAAGGTTATATAAGAGACCAGAAAACTGGTAAATGTAGAGATGCCAACGAATGTACGGAACTTAGAGATAAACCTGCCTGCGGAGTTAATGCCGTTTGTAAAAATCTTCCTGGAAGTTATGAATGTCAGTGCCCTCCAGGCTTCAATGGAAACCCTTTTTCTAATTGTGAAGGTAGTTATTGAGATTTTAAGACAAAGAAATATATTTTTATATGATGTAAATTTTGTCTGTTTAGAATGCAATTCATTAGAATGTCAATGTAGACCACCGTATCAAATAGTTAATGGAGAATGCACATTGGCTGGTTGTAATAAAGGAAAATGTCCAGCTGGTGCCGAGTGCGTGTCTATTTCTGGTGGAGTAAGCTATTGTGCTTGCCCAAAAGGATATAGACCTAGAGAAGATGGATCATGTTATGGTATTTATATCTTTTATTATAATTAATTAAATTTATAAGTTATTAATTTTTAAATACATTTTTAGATGTAGACGAATGTGAAGAAAAAATACATTCATGTGGATATGGTGCTGAATGTATCAATAAACCAGGCACACATGAATGTTTATGTCCTGATGGCTATAGTGGAGATCCACACCATGGATGTTCTCGTAATCAAAAGAAATGTATAAAAGATTCAGATTGCTTGTTAAACGAGAATTGTATTCAACCTGGAGTTTGTGTTTGTCCCGTACCATATTATACTGATGTTCTTGACAAAAATCTCTGCAAAAGTATTAATATACAAATTATTATTAAAAGAATATTTTTTAATACTTTTATTAACTATTAATCTATTAGGTCCTTGTGATCGATTTCCATGTGGCGTGAATGCTCAATGTACGCCAAGTGATCCTCCAAAATGTTTGTGTCTACCTGGATACAAAGGAGATCCTTTGCAAGGTTGTGAAGATGTCGATGAATGTAAAAATAACCCGTGTGCTTTAGGATCACAATGCATAAATGAAAAAGGCCATTACAAATGTATTTGTCCGCTTGGTACAGATGGTGATCCTTACTCTGTTGGTTGTGAGTAATTATATTTAATTTTTTTTTTAACTTTAGACCAACATAAATATCTTTTTTTTATGTATTCTAGGTTTAGGAAAAGAAGCACCAGAGATTGAGTGTTCTACGGACGATGAATGCGTTGCACAGTTAGCGTGTGTTAAAGGAACTTGTACAAACCCTTGTAATCTTTTACCTTGTGGTCAAAATGCTTACTGTGAATCTGAAAAACATGCTGCGTGGTGTAGATGTAGTGTTGGTTATGTAGAGTCTATATTTGGTGAATGTGTATCACGTAAGTGTCTAACGTTACTTTTTAAAATAATAAATCCACCAATTAAAAAAAAAAACAACTAATATTTGATTTATATTATTTTATTACAGCGTGTGATGGATATATTTGTGGTAACGGTGCACAGTGTATAGTATCACCACAAGGACCTACGTGCAAATGTTTAGAAGGTTCTATTGGAAATCCATTTGCTGGAGGCTCTTGTGAACCTGATACATGCTCTAGCACCAGCCCATGTGTTCCGCCTAATATTTGTGTTGCTGGACGATGCAAAGAGAAATGTCAAGATCATTTTTGTGGTATTGGAGCTAGTTGTAATCATGAAACTAACGATTGTGTTTGTAATCCGTTGTTCATCGGAGATCCAAATTACTTGTGCATGCCTCGTAAGTTTCAGTAATATATTTCATTTTATAGTATAATTAAGTAGGTTATTATAATTTCTTCAAAAAAATTCTAATGATATTTGTATTAAAGATATCTATCAAATATCTTAATTTTTTTCGGAGTGTGTAGTAATACAACGTAAAACGATTTTTCCATAAATTATAAAAATAAAACTATTGTTTTAATTCGAAGCTTTTTTTTTTATTCTACATATTTAAATTATAAACCTAAATTTTTTATTAAAAAACCCCCTAAATTGAATTAATAATTATGATATTTAATTTGATTGTTTAAATATATAATAAGCGCACTTAGTTTTTATAACTGTCTACTTCTAACTCAAGTTAAGCTTATAAAATGTAGATAAATCAATCATTATGTATAACTTTTCATTTTTATTGATACAATATTTTTATATTAAATAGAAATAAAATAATAAACTTGATATAATTTAATAATCACTTTTATTTATATTGAATATAAAGTTTTTAATGCAAAAATTTTATTTTTAACATTGAAAAATTATAATGAATAAATATTTTTTGAATTTTCAGCAATTACAATGCCTTCTTGTTATCCTGGATGTGGAATTAATGCACATTGTGAATATGATGTGTTTAATGAGAATAAATGTGTTTGCAATTCTGGATTCATAGGAAATCCATATGAAGAATGTGATTCTCAATCTAAAAAATCTTGTTCAAATATGACGTGTGGAACTGGAGCATTGTGTAAAGAAAAATTAAATTCTGTTGAATGTCATTGCCCATCAGGATTTAAAGGAAATCCTTACGTTCAATGTATTGGTAAGAACTCAAAATATTAACTAATTAAAGTATAAATTTAATAAATTTAATAATTATAACTATAAAAAAATTATTTTAGATATTGATGAATGTTTGATTTCGGCTTGTGGTAACAATGCAGTTTGTATCAACACGATTGGAAGTTATGATTGCAGATGTATTGAAGGTTACGTGGGAAATCCGTTTTTAGAATGTTCAGCTAAAATGCCACAAAGCTGTCGTGACCCATTGACTTGTCAATGTTCAAAAAATGTCCCATGTCCAATAGGGTAAATAAATATTTTAAATTAAATTGATTGTATAAAATTAACATAATATTTTAGATTATGTATATTGTATAATATGAATGAAAAAAAAAAACTAAATTTGAAGTTAGTTTATTAATATTTTATTATTATTTATTTTTTTACAATAGATTTACATGTAATCGTGGAAAATGTGAAAACCAATGTGATAATATCAAGTGTGGTGTTAGAGCTGGATGTGTATTTGGTAAATGTGTATGTCCACCAGGATTGATTGGCGATCCTTACAATTTTAAAACAGGATGTAAACCACAAGGCCAATGTACAAACGATGGTGATTGCAAAGATACAGAAATATGTTTCCATATCAATAAAGAAGCAAGAAAATGTGTTGATGGTTGTAGTAAATTACAATGTGGACCCAATGCCGTTTGTGTTACTGAAGGTCATCGTTCGTCGTGTATTTGTACCGAAGGATATGTTGGAAATCCTGGAGACTTGTACTTAGGTTGTAAAGTCGAAAGGGTAGCACCTAAAGGAGAATGTAGAACAGACAAAGACTGCAACTCAAAAAGTAAAGTATGTTCCATAATATCAGATGGAACATCTTCTTGTGTTAGTGCATGTACTCGAGTAGCATGTGGACCAGATGAAATTTGTTTATTGGAAAAAAATGACACACCCGTTTGTTCATGTCGTCCAGAGTTTGTATGGAATCCAGTTATATCTAAGTGTGAAAAGCCTTCGTTGCCTGACTGCTCAGTCGATGCTGATTGTAAAGATAATGAATCATGTAAACCAGATGCGCTGGGAGTACTAAAATGCATTTCAGTCTGTATCGAATTAACGTGTCCATTTAATTCAATATGTGTAGCTAGTAATCACGAAGGTAGCTGTCAATGTTTACCAGGATATGTAGGAAACACAAATGATCGGAATGGTTGTCATCCTACGAAAAAAAGTAGTTGCCAACGAGACGTTGAATGTTTACCGACTGAAGCTTGCCTAGAAGACCCGGCTAACAAATTAAAATCATGCAAACCAGTGTGTGATCATACCATATGTGGCTTAAATTCTATTTGTGTTGCAAATAATCACGTGGCTCAATGCCAATGTCCTCCTGGTACATTTACTGGTGATCCGTATGATTTAAATGGTTGTCGAGAAGTATCATGTGTATATAACGACGATTGTCCACAAACACAAATTTGCAATAGACAGTCACATTCGTGCGTGAATGTATGTGACAAAGATACTTGCGGAACTAATTCGGTGTGTCTTGCTGATGGGCATACGTCTGTATGCCAGTGTCCACCTGGTTTTAAACCTGATCCTGTCCCTGAAATATCTTGCGAAGCCATAGAAGTGTGCGACGAGTCTTCGTGTCATTTCACTGCTATATGTGAATCTAATCCTAATTCAGGATACATCTGTAAATGCCCGCCTGGTCATATTGGAGATGCTTATACGGAAGGATGTAGACAAGAAGGATTATGTCCAAACGGAAATATTGATTGTCCATTGTTAAGTGTCTGCCAATCAGGAAGATGTATAAATCCGTGTGAAAAATCTTGTGGTATAAATACAATATGCAATATTATTGAGAGAAAACCTATCTGTTCGTGTCCCGATAATTTTGAACCTATTCATGGCGAACCAAAAATTGGATGTGTCAGATCAGTAACTAAGTGTTTTAATGATTTAGAATGCAAAGGTGGTGTTTGTTCAAACGGAGAGTGTAAAGGTTAGCTATAATACTCTAATTAATTTTAGTTTGGTTCTAATAATTATTTTTTAAATTATTTAAAAATAGTGGTTTGTCGGAATGTCGATGACTGCTCTTCTGGTGAAAGATGTGTACAAAACAAATGCGAAATACCGTGTGCTGGACATTCTCAATGTATGTCGGCACAAGCATGCATAAATGGAGTGTGTTCACTGGGATGTCGAAGTAATAAGGATTGTTTAAGCAATGAGTCCTGCATAAACGCCAAATGCCAAAGTAAAGAATATTTTCATATTTATTATTAATATTAAATTATATTCTTAGGTTATTTAAAAACTATTAATCTATCTATCAATTAATTACATAAAACTTACAATATTTCAGATCCATGTAAACGTGATAATGTGTGCGGAATAAATTCAAAATGCAGTACTGTTGATCATAATGTTATTTGCACCTGTAACAAAGGATTTCAACCAAATCCCGTTCCAGAAGAGTCTTGTGTACGATCAAACAGTATATGTCATGATAATTTCCAATGTGGATTAGGTCAAGAGTGCATTGGAAACATTTGTAAAGTTGTATGCTTGAGTGGAATGGATTGTGCCGAAGGAGAACGGTGCTCAAGTAACAAGTGTGAAAAAGTTTGCTTTACTGCGAGTAATTGTTTAACTGGAGAAGTTTGTGTGGAAGGAATTTGCCGACAAGGGTGTTCTTTAGATTCAGATTGCGATATCAGTCAAATCTGTATAGGCAACAAGTGCAGGTACGAAAGCTCTTTTTAGATACTTAAAGTGTTGTTTACTTTTTCATTTAATTAAATAAAATTATTTTATAGATGTGGTAGTGGTTATGAAAGTTCACCCACTGGTTGCAAAGATATCGATGAATGTACACAAAATCCATGTCATCCAAGTGCTAAATGCTTGAATACACCAGGATCTTTTCAATGTTCGTGTTCGAACGGTAAAGTAGGAGATCCTTACACTGAACCTGGTTGCAATAAACCGAACGAGTGTAAAAAACATGAAAATTGTGCTTCAAATTTGGCTTGTGTAAAAGGCAGATGCACAGAACTGTGTAATGATGCATGTGGAAATAATGCATTATGTCAAATGATTGAGCATGCGCCAGCATGTACTTGTCCATCAGGATATTTAGGAGATGCTTTTGATAAAAATGTTGGATGTTTCAAAGTCGAGTGTCTGGTAAATGAAGATTGTCCAAATGACAAAATTTGTCAAACTAATAACAACAAATGTACAAGTAAGTGAATAATTCATATTTAATTTTTACGTCATTTACATGAAAATAATGAATTTAAATATGCTTAATTAATTAGGTCCGTGTGATTTGATAAATTGTGGTCATGGAAATTGTAAGGCGTACAAACATAAAGGCATATGTACTTGTAACAATGGATATGAACTGAAAAATGATAAGTGTCAAGATGTCGACGAATGTAAGCAAAGTCCGTGTCATAAAACAGCAAGATGTGAAAATACACCTGGATCATTTACGTGTATTTGTCCTGATGGACTGTTGGGCAATCCAAATGCTGAAGGCTGCCATTATCCAAACAGTTGTTCTACTAACAACGACTGTCCAGAAAGTGCGATTTGTCATCAGAACCAATGCAAAAATCCATGTGCAGATAACAAAGTATGTGGTCGCAATGCAGTTTGTTCAGTTCAACGTCATGAAATTCAATGCCAATGTCCTTCAAAAACTCAGGGTGATCCCAGGGTTCGTATGACTTAAATTATTTATAAATTTAAAAAATTAAAATGTTATAAATGTAATGTATTTTATCTAAAGGTGGAATGTATGAAAGTTGAATGTTCAAACAACAATGATTGTACTTCAGGAAAAGCTTGCGTAAACTCAAAATGTGTTAATCCGTGTTCTGTACCAAAAGTCTGTGGAGAGAATACTGACTGTAGTATACAAAATGATGCCGCTATGTGTAACTGTAAGGCAGGGTATACAGGTGATCCTCATTTAGGCTGTACGCCAATATTATACTGTGCGTCTAATAGCCAATGCCCCACTTCAACTAAATGCAACAATGGGATATGTACAGGTAAAACGCTAAATCAAATACTTTTTTTTTATGCATTTTTTTTTTTTATTCAATACAATTTTATTTTAAATAGTGGAATGTAACTTGGCAAGGGATTGTGTTGGAAATGAACTGTGTATTGGAAATATATGTCAACCAACTTGTCACGGTAATTCTAGCTGTCCAGAATTTCAATATTGCCAAAACAATATATGTGTTCAAGAGTTGCGATGCTTTACAAATGACAATTGTGAAAGTACACAAATTTGTAAGACAAATACAATTGGCCAGGTAATAATGAAACAAAAAACTTTATTCATAAAATTCTATTATATAATGGATTTAATATTATTTTAATTATAGACTCAGTGTACTGACGTATGTGAAGAAGTTATTTGTGGAAGGCATGCTGAATGCTCAGCAGTTGACCATCAACCAGTTTGCAATTGTGAACCTGGATACCACGGAAATCCACATATTGGTTGCCACAAAATTGAATGCTACGAAAACGAAGATTGTACAAATGATAAAATATGTGAAGATCACATTTGTAAAATATCATGTCTAGCAAACAACCCGTGTGGATCAAATGCCTTATGTTCCGCAGAAAATCACCAACAAGTAAACAATAAAATATAAATCGCTTTTTTTCATGAATAATAATAATAATAATAATAATAATAGTTTGTACTTGATAAATTTAATAAATACTTGACTTTTTCTTTTTAGGTTTGTTATTGTCAACCAGGATATACAGGAGATCCGTATTTCGGTTGTGATGTATTAGATCTATGTGAAGCAGCACCTTGTGGACCAGGAGCTAGGTGTGATAACTCGAGAGGTTCCTATAAGTGTCTCTGTCCACTTGGAACTGTAGGAGATCCATACAAAGATGGTTGTCATTCACCAGTTGAATGTCAAATCGATGAAGACTGTCCCCCAGCAGCACACTGCGTTCAAACTAATGGTATTCCAAAATGTCAAGACAATTGTGAGAAAGTTAAATGTGGTCCAAATGCTGAATGTGGGACATCGGCACATTATGGTTCCTGCATATGTCACCCAGGATATCAAGGAGATCCAAATGATTTAAATGTTGGATGTAGACCTAGGGCTGTAGCGTGTACTTCTAATCAGCAATGCCCAAGTAATACATATTGTTACGATGGAGCTTGTAAATGTAAGTTTAAAAATTTATTTACTCGTATAAAAATAAAATTGCAATATAAAAATGAAAATTTGTTTTTCTAGCATCTTGTCAATCAGATGCAGAATGTGGTCTTTCTGAGCAATGTTTACAAGGCCAGTGTAATAATCCATGTGAACGACAAGGTTCGTGTGGATTAAATGCCGATTGTAAAGTTATTAACCACGTTAAACACTGTTCATGTCCCGCTGGATTTACAGGTGGCAGTGAAATTGAATGTGTTCGAAGTATGTAATTTATATAGAAAAATTGTAAAATACTGCTACTATATTTTATTTATTTATTAATTTTATAGTTCCTGTCGCTTGTGAGATAAATGAAAATTGTTATCCAAATAGTACATGTCATCAATCTGTTTGTCAACCTGATTGCCAAGCTGACAGCCATTGTGCACTAAATGAAAAATGTTTTAAAAACCATTGTGCATGTAAGTTAAAAGCATATGCAATTAAATAAACTTTAAACAAAAATAATTGTTTTATTTTTATGAACTAATAAAATATTTTGTTCAATGTTTAGTGACTTGCAGAGTAGATAATGACTGCTTTTTAGGACATATATGTCTGAACAATATGTGTTTATTTGGATGTAAGTCGAACGAAGATTGTGCTTCCGTGGAGTATTGCAGAGATAATGTTTGCACAAATCCTTGTGTGTCGATGCCCTGTGGACCCAATGCCATCTGTACGGTTGCTAATCAAAGGGCCATGTGTTCTTGTCGAGTTGGATTTGTTCCTAATCCCACAGCTAAAGTAGCGTGTATTAGAACACCGGCTGAACCATGTAACGAAAACCAAGAATGCCCGGCAAATTACTCGTGCAAAGATAATTCCTGTCAACCCATATGTTCTTCTGACGCTAGTTGTCATGGAAATGAGAAATGTGACATGTCGGTATCCATATGTAAGCCATTGTGTCGCAAAGACGACGATTGTCGAAGTGGAGAAATTTGTAACGGATTAGTGTGTAACGTTGGCTGTAGAAGTGACACAGAGTGCCCACATGATAGATCTTGCATTAACAACAAGTGCAGAGGTAAAATCAAAATATTGTAATCTAATTTATTATCACGTCATACTTAAATGAAAAAAAAAAAATCATGATTTTAGATATGTGTGAATCTCCAACTGCGTGTGGTGTAAATGCATTATGTTCAGTTTCAAATCACCAAAAACAATGTAGTTGTCCTTTACTACTCGAAGGTGATCCTCTGTTTGCTTGTAGATATCCAGTGATAAACTGCAAAGGAAACAGTGATTGTAGTTCGGGCCAAACTTGCTATACATCTACTTGTCAAGCAGTATGCCAAACGTAAATATCTATATAATTAATCAACGCGTATTAATCACCATAAACAATATACCTAATGTTTAATAATGCACACAATTATTAGGGACTCGGGGTGCTTATCTGATGAACGGTGTCATAACGGAATTTGCAAAGCAGTGTGTAATTCAGACTCTAAATGTAGTCCTAATCAGATTTGTGAAAACCGTTTGTGTGTTGGAGGTTGTCACAGTGATGCTTCATGTCCCGATAATGAAGCGTGTATCGACAAACAATGCAGAGGTAAGCCATCATATGGTTATAGAATAGAATGGTGCGGTTCAAAAACGTTTTTATAATCTAGTATTAGTTATTAAAATATGAAATAAATGAAATGTTTTAATTATCTAGACCCTTGTGACAGCGCTACTACTTGTGGCCCATGTGCCGAATGTAAAGTCATTAATCACGGAGTGCAATGTAGTTGTATGGCTGGATTTAATGGAAACCCATTAATCGGATGCGTAAAGTCTACTTTAAAATGCGATGGAACGTGTCCCTGTGATTTAGAAACCGGATATTGCATAAAACGCTGTACAGCTAATAAGGACTGTTCATGTGGAGAAATATGTCACAAAGATATGTGTACAACGAAATGTAGTTCCAGCACGAGTTGTCCAACAGTAATATTGAATAAACAAATGACAATTGGATTAATATTTTAAACATTCCAATTAATTTTAATTTCTAGGGTCATATATGTTCTGATGGACTATGTGTTGTCGGATGTCGTACTAATGCAGATTGTGCCAATGACCGATCTTGTCAAAATGGTAAATGCAAAAATCCTTGTGACGTCGTGTCCCCAGGGATACCGTGTGGAAAAAATTCCGAATGTCACATCAATGACCATAAAGCCATTTGTATGTGTCCCGACGGGTTCCAGGGAGAACCCAATATTGAATGTGTTAGATATACTTGTGAAAAAGATGACGATTGTGAGACAAACAAAAAATGTGGTTCCGACAAAGTATGCAGAAATCCGTGTTTGGAACAAGGTGCTTGTGGATCAAATGCTCAATGTAGAGTTACGAATAGAATGGCTTATTGTACATGTCCACTTGGATATTATGGAAATGCTCAACTCGAATGCAAGCCAGGTAAATATTAAATAATAATAATAAATATTTTAGAATATTTTTAGGCAATGTGAAAGTGATTTTATTTTTATTTTTTGAAACTTATATCCAGTTATTTAGGTAATTATCGTATACATGTCTCTCACACTTTAAAAAACTATAAATGTAATGCTTATCAGTATAATTAAAGTACAATTAAAAAGTAAAAGTTTATCATTTACGTTTCATTTTTAATAGATAATTGTAGGGATTTACACTGATGTCGATTAGTTATAAAGACTATTATCATACCTATATTTAATGTAATCATTATTACAATAATAAATTATCATCGATGATTATATACCATTAAATTTCATTTTTTGTACATTTATCGCTTAAAAAGTGAACTAAAATTTTGAATTATTAAAATTTAATCATGTGCACATAATTAATTGTCTGCTAATTAATTTTTTAACACATAGATTAGAAGGTACTTCTACTTTATTAAAATCAAATTCTGGTGGTGAGTTTATTATTTAATGATGATTCATATTTAAAAACTAAGAAGCAATCTATACTCTTATAGTTTATTCCTAATTATTTTTTCGTTTATTAAGACGTAAAATCCATAATCAACCAACGACTAAAAGAATTTACCGAGTAAAACTTTTCAAAGTGTTTGCTTCCCAAAAAGAAAACGTATAATAAACTTAACATAATTATTAAACCGTATAAATGTGAATACACTCACGACACGGAAACCATAACATCTAATAAACGTACATTAGTGTCGATAATATAGGTATATAGGCGCCTGTTTATTTTTATGTAAAAATATGTATAAAATGATTTCGTGATTTCGTATTGCACGTCTTCTTTACATTTATTATAAACGTTTTTAACGATAAACTGAAACCTAAAATTGTATGATATTAAACTAAACATCATAAAATGTATTGCGTATCTACACACCGAATCTGGGCTTAACTTTAGAAAAATTTCGAATATTTCAACCCAAAATGGTTTTACAGGAACGGCGGATAAGTGCGCGTCGAACCCGTGCGGACAGAACAGCCGGTGCAAAGACATTGCCGGCGGTTACGAGTGTCTTTGTCCTCCGGGATGCACAGGTGACCCGAGCGTACGATGCGTGTGCGATCAAGCCCAACAACGGTCGGACCCGTGCAAGAATGTCATTTGCGGAAAACACGCGCTCTGCCAACCGGTGAACGATCAGGACGCCAAGTGCTACTGCCCGACCGAATATCCCGCAGGAAATCCATACGTGCAATGTGAGAGCATTCGCAGGACGGCGCCGCCCTTCGGAAAAAACTAATTCTTAAATCGTACGTCGAAAAAATGTACGAAATTTTCTTTTTTTATTCCAGGCGAAATGAAAAAATTACCCTCGGACTGTCGGACGAACGGTTGCGGTAAGGGCGCTGTCTGTCAGCCGACGGACGGTGCGGGATCGACGGTGTACAATTGCCAGTGTCCACCCGGCACGACTGGTTCTCCGCTAAAAGAGTGCTCCCAAGGTAAGTCGTGTTTATTGTACCATAATATTACGTCGTCGGTCAGACGATTCTCGACATGCTCGACTTAATGTCATACAATTTAGGTACAATACGATATTATAATGTGTAGCCGCGAATATTATAATGATAATATACCGTAGTTTTTATGATGATAATACGATTTGTATAGTTTCGAACGGATATATACACTTAGCTGCTGCAGTTGTTTTATATAATATTAAACCAACAGTGTACATAATATTATTGTTATAGGTTTATTATACAGTTCGAGGATCTGACGAAATGTATAAATGAGATTTGTAGATATTGTTTTAATAGATAAATATGCATGGTTTTTTTTTTTTTATTTTTTTAAATAGTTACAGCTTTTGTACATATTATATTATATAAATAAGTGGTACGAATACATTATTGTTTTATTACCACTTTTCCACCTATTTATTTTATATTGGTTTGTAATATTGTATGGTTGGTAATATGTTCTGGATTTGTGTTCTAAATATTGAGTACACTATTGAGTTAACCGTGGAAGTATGAGCAGTTTCCCCCAATCTGGAATTTCCATTATAACGATTGATTAAAATATTATTCCACTCCGATTGAGAATACCTTCATTATGTATTCAAACCATTTCTTATGATCACGACCCTCTTCGCTACATGTTTTAGTATGATTAATTGGACATGATGTACAGCAGTCAATGTTCAGATTGGAGGGAACTGTGAAAGTGTTATATACTCACACGTTTAACCTAAACAATTGTAACTTATTGTGCACGAAGCGTGAGTTGCTTAAAACCTATTACATTGTAATTGAAAGTCACTATTTGTTTCTTGAAATGGTTTACTGCTTGGGCATATTATATTTTCAATGGCATGTTGTGAGAATAAATTCTTTCACAGTTCTTTCCATCACTTTTAATTATTTGTATATTTTAAATAATATGATAAGTTGGCTTAATGTTATCACCAATTAAAAATACGTATTTAACTCTTCGATAAACAAAGTAAAAATATAACAACATATTTAAAAATGTATTTCATAATAAAAGGAGATTTCTTAATCTACTAATACAACTTTATTCTTATTCCTTTGTATAATCTCAATAGATTTGACCTTTAACATAAAAATATATTTAATAAACGACTCATTAGCTTAATTGGCTATTACGGTTCATTAGTATTCGATTCGAAAACGTTTTATTATAAACGAAGTCATTTTATTGTATAATCAGAACCATTCGACCTGATCTAACCAGATTACGAAATATTGCAAAAAAATGATTAAAATTTATCGTGGGTAAATGTTAAATTCTTTTCGTCACGGTACTGCACTTATGATATTTGGGAATAATATTAAGCCATCTTAAACTCACACACTTTCACACACACCAAATACACCCGGACATCTATGTACACGAAATACGGGGCCGTATTTAGAGGGTGGTCTGATATTTTTTTTTATAATTATATCGATGCGGAACAATGTCATTATAGGATAATATCCTGTCGAGAAAATGAATACTTTAAAATAAATAACATAATATTTTTCGGTGAAACGAATTTTTCTTTTTTTTTTTTTACGTCTCGAGCCTCTTTATCACTGCGGAAAAACCTCTGGCAAACGATGAAAGATATTTTAATTTCAATGACGATGATTTCAATTGTATACAACATACGTACATATTATGTCATACCTATACGCAGTATACACTATCGCATTTACGATTATGAGCTGGGCCTAAGCGATACACGCGAATGTATATATACAATAAAATTCGAAGGATCTTCTCTCTACGACTTTCCGACACGCATATCAGCTAATATCTGCAGTAATAATAATACATTCAATACAGCCGATAGAGGGGTGTTATCTCGAGTTCGGGAGTCGCGGGAAAAACGCTAAACACGGCCCCGGAAAACGTGACATATGATAATATTACGTTGTGTACGTATATTTCTACCAATATAGTGCGTCTACACCTGCATATAATATCGGTACGATATTTTGGGTTAGACGCATATACCTAGTATATATAGTGTGTATATATATTTGACGTGTTCTGACGAAAAACTGTTATTTTTTTTTATGACGCGTTGCTATCGCCAGCGGTCGAATGCGCCGACGACGGTCAGTGTGCAAACGAAAAGACGTGCATCGACGGACGTTGCGTTGACGCGTGTAGCGTGAGAGACACCTGCGGCTTGAACGCTCTATGCCGGCCGGTGTTGCACAGGGCCCAGTGCGTGCCCGACTGTTACGCGGGGACCCGGCGGTTGGTGCGCGCGGCCCGGTGGCAGCTGCGTGCAGCGCGCCGGCGACGGCCGGCCGCCGCGTCCCGGTGCGCCGCGACGCGGACTGCGGCGTCGCGGGCCTGCAGCCCGGCGGACGGCGCGTGCCGGACCCGTGCGACGGCTGGCGTGCGACCCGCCCCGGGCCTGCGTGGTCCGCGACCACCGGGCCCGGTGCGCGTGCAAGCACGGTTTCGCGGTCAGCGAGCTGGGCGAGTTGTCGTGCGCGCCCGCCGAGCGCGAGTGCGGGCCGACGCGGATTGCGCGCCGCACCTCCGGTGCACCGGACAGGCCGGTGCGAGCCCGTGCGACGGCGGCGGCCCGTGCCCGGCCGACAAGCGGTGTCTGGTGCTCGACCACCGGGCCGTGCGTGCGCCGACAACTGCGCGCCAACCGCGTCCATGTGCCTCCGGACGCCGGGTGCCCGAGCACGAGGCGTGCGTCAACTTCGCGTGCGTCGACCGTGCGCGAACGCTCGTGTCTGGACGCCCGTGCGGCGTGGACGGGCACCGGCCGTGCTGCGTTCTGTCCGGCCGGTTACAGTGCCGATCGAAGTCGGGATCTGAAAGGTAAATGCCAAAAAGCAAACAACAAACCATACATTAACACACGACAACGACACGCGAAAGCTGTATTACCATCACCTTTGCGTGTGTGATTGTCATCAAGCGCATAAAACGTCATCAAGCGTGGTCGTTGTGCGGGGGGGAGGAAGTTGTGCTGTTCGCGCGTATCCGTCGTCCCCCGACCGCCCCCGAGTGGTCACGGGCTCTCGTGCGCCCGACGTTTTCGGCCGTCCTCGGTCGCGATCGTCCACGTACTGTGACGATCGCGACGCGTGTGTGATGGCCAGCGATCCCGCGAGAGTACGTCGCGTATATACTTTTGAACGCGTCCTCCATATTTATATATAGTATCGATCTGAGCGTACACGTTTTCCAAAAATCGGTTATTCGATACGAGAGCACGGATAAGTCACGCGGAATCTGTGGTGTAGACATCGCCCTCGGTGTGTGTTCGATATTATACGTTTACCGATGGTTAATTTTTCAGAAAAAAATTTCCGATGCCGATATAGACTATAATCTCTTCCAGAAGTATTAATTGATAAGGAATTGAATCTAGTTCGTGTTTTTTGGGGTCGGAAATAGAAAAATATGTATAATTTTTTTTCTTCATATTTTTCAAAATAATCACGAAAAACTTAGTATTTTTCATTATTTTTTTTTTCCATATCGTAATTCAAAAACGAGAAACCGTTTTTTTCAGAAATTTACTATGGAACACAAAAACAAATTCACGACTTAATAGAATTTATGATGGTTTTTTTCTAAAAGTTTAGTGTTTAATATTTTTATCAATAACGTCCATCTGAAATATTTCTCGTAGTAAAGATATTATAGCACAATACTCCTCCCCCACTCACATGTCCTACAATCCCGCCAAAGTGATACCATACTTTACCGCGGTACACCATGACCGGCTAGCATGCTATCTATTGGCGCATGGTGAACCAGCGAAAATCGAGTTGCATTTCAAGTGGGCTGCTTGTGGTTCTTCTTCTCAAGTAGTGAAGCTTTCGGTCCATTCGGGATCAACAAATTTCAGCTTTTTTTTTTTTTTTTTTGAGGGAGAAGCGCGTAAACGCCACCGCTATGGATTAGAACTTCGATGTCCGTTTCTCCCTCGATATCCTCTTTTGCGCTTATGTCACGCGCAGCTCACTGTCCGTCGTCGTCCGCGTCTATTTGTAGAGTCTGCTAATTAGGCAATACATATTATAATAATTGTGTCGTTGTTTTCTCTGTACGATTATGCTAAAATAAATGTACGGTCGAACCTCGTTCGGCGCATGCGCGACGACGGCGTGACGCGTGCCTTCTATACTTTATAAAATAATTTATAAATTTAATATGTTTGATTATAATTAATTTATATTATATTTTTTTCACGAGTGGTTTCGCGCTTTTTAGACCGCGAGCACGCGCGTTTTCCACACCTGTACGCACTTATAAACACGACTTAAAAACGTCGTTGCGACCGCGTGCATGTTACGCTTAGACACTCGTGATTAAAATGTCGTGCATGAGGTGCGGTGCATTGAAGTCTCCGTCACCGACTACATACTTTATAAAATACCTATAAAGATACAATATATTGTATATAATATGTAAACATTTTACATGTGTGTATAATGTGTATGTGAGTCCGTGTACATATAAGAGTGTACATACTACAATATGTAATAAATAGCACGCGTGACCTACAAATACTATCATGAGCTCATCGTCCGTTTGTATGCAAAAATAAAATTGAAAGCAAATTTTAACGTAAAAAAATTAAAAAGTTTGGCTATTGGTATGTATACATACCTATACAACAATAGAGAGCTGCGGACGATTGCGTAAGGTCGTTAAAGACTGCCGCGGTACGATTGTATGAATACATGTTACACACTCGCTATAGTATTATTTCACCGATTATACGTCCGACGCGCGTCCTTCCTACAAATATTAAAATAAACATCATCACGGACGTAGAAAAAAAAAAACGTAAAAAATGTAAAATCCAGACGTACCTATAATACCTATACGGCTCAAACGCACTAATTGTTGAATATAATAACTTTCACTGGGGCTGAACTGTACGCCGAAGATAGTAAATAGTAATAATAACAATAATTTATGTAAACTAAAATGCGTGCAAACATATATCATTTATATATATATATATATATATTCGTATGTATATTAATATATTCAGATAGAGAATAAGAGAATAGTAGCACGCGTACACGCACATACACTCACACTCACATACACTTACAATTTTACGACTGCGCTACGGTTGGTTAAGCCGCCGTGAAAGTAAAGTCGTTCCACCACATAATACATAATATAATATATATATACTTTTATTATTATTATTATTATTTTTATTATTGTAATGTCAGTGTGCGGCCTGCACAGGTTTAAATCCACACGCCGGCTATTTACATTTGCGAACAGCGGCGGCGGCGGCGTCGGCGGCGTCGGCGGCGAAGATCTTCGCGTTCGGCGAGCCACCGATCCCCACCGCCGTCGCCGCCGCCGCCGAACCGTTTATATCTTTCATATTTTAATTGACGTCTCTCCCCCTTTTGGCTTTTACCCGTTCCGCGGCAGTTTTCAGTCCGAGGCGCGCGATCGACATTTGATTGGCCGCTGTAATTTTTTTGTTTTATTTCAGCGCTCCGGAGGAATATGCATGTCACCCACCTACTATACAACTGTTGTTGTATACCTCTACGCTCTGCTGCAGTGCGCCGGGAACGTTCGCCGGAGACGATACGTCCTGTACACATTTCTTCTTAGCGCTCTCTGTTGCTTCACTATTTAAACCGCCGTTGCAGTTATTAAAAACTGTACCGCCGTAATCGCTTTCGATCACGTTTTCGCCCCGAACGCGTTACAGTCGGTAAAGTGTTTGATGTGGTAAAAATGATGTGTTTGACTCTGTTGTGTCATGGTATTACTTAAGCGATTATTGTTTTACTATGTACTTTTCGTGTCGCTGTTGAGTTCAAGAGTATCGGCTCGACGAAATGGTGATTGGTGTTATTGTTTTACTTTATTTTACACTTTATATTTTATAAGCTTGTTTCGGTGACGGTTAATAACTGCGCAGACCATTGTTATTGTACTTGCAAACATGACTCTAAGACTCGTACTTAGGATCATGTCGGCAACACTTTAACGTCTGACGCGCTAACACAAACGCTTATCAACCATTACGATAACAACATATCGTAGGTAAAGCCGGAAAATCGATCGAATGAAATCCGAACGAATTCGATCTATATCTGCGTTCCTTATACTGTTCTAAACTTAATTTTATAAACACGCAATGTCGTTTGGCGATTTCAGTGGTCGGATGCTCCGGGCACTATGAATGTCCGTCCGGACAAGCGTGCATTGCGAATCAATGCCAAAACCCGTGTCAACACAACAATCCATGTAATTCACAACAAGACTGTCAAGTACAAGACCATCAACCAGTTTGCTTGAAATGTAAGTGCCGCAATCGCTGTTGATATTATGCTAATTGCAGATAATTATATCACCGACTTTTCCCTTGACCTGTATATTTTAGTTAAATTTACGAAACATTTCTAATATATTTTATTATTATTATTACTCTGTTTGCTAAAATCAGACTACAAACATCATCAATACATCACCCACCCGTTATATAATATAGGTCATATTTCCAAGGTCAAACTGTCAATAAAATAATTTACATCACGAGATTTTTGAAATTATTGTTGTCACGTTTTTTTTTTCCTTTTTCATACTCTCTAATTTAATTTATTATAATACAATTATTTGGTTTTAATATTTATTTATATCAAGAACGGAATAACTGCTTAAATTATTTGATCAGCGTAGATACTGAATATTCTATGATTTCACAATCATTATATTATTATTTCGCGGGCGTAACGCTTAATAAACACAGCGAAATAACTCGGTTTATTTTTTTTGATGTTGGTCAGGATTGCCTTATACATTTGTGTTTTTGATTTTCTTCATACATCATAACATAATGTCATATTGAAATATTTGGGTACTTTTAACCACCAAATATCCATTCACTATTAATTCAATATATGCGGCGTGTTTAGCTTTGTACACTGCAGTATGTGCGGTATATACGTATATATACATATACCGCACATATAAGTATCATATATGATATATGTTTATATAATAAATAATGATATTATGACATTCGTAAAGTATACAGTATACACGGCATAGTCTTCCGCTTTAAATTGTATTTAATTTCTTTTTATTAACAGTGACTAAAACAACAATTTTAATGATTTAAATTATATTTATAGTATGCCAGTGCCAAAAGAACGATCACTGCCAAAACGGTTACGTGTGCGACGGATGCAACTGTATATTATCGAGTAAGATATTCTATTTATACAGAACTGTCAAACAATCTTTTCAAAATTATTTTTGAAAGATTTAAAAATGTTTACTCCATTTTAAATTTCGAACTTTTTTAACGCGTAGGTCAAGATCCTATTGCGATCCCGGGATGTGAGCATTGCCCGACCGGTGTACCATGTGATACGATAACTGGAGCTTGTGCTAAAGGTATGTGCGAGTATTTAACTCAAATGGGATAATATTTAGATAATAGATGTGTTGCTGTTTTTAAAACCTCCTCACTCCTTCCTTACATAATCACGACTTCAAGACATCCGACGAAGAATCAAGCATCGAAACATCATTTTGACGATACTTGCTTCTTTACTTTCTCTTTAATTGCTTAATCTTGTGTATAAAGTGTTTATATTTCCTTTAGTTCATTTATGTAAATAAATATTCGTAATTTCTATTATCATGTAAATATTATGTGAATATACGTGTCAGATAGCAGCACATCTCAATGTTATTTTTAATGAAAGTGAATACGTAAAATAAGCGTTTGTTTGTATTTCATACACTCAAAACTCGAAAGTAACATTATAAATGTCTCTGATATAATTGTAAAAAAGTTCAATGATAGATAGACTTGTGGGTATTTTTGGGGGGGAATGTGACGCAAAAGCACAGACTGCAGCATGGGGAATATTATATTGTACTACAGTTACATACATAAAATACAAAAATATACATAGGACTATATCGCATGCGTATTTAATAATTTAAATAAATTATTATACAGTAAGTAGAATTGTTTAGTTTTGAACACATTTATACATTATACGTAGGTACTTAATCGGTTGTCGAGTAGAAATAATTGTAGAATGGGTTGCATGAGTTATCGATATTCTTATTTTCTTTTAAATGCTTTACACATATCATATCAAACATACACGAGTAATGTAGTATATTATTATTATTATTTTTACTATACATAAACTATTATATCGAATCAATAAATCTCCGCTATGACGAGAAGATTTTATTTATTTTCGTATTGTTATACACTCATACAATTGTAGTATTATTATAGATATTAGTTATTTAATCGATTTCACCGTATACACGAAAGTTCGTGTACTTACTAAATAAATGTATTTCGCTCACTTACATTAATGATCATTATGAAGGTGCTCCTAACTTGTGTAGAATATAACTTTGTTTTTATCATACATTTATAGTTTATACATTATATCATAGTAAATGCTATCAATTTTATTAGTTATATAAATTTATGTATTTCATTATTTTTTATACCACTGATACCTGCAGTGATACTATACAAAATACACACACATATACATTACACCACACACACACGCATACATATTATTATCTACAATATTTGCTTGTTTATTTAACTATCATGTGCATGCAATGGTGACTAGAGCTTTATTAACAACGGAGAAACCTCCACAAGTCTGAATGAAATTAATAAAAATAATTTTTTTTTTTTTTTTTAATACTGCAAAAGCGCCTCTATGTTATAACAGAGAGAACAGACGCTTATGTAGTACCAGAACAAAATATTATTAACTTTCGTTTGTGTCAATTGCAATTTCGTAATTTTGACAAACAAATGAAATGTGACAATATTATTGTGTTTTTATGTAAAAAGCTTTCACTTTGAAGTCTACTTTTAATCTTTTAACCTATACTAACTGTTTTTGTTTTTAATGTGTGTTGTTCCCGCTTTTGTACAAAACACAGTAGACTCATTACCGCAATACACTGTTACAACCATCACAACTAACGATATACTAATATCTAGCCTTAGCACAGAAAACTCTAATGTATTGACCGAAATCACTACCACCCCTGAAATCGATACGACTGATAAAGCTGACCAATTTTTGACAACCGAAATTAATCAATTAACTATTAGCTCTTCGGTACCGACGAAAATGTTTAAAGGTGACGACTTAAATTTTAATAAAAATGATAAATCCGGTATAACAACGATTGAATCGATAACAGACTATAGCGTTACAATAACCGAGCCCTCAATAGCATTGTTTGATGAGTACACTACCAACAATGATTTAAGTTTATCGACTGAGCGACAAGAAGATGAAAATAAAATAAGTTTCACTAGTAGTACTTGGATCGATTCAGATGAAAAAACTACAACTGTGACTATGGCTAATATAAATGAAGAAAATGAAACAAATATTAATACATTTTATCGCGTGACATCAGAACCCAACTTTCAAATAAGCACTATTCCGGATTTAATAAACATCGTTGATAATGTTAGCGATTACACGACGCAAAATTCAATATTAAACGCAGACGAAATTACAAATACAATGGATAGCGTGACATCAAAACCAGACGTACAAATAAATACTATTCCTAATTTATTAAACAATAGTAGTGATAATTTTGTTGAAATTTCGACCCAATATTTTGTACCCAAAACTGCTGAAACAATATCACTGTTTGATGAAAATTTAGAAACGACCACTTTTAAGAATGACATCGAATCCACTTCTATGACTATTGCAAACAATACTCAGACATTAACGACCGAAAACACTATGGATTCGACTCAACTGAAGCAAGATTCATTTAAGACGACTATGTCCAGTCCTATAGAAAACGAAACAAAATATTTCAATAGCAATTATGACGATAATTTATCGTCAACCACTATCACATCAGATATTTCTACTAACCCGAACTTAGTAACAGAAAGTGCCCTAAAGTCACAGAATAAAATAATTATTGAAACAACCGAGTTTTCGGAAATTTTAACAGAAACAACTACAATCGATGTGTCTAATAAATTTTCATCAACTTTAACACCTGATGATTTGAAAATTGACATTATTGATAATTTGATAAATGATATTGACACGACTACTCAAAATGTGATTCAGGATTACGATTCAAATATGGTAGAAATTACAACGAAAAATACTAAAGAAAATTTTACAGAGCTCAATAATTATGATGATAATAATAATTTTAAAATTACTTCAACAATGTTCGATAGTGATAATATGCACACGAGTACTGACAAAAGTATATTATTTAATCAAAATGAATCTACAGAGAGTTCAACTAACTTAATTTTATCCAAAACCTCCGATAACACTTTAAACGTCGATACTGAACAAACAATTTTAGAAACTACATCAAATTTAAATTTTATACCTAGTACTGTTCAAAGTATGAGCGAAAATCATGAAGTTACAACGGAAAATTCGAACGAATCTATGAATTCTAGAACAATTTATTTCGACGAAGAAAATGAAATAAAAATTAATGAACAAAGTACAACAAAATCATATACAGAAATAAGTACTGAATATGCAAAAAACAACGTAGAGAATAATTTAACGGATAATCCTAACGTTGTAAAATTTAACACGCCAACAGTTCCCACTGAGTTAGATAACAATTTGCAAGTTAAAAACATTTCTTCATTTTTAGAAACTTCTACATCAAATGAACTTCCTGTGTCTATAAGTACAATAAACAATCAAGAAGGTACAACATTAATTACACCAAACGAATTTTTTGACTCTAAAAATAATGTCACGACTGATTTAAATACAAATGAAGGAACAACGACAAAGTCTCATATCATAACAACTACTTATAATTATTTAAATGAGGGTACTGATCGATATAATGAAAACGATCAAGTACTTACCACTAAAAGTTCAGAAAAAATCGTCGACATTTTTACTAAAAATACAACTGAAATTTTTTACGAAGAAAATGAACTTCTCTACACAACTACAAATCCTATTTCATCTTCAATGACAACAATTAAAAACATACAAATCGATACTGAAAAAATACCAGAAGACGAAACTACGACTATTTCCAAGAATATAAATGACATTGATACGACATCTATAAATGTAATAGACGAAGACATAAAAACAACGACAGTAGACGCGATCAATAAAAATAAAGAAAACAATTTTACACTTGTTAGTTTAATAGAAACGACTCTCCACCCGGTGACAATTAGTTCAAACGCAGAAATCATAACTTCAAATAATCAAATTGATGAGTACACAACCGTGAACGGTGTCGTGTCCAATAACTCAACCGAAGAAAACACTCGACGACCCATACCAACAGATGAAAATGAAGTGACGATCACCATGACGACATACAATCATCAAGTGACGAACGAACCCGTAGAGCACCCGTCTAATACGATTGATGCAGGCGACGACGAGGTGACGACTAGCGTGCCCGAAATTACTACTCAAACCGTAGAATCGTCGATAGTGCCCAGTTTGGCAAGTATAAACGACAGTAACGTGTCTCAAGACGTTAAAAAAAAATGGGAATTGTTGTTCGACGGTACAGGAAGTGTAAGTGTACCGCCCGTGAGCGAATCTTCGACCGCTGTGGAAACCCGACTTACGACAGTAATTAACGGTATGGAAGAAACCGTATTAAATACAGAACCCACCGAGGCAATTGTTTCGAAAGAAATTTTTACTGAAAACCGCCAAGTAACAAACGGTTCTGTAAACAACGACGTAGCTAATAGTATGGGATATGATTTAACAACGACCGTTCGTACACGTGGGAAAAATGAAAGCGTTATAACATCGACCGACGTCGCGGATAGAGATGATACAATCTCTGCAAACGAAATGTATACAATGGATAATGAGGTAACCACTGTATCAGATTTTGAAAGAAAAAACGAATCTATTGTTTCGACACAAATTCAAGGAGACCGGACCGATAACGTTTTAGCTGGCGGTGATCGAACAACAGAACAAATTATGACGTTCGGTTCAATAAATAATACGTTACTCGAAACGACCACTGCAAATACACCTACGGCAACGGACAGCGCGATATTTACATCTAAAGACGTGGAATTCAAACATGCCGATCGAGAAACGACCACGGTCACAATTATCACCATGGCGGATTGGATTAAAACTAAGAGTACCACTCCAAAAGAATCTTCTAATGAAATCGGTACAGAGAAAAGCGTAGAAAACAATTTATTTAACTCTCCGATAGATTTCAACGCACCCAAAAACAGTGATTTCGTTACGACAGATATTCCGCTGGAGCCGTTAGCGAAAACAGACGACCAAGACCAAGTCGAAACGTCTTCGATCATATCAGTGAGCGACGCTACCACGATGATAAATTTGTTTACGACTTCTATAGAAGTGCTCGTGTCGAACTTAAATACTGAAAACGATTCGACAGCTACTGCTGAGAGTACAGTTACTACTACTAATGCAGTTACAAGCGCGTTTACAGAAAATTACGAGACCACGACCATTGCGGGGTCAAAAAAAAGTGATTCCGGAAATACGCCCTCAAATCCATACGAAATTATGTATGACTTAACGACGATTCAAGACGGCGTGGACGTCACGACCGAGTCTAACCTAAACACCGATAGCCCCGCGCAAAAATTTACTGTTTTACCAACCGAAGATATTACGCTCACGTTTAGAACAGATACTCCTAACAACGCCAATTTTAATGACGAATCGACGTCCCGTTACACCGACCAAGACACGACGGACTTGAACGATAATAATAATTTGTTGACTACGACCGAATACACAATAACGTCTAAGACTATTGAAATCGAAGATGTGACTGTAATACCTGTAAACCACAACCTAACGAATATAAACAACAGCTACTCTGTACAACAACAAATAATAACCACAGCAACCAGAAAATGGTGTTGGAACGATACCGATTGTGATGCCGGCCACAAATGTTTGGCAGCCAAGTGTCTACCAACAGGTGAAAGCCGCGTAAATAACTGTCCGCCCGGAATCATCACATTACAGTGTCTTAAAGGTATAATTTACACTTAATACTAATACAAAAAAAAAAATCCGCTTTTATATTAATTTGTGTTTTAGCATGTTTTGTGTTTTAATTAGTATATATTATGTAGACTATATTGTAGGCATGGAATTCGCAATTTAAATGTGTCGTTACTTTTGTTATTTGTTTGTCATGTTGTCATATTTTTTAGAGAAGAATCGAACAGCAACGTTAATGTTATTTTTTTATGTACACGTACGATATTATTTTAATACCAGTCGGTCCGAAAATGAAATACATATCAGTCAGTGCTTTAGCGTTTACATAGGATCTGTGTATTCAATATAAAAAAATCATTAATTTAATAAGTGAAACGTATTTACGTTTCTAATGTCTGAGGAACTTAGGATTAGGTTACTTTCACAGAAATGATAGTAATCGAAGCATGACTTAATGAAATAGCCACTATAAAAGATACCATCAATTCACAGTTTAAACGATCATCAATTTAAATTAGATTTTCCAGTTTTTATTTAATTTTCTCGACGATCAAACGATTCGATCTTGACGATTGCCATATACATGCATATATTTTTACATAGGTACATATATGTATATATGTATGTATAATTTGAACACTTTTGGCGCTCATCTGCTTACGAATAATAATTTATATAATAAATTAAAAACTTAATCGTATAAAAATAAAACTAAACAACAAATTAATTTTAACTGGAATCTCTGAGTTAAATACTGATGTGTCATTTAATATCTAACTACGTAACTATAAGCGATGATTGTCAATAATAACGCATGTAATAATATAATAATGTAAATAACACTAATCTTGTACATATATATATATAATACCATACAGCACCAGGTACCGCGAAAAAGCCGCAAGTATGCGAATCCGACACGGAATGTCTGGACTCGGAAGCTTGCTACATGGGACAATGTGAGAATCTGTGTAGCTTCGCGACGGTATGCGCGACAAACGCCAAATGCCACGTGATAAAACACAGGCCCGTGTGTTCGTGTCCCCCAGGATACGAAGGAAACCCGGCTACAAAGTGTTATCGGCCAAAACTATGTAAGACTAATCACATCACTAATTTCATATAATACGTTACCTAAATATTAATGATTAACACGGTTTAACTACATAATAATAATAATGATAATATAATTAATAATTAATAATGTACAAAAACAAAAAAAAAAAAAAACACACGCACACACAAAAGACACGATCACCGTGAGAAAACGATTGTAATAATAATAACATAATATTGTAGATATATTTGTACAAATAAGGCCTACTCGGTTTCACGTAAATGAGTTGATATCATGTAATATAATATATATTGTTCACGTAGGTATAGCATTGTATCATATAAATGCGGGGTTATCATAAACATGTAAATACCTATACATAAATCTTTTTAATATATCCACTGCACGGTACCGCCCTTCTTGGGTACCGTCTAATTTTTTTATTTTTTTATTTTTAATGGTTTAAAATTCTTCGTCTTATCTATATTTTATTCTTATTTTTTACCACGCTCCAAATTTAGTAACCTGCAATACGAACAACGATTGTACGAACGGCGAAGTTTGCATCCAGCAAATTTGCCAAAACCAATGCACCGTTCACAACCCGTGCGCTCAAAATGCAGCGTGTATTAACACCGCTCATGGGGTCGATTGCAGCTGCGTAGAAGGATTTCAAGGCAACGGATTTGTAGGATGTCTACCAGGTTAGTTTCAATCAATCTTAGATGAAAATCAAACAATTTATTAGTCATTAATCTATTGTTACCATTGCAAATTTTAAATATGGGTAATTAAGCACTATTGTTGTCGATGGTACGAAGACTTAATGGTGCTTTATAACATCGTTAAAAATATTAAAAATTTATTAGAGATAAAACGTGGATAATACTAAAATAATATGTAACACGTATTTAGCAAAACCCAACAAGTTGTAATGAATAATGATCGATGTAAAAATTGTTATTTAACACAGACGATAGTATATTAATGTCTTGCGGAGAGCGGTCATTTTCACTTTTAAATTTTTTTTACTATAGTATCGATTGTGATTATAATTCATTAAAACGTTTTTTATTAACCAATATATGGTTTACAAATAATATACTTTATATCTACACACATGGGGTAGTATACGGTCTATACTATATTTTCTGACAGAAAAAATCTTCATAAAATAATCTACTGGACGGTACTTTAAAAGTTAAAATAGTTCTTATGAAAATTATTAATTATTGATAATATTCGTTGTGTTCAACGTTTTCGTAAGCACATAGTTTAACTAAATCATTTGAATATTTTATAGTTCGATCGTACAAACCCATTTGTCAATACAACGAAGACTGTCCGCCAGATAAATTATGTGATCGATTAAATCGCGTCTGCATAAATCCTTGTGCGGAAGACTCTTGCGGTGAAAATGCCGAGTGTTATCCTGTAAACCACGGTACAGAATGCAGATGTTTACAAGGCCATCAAGGAAATCCATACATATCTTGTGCATCAGGTATATTTACGATATATTTTTAATTAATTATTATACGCGCACTGCAGCTATATACCTAGTATTTACAAATCATATAAATATCCATAACAATATTTTTCTTTAAATATATGATTAGTCACCGGATGTCGGTCGAACAAAGAATGTTCAACTAATGAAGCGTGCATAAATGGAAAATGCTCTAATCCATGTCGATGTGGTCCAAATGCCGTATGCGATGTTGTGAACCATAAAGCAACATGCAAATGTCTTGCCGGCTACAACGGAAATCCATTATTAGGATGTCAAGGTAATTACTAATTACTAAATTTGATTATCTTTGTATCACAAATAGTACTTTGGTTTTTTTATTTAAATAACCCTTTGCCGACCAACGGGACTTTTGAGTACTCTGTACATTTTATCCATTTAAACATAGATAAAATAAATTGAGAACTATCTGACCATATAGACTTATAAGTCACACCATTTTGTAATCGATAACATTCCCGAAAATTTTCCGTGAAATCAATAGATGGCGTTTAATATATCACTTAATAAAATAATTATAGTTTAGCCCATAAAATAATCGGTTAATAAAATAATTATAGTTTGGGGCCCATAAAATAAATATCGATATTTATATAAATAGCCACAGCGCGAACCACTATAGACAAGTATTGGGTTTTATTATTGTTATTTTATCATTATAATCCCGAGAAACAGAATGTACTATTGAATAATATTATTAAGTATAAATATGTTTTTATTGACAATAATCGCAGCGGACTTTGAAGTCCCTATTGTCTACTGTGACATTTATATAGTTGACGAATATTTTCATATTCATTAGTAGGTACTCACTACTCAGTAGTCAGTCTCAGTAGTCACGCACTCGCGGGCTCAGCTTATTGTTTATAATATTTTATTCTTTTCGTTCTTGAGTATTGAGTCTGCTCGTTTGTTATTTAAATTTACTCGGTTATTTTTTAATTGTAAAATTAATAAATTTATTACATTAAATGATCAAGAGATCATAAGTTCATTTATGTGATAAATTATTAGTTATAAATTTATAATATTGAACATAGTAACCACTACATGTTCTAACTAGAATCTACAATGTTAAAAAAATGACCATTGATTTTTTGATACAGTAAGTACTTTTTTAAGTTTATATTGTTGTAAATTTTAAAAATTAATTTATTCTATTATTTTACATAGTCATTATATTTTTAATTAATTAATTAATTAAATTTAAATTAATTATTACTCATTTATCATTGGAAATAAGAAAATAGTAGTGCTGTAGTGGACCATAGGGACTTTTAATTATACCGCTTAAATGACCAATGGGACTTATTTGTCCCATTTCTCAAAAGTATATTAAAAAACCTCCCAATTTGAAATTATATAATTTTTAAATTCATCAAAAAAATTATAAATTATAATTTTGCAAAAAAAAAAAAATTAAATTTTTATCATCATTTATGGTTGGTCTACAAAGGGTTAATTTTATCCTCAATAATAAAAATAAATTGATATATTTTTAATGCAATTTTAGCACCTCAAAATCCCTGCGATCCAAATCCTTGTGGAATGCACGCCCTTTGCGAAATCGACAATGGAAATCCAATTTGCTACTGTCCGAAAGGAATGACAGGAAATCCATTTAAAAGTTGCAGTAAGTTGAAATTCAATATATATCATTAATACACAAATTAATTAATTTTAGTGTATAACCATAATTAAATAAATAAATCGCACCACATTTTAATACCCATAAACCTTGGTATTCTGTTTATAATTAATGTCTTTAATTTCAGTTCCTGAAGGTGACGAATGCTCACCAAATCCGTGTGGCCCCTATTCTGGATGTAGAGTAGTGCAAGGTTCTGCAGTTTGTTTCTGCTTATCTGAGTATGAAGGAGATCCTCCTATTACACCTTGCCGTTTACCAACCAATCCTTGTACACCATCTCCATGCGGACCTAACACTCAGTGCACATTGTTGGATAATGGATTTGCCAAATGCACATGTTTACCAGGCTATATCGAAAGTCCAAACACAATACGCGGATGTGTAGAGAAAAAGAATCCATGTGAACCAAATCCTTGTGGACAAAGCGCAGTATGTGATCCAAACAGGCAACCATCATGCTTTTGCCCGGAGCCATTAATTGGAAATCCATACAAGTTTTGTGGTGGTATGTATTATTGTACCACTAAATATATTCTTATCAAAAATTAAATTTGAAATTTTTTATAAAATTATTTTTAGAACCATTGAAAACATTATGTCAACCGGGACCTTGTGGAATAAATGCAGATTGTTATGTTACTGGAAGCAATGAACAGTGTTACTGTAAAAATGGCTATTCCGGAAACCCTTACGATGGCTGTGTTTTAATTCCAACAAGTCCTTGTGAACCAAACCCATGTGGAAAATATGCATATTGCAAAATTTCACCTGAAGGTATTGTACCAGTATTCTTACATTTACAATGTGTTGATTTATTAAATTTTTTTAACTATTAAATAGGAAAACCATTATGTTCCTGTCCGGATGGTATGGGTGGAAACCCATTAACAGGATGTAAAGGCCCAGAATGTTCAACTAACGATGAATGCCCATGGGATAAATCATGCTTAGGTTATAAATGCAATGATCCATGTCCAGGAGCGTGTGGAGTAGGAGCTTCATGCAAAGTTGAAAACCATCGCCCTGTATGTACATGTAATCGCGGACTAACTGGAAATCCATTATTCCGTTGTTATCAAATAAGTAAGTTTTTAAAATTACAATTGATAAAATAAAATAATAATATTGAATAATGAAATCTTATATAATAATGTTTACTTATTTATTAATTGAAGGTTCAGATCCAGCTCCAACTGGAAATCCGTGTTTACCCAACCCTTGTGGAATTAATACAGAATGTAAAATTCAAAATCGTAAACCTGTTTGTACTTGTTTACCCAATTTTGTTGGAGATCCTAAGACTGGATGTCAGCCAGAGTGTGTTTTAAATACTGACTGTAAGAATCATCAAGCTTGTATTGATTACCGTTGTCGAGATCCATGTGCATTTGGAAATATTTGTGGTCTTGGCGCCGTATGTCAATGCAAAGATCATACACCACTATGTTCTTGTAGAGAAGGTTTTGTCGGAGATCCATTCCTACAATGTTTACCAAAACGTAAGAATTAAATACATTAAATGCATTAAATATTCTTATAATGTTGAATAATGTGCATAATTACTTTTTATTGCCTTTTTTCAAATTGTACAATTATTTGAAATTTTTAGCTGACGACGAGCCATTTAAAAATATGACTCTTCCTTGTGCACCTTCACCATGTGATCCATATGCTTCTTGCAATGTCTATGGTGGTCAAATAGCTATGTGTGATCCCTGCTCTTCAGCCGAACAACAATGGAATCCACAATGTCATCCTCAGTGTTTATACAACTCTGATTGTCCATTTAATTTAGCTTGTGTGGGACAGAAATGTATTGATCCTTGTCCAGGGTCATGTGGTATTCAAGCTGAATGTACTGTTGTGTATCATAATCCAATTTGTTCATGTCAATCGGGGCTAGTAGGAAATCCGTACGAACATTGTACTACTCCAAAACAAAGTATGTCAAAATTACAATTAATTAATAATCATAAAGAGAGTCTATAAGCTATAATTTATTGATTTTTTTTTTTTTTAAGACGATGTAGCCAAGCCTCTTACATGTGATCAAGTGCAATGTGGAGCAAATGCTGTTTGCAAAAAATCAAATGGAATGACTATTTGTGTTTGCCGTCAACAGTATTACGGAAACCCATACTTATCATGCAGGCCCGAATGTGTTATAAATACAGATTGTGGTCAAACATTAGCTTGTATTAATAACAAATGCGTTAATCCTTGTTTGGGAGTATGTGGTGTTAATGCTCAATGCCAAGTAGTTAATCATTTTCCAGTATGTTTTTGCCAACAAGATTATTCAGGAGATCCTTTCGTTAGCTGTTATCAAGCTGCTAGACCAAGTAAATAATAATTGATGACTTACTGTTAATGAAAAAAAAAAACTTAATACAATTAACTTAATGTCATTTTCAGATTATCCACCAATAATGGGCCCTGCAGATAATGCTTGTGACCCATCTCCGTGTGGTTCCAATAGCCGCTGTCATATTTCGGAACAAGGATTTGCAACATGTTCATGCTTACCAGGATATCGTGGTTCTCCACCAGTATGCAAACCGGAATGTGTTGTAAGCGCGGAATGTCCTCAAACTCAAGCTTGCTTAAATCAAAAATGTGTTGACCCATGTCCTGGTACATGTGGTGTTGGAGCTAATTGTTATTCTATTTGCCATAATCCGATCTGTAGTTGTCCACCAGGACATGTCGGTGATCCATTCGTAAGCTGTCATTTACCTCTTGGTTCGTATTAAATTTTATATATTAATATTTTATTATTATTACAGTGGTTCTATTTATTTTATTTATATTATTATCCCTCTATCATAGGTGAAGAAACTCCTAAAATACCTGGAAATCCTTGCGAACCTACACCATGTGGTCCAAATTCAATTTGTGAAATTAAAAAGGGACATCCAGTTTGTTCATGTTCTCCAAATTATATTGGAAGTCCGCCATATTGTCGGCCAGAATGTATAATGAATCACGAATGTCCACACAACAAAGCATGCATTCAAGAAAAATGTCAAAACCCGTGCACAAAATCATGTGGTTTGAATGCTAAATGTGATGTTGTAAATCATACACCATTCTGTACTTGTGAATCAGGTTATGAAGGAGATGCATTTATTAGCTGCACTAAAATTCCACCAAGTAAGTCTAGTTTGAAATAAAATAGTTATAATTTAATTTATTACATTACATTTATTTATGAGATTTGTGAGTCTTATGTTTTAAAAACATAAGAAAAATTTAACTTATTTATTATTAGCTAGTTCTATTGTTTTGAATGCATAATAAATTTGTAAATTTTGATATTGAATATTTAAAAGTTTATATGTTTGTTCTGAATTTCTTTGTTTAGTTTTAATTAATAATTATAATATGATATAATTATTTATTTATAAATTTTATTTTAGTTTTTAGTTAAAATACTATATGATAACGTAAATACTTATGAAATATAAACTAATCATCATGTTTAATGTTATTTTAGCTGTGTTACCTGAAATTCCAAGAGATCCTTGTAATCCTTCGCCATGCGGTGAAAATACTCAATGTTTTAGTGAACACAATGGAGTTTCAAAATGTGTGTGCATACCACCTTATATCGGTAACCCTTACTCTGGAGGTTGTAGGCCAGAATGTTTGATGAACAGTGATTGTATGTCAAACTTGGCATGTTTGGCTAGCCATTGTCGAGATCCATGCCCAGGTGTATGCGGTATTAACGCTCAATGTAATGTTGTTAGTCATGTACCAGTTTGTACTTGTTTACCTGGATATGTCGGAGATCCATTCCAATCTTGTAGAAGAGAACCAATTACACGTAAGTGGATATATGTTAACAAAATATTTTTAATTAATTTAAACATGATTTAATTTTATACTGTTTGTAGCGCCTACTCCTCAAAACCCGTGTGAACCTTCACCTTGTGGTCCAAATAGTCAATGTCGTACTCAAGGTTATAATGCAGTTTGCTCATGTATACAAGGTTTTATTGGAACCCCTCCCTCTTGTCGTCCAGAATGCGTTGTAAGTGCTGAATGTCCAATAGACAAGGCATGTATAGCACAAAAGTGTTCAGATCCTTGCCCTGGAACATGTGGATTACACGCTCGGTGTAATGTCATTAATCACAATCCTATTTGCACTTGTCCACCGAAATTCGTTGGTGATCCATTTGTGAGGTGTATTCAAGAGGGTAAGTCTTGATAAAAAAAATAAAACATTAATAATACATGTTATTTATCATAACTATTCTACAGAACCTAAAACTCCTCCGATCGTCTACCAAGATCCTTGTTTCCCATCACCATGTGGTGCTAATTCTGAGTGTAGAGAACATGATAGTAGACCAGTTTGTTCATGTTTACCGGGCATGCTTGGAGCTCCTCCTAACTGTCGACCAGAATGCTTAATTCATGCTGACTGCCCTACTAGATTAGCATGTCTACAGAGTAAATGCCGAGATCCTTGTACTGGATCTTGTGGATTTAATTCTAGATGTACTGTAATCAATCATCAACCGGTGTGTTCATGTGAGCCGGGCTACCAAGGTGATCCATTTAATGGGTGCAATGCTGTCGCAGGTATGTTTGATTTTATAAAGCAAACTATTATTCTTATATTTTTATTAAAACTAAATAGTCGTAACAAAGATTTATTTATCAATCAAATAACATTTGTTATAAGTTGCCATTATTATTGTACTAACTTAGTATACCACTAATGGCTTATAGTTATTTAAGTGTTCAAACATAACTAAATACCATTAAAATTACTTAACAAAACAAACTACAACAGTTGGACTACTATACAGTTAAGGTTGTTATTATTATTATTATTATTAATAGCAAAACCAAAAGGAAAACCACGTCTGTCTTGTTATGGTTCTACATGTGGTCATAATGCGATATGTAAGAGCAATTTTAACAATGAAACTTGCGTTTGTAAGCATAATTATCTTGGGGACCCGTATATTGGATGCCGTCCTCGCTGTACACTCAGTGCAGATTGTCCGAAATTAGATGCTTGCATTAATTCTGAATGCATTGATCCATGTAAAAATGCATGTGGTCTGCGCGCTCGTTGTCGAGTAGTCAACCATAACCCAATTTGCTTTTGTCCAAATGACATGACTGGCAATCCACTAACAATATGCAACAAGATATCAAATTGTAAGCATGCTTTCTTCCAACCTATAGTCATTAAAACTAATTTCATTTTCATAAATGTTTTCTTAATATTCTATTTAAACAATAGTATTGAAATATAGTGTTTTTCTAAAAAATTTCTGGATAATTATATTAGAAAAATTTTTATTTATACATATGCGATTGTATACAAATGTATATGTTATAAATATTTTTATTTTTTTATTTAACTAAACATACTTTTGACCTTTATGAGAGACATCTAATTAGAAAACATTTATGAGAATATCTTACTATTACTACTATTTACTAATAATAAACTAATAATCAAATTATAGCTCCTAAAATTCCTCATAAGCCAAATTCGCTTTGCATGCCAAATAAATGTGGACCATTTAGTAACTGCTCAATAATCAAAAATCGTGTTGTGTGTGTATGTCAATATGGTTATATTGGGACACCGCCTAATTGCAAACCAGATTGTGTAATTAGCTCGGAGTGTGCACCAAATAAAGCATGTGTTAATCAACGGTGCACAGACCCTTGTTCAGGTTTATGTGCACCTAATTCTCTTTGTCAAGTAATTAATCATAAAGCTATATGCATCTGTAAACCGGGATTTAGTGGTGATCCTACAAAACGGTGTCTCAAAACAGAAAGTAAGCACCGAATCCTAAAGATATTTCTTGAATAACCCATATTTACTATTAACACCAAAAAATGCATGTATAATCTAGAATGCCCAGACGATAATGCTAACCCATGTGATAAGAATCCGTGTGGACCTTATTCGGTCTGCCGTTCTTATGACAAACAACCTGTGTGTTCCTGCCAAGCTGGGTACATAGGTTTACCACCAAATTGTCGACCGGAATGTACTTTAAATGCTGATTGTAGTCGCACACAAGTGTGCATTAATAACCACTGTATTAACCCATGCCCTGGTAGCTGTGCACCTCAAGCATTATGCAGTGTGGTCAATCACAAACCTTTATGCATGTGCCCAGAAGGATTTACTGGAGATCCCTTTAAACAATGTTCACTGCCATGTAAGACTAAAATCCATGATTTAATTATGTTAGATTTCCTAATTATATTACGGTAGTAGATTTCAATGTAACATAGCTCTTTTAACGTTTAATTAAACATAGACAAGACACAGCTTTTCATACAGGTAAGTTTGTGCACGTTTCATATTCTATATATTATTTGCTTTGGTATTTGGATTTTCACATGCAGCTTTTATGAATGTATTCGCGTGTTGTATTGCATTAGAATGTAGAGTATTTGAAATCGTTTTTTAGCTATCGATTATACGCCTGTTACTCCTTGCAACCCTTCACCATGTGGAGCAAACGCTGTATGTAAAGAATCAAATGGTGCTGGTTCTTGTTCATGTATCCCAGAATATTTTGGCGATCCGTACTCCGGATGTCGTCCAGAATGTGTAAACAATCTCGATTGTGCGTGGAATAAAGCATGCATCAATTACAAATGTATAGATCCTTGTATTGGTGCTTGTGGTTTATATGCTGAGTGTAAGGTCAGCAACCATGCTCCAACTTGCTATTGTTTGCCAGGGTACACTGGAAGTGCTTTATTATCATGTCACAAAATTGAGTTTGATCCAAGTAAGAGTTGTATATATTGCTATTGCTTTTTTTCTGTAGATTCTATTATACTTATTTTATTACATAGCATGTGAAGTTGACTTGGTTATTACAAAAAACCCTTGCATGAAATCACCTTGTGGGCAATATAGTCAATGCCGAGCTGTAAATGGCCATGCAGTATGCTCTTGTTTACCTGGTTACTTTGGAAATCCTCCAAATTGTCATCCAGAATGTATAACTAGTTCAGATTGTCCACAAGACAAATCGTGTGTAAACCAAATCTGTTCAGACCCATGTCCAGGCACATGTGGTTACAACGCACAATGCCGAGTTGTAAATCATAGTCCAATATGTAGTTGCTACTCGGGTTATTACGGTGATCCATTTGTTCGTTGTGCTATTATTGAAAGTAAGAATGCCGTAGTTATGCTTTTAGTTGCTTTATATGTAGCATATTATTGATTTGATGCATGGGGAATGTTTAGAGCCTTTGCCACCAGAACAGGATAGACTACCACAGAACCCTTGTGTTCCATCACCGTGCGGTCCAAATTCTATATGTCTTCCTAAAGATTCTACTCCTACTTGTTCTTGTTTACCAAACTATATTGGCCGACCTCCTTGCTGCAGACCAGAATGCACAATAAATGCCGAATGCTTTGGCAATTTGGCTTGTGTAAATGAAAGGTGTATAGATCCTTGTCCCGGTTCTTGTGGCATTAACGCCTTTTGTAAAGTGATTTCCCACAATCCTGTATGTAAATGCAATGATGGGTATACTGGTGATCCATTTATAGCCTGTCGACCAACACCAATATCACGTAAGGATTATTATTTACATATTTTAATGCATCTTGTTAGCGTAGTTGTTAAGATATTAAAGCCACTTGAGTAGTCGTTAAATAAATCGATGAAACTCAAACACACAAATTGCAACCCAGCTTTTCCCATTTTAGTTCCACCACCAGCAGATGTGCCAAGTGATCCATGTAACCCATCACCGTGTGGTGCAAATGCTATTTGCAAGGAAAGAAATAATGCTGGATCTTGTACATGTATCCCTGAATATACAGGAGATCCTTATACGGGATGTAGACCAGAGTGTGTGCTAAATAGTGAATGTCCTAGAGACAGAGCTTGCATAAACAATAAGTGTCGTGACCCGTGTCCAGGAATGTGTGGTTTATATGCTGAATGCAGAGTTATCAACCATTCTCCTTCATGTGCTTGTCTTCCAGGATATACTGGCAATCCATTGTCTGCTTGTCAACTTCTCCCAGTTGCCAGTAAGATTTCTTCTCTTACTATCTACTTATTAGCTTGTTTTTACTTCGCATGCATTGGTATTTTAAACCGTGTCTTCACTCTTATCTGTCTCTATTGTACGTTGCATGTTTTTCTTTGTGCTATGCCCACTTCTAGGCCCAGATCTACCACCTAAAAACCCTTGCATACCTTCACCTTGTGGCCCGTACAGTCAATGCAGGACAATAAATGACCATGCTGTTTGTTCATGTCAAACAAATTATATCGGTACACCCCCAGCTTGTCACCCAGAATGTATGGTTAGCTCTGAATGCGCTCAAGATAAGGCATGTGTCAATCAAAAATGTGTGGACCCGTGTCCTGGAACCTGTGGCCTTAATGCAAGGTGCCAAGTTGTCAACCACAATCCAATATGTAGCTGTTCAGCTGGATATACTGGTGATCCATTTGTCCGATGTTTACAAGAAAGTTCGTATTAATATAAAAAAAATATAAAAATATATAACTTAATACTTAAATTATTTATTAGAACCGACATATTATGATGAACCATCAATTCCCACTAATCCGTGCGTTCCATCTCCTTGTGGACCTAATTCTTTATGCCGTGATCACAGTGGAACTCCTGCTTGTTCGTGCTTGCATAATTATATTGGTCGACCACCAAATTGTCGCCCAGAATGTACAATTAATGCTGAATGTCCTGGAAACCTCGCTTGTGTAAACGAAAAATGTCGAGATCCGTGCCCTGGCTCGTGTGGAATATATGCGACATGTAATACAGTCAAGCATGTACCTCAGTGTGTTTGCCAAAATGGATACACTGGAGATCCATTTAGTGGATGCTCACTCATACAACAAAGTAAGACAATATTATTATCTGCATCAATATATTTATAATATTTGATATGTATATATATATTATACTTTATACATCTATTAATATTTAAAAATGTATCTTTAGTTCCAACTGAAGGGCCAAAGATGCCATGCAACCCATCACCATGTGGAGCAAATGCAATATGTAAAGAACGAAATGGTGCTGGCTCTTGTTCTTGTTTACCGGAATATTTCGGAGATCCATACACTGGATGTAGGCCTGAATGTGTGACAAATTCTGATTGTGATCGTAGTAAATCATGTATGAATAATAAATGTCGCGACCCATGTCCAGGAGTTTGTGGTTTAAATGCAGAATGCAGGGTTATTAACCACTCTCCGTCTTGTTATTGCCCAGTTGGTTATACTGGAGATCCAACATTATCTTGCTACATTCAACCATTACGTAAGTTTAATAATACATTATCATAATTCTATTTTCTATTAATGATTAAATTAATTTTTATAATTCAATTATACTTAATTTTAAGATAATGTGAAATCGTTTTTTTTAGTTGACCCAGAACCACCTTCAAATCCATGTGTTCCTTCACCGTGTGGTCCTTACAGTCAATGTAGACCTGTCAATAATCATGCTGTATGTTCATGTCAAACAGATTACATAGGAACACCGCCAGCTTGTCGGCCTGAGTGTATGGTTAGCTCAGAATGTCCCCAGGACAAAGCATGTGTTAGAAAGAAATGTATAGACCCATGCCCTGGTACATGTGGATCAAATGGAAGATGTCAAGTAGTCAATCATAGTCCAATTTGCAGTTGTCCCCCCGGTTATAATGGGGATCCATTTGTACGGTGTTTCAAAGAACGTACGTAAATATTATTCATTATGAATTGTACAAAAATTATTTATTAAAATGCTTTGTTTGAAAACAATGTTTTAACTCTAAATAAATATGTTAATAGAACCTCCACCAGCTGATGTACCAACCAATCCATGTGTGCCATCACCATGTGGACCAAATTCAGTATGTCGTGAAATAGGTAACACCCCAGCATGTTCTTGTTTGGACAGTTACATTGGACGACCACCTAATTGCCGACCAGAATGTACCATTAATGCCGAATGTCCAGGAAATTTAGCATGTTCAAAAGAAAGATGTAAAGACCCATGTCCTGGTTCATGTGGAATATACGCCTCATGTATAACAATAAACCATAGTCCACAATGTAATTGTGAACCAGGTTATACTGGAGATCCATTTGCTGGATGTTCTCTAATACCACAAGGTATGTTCATTTTGTACTCACATTTATTATTTTTAATATTTTTTTTATAATGATGTTTATACTTTTAGTTGTTCCAACTGAAGGACCAAAAATGCCCTGTAATCCATCACCATGCGGAGCAAACGCTATTTGTAAAGAACGTAATGGAGCAGGATCTTGTATGTGTTTACCAGAATATTTTGGTGATCCTTACACAGGATGTAGACCAGAATGTGTGACTAACTCAGATTGTGATAGAAGTAAAGCATGTGTAAATAATAAATGCCGTGATCCTTGTCCTGGTACTTGTGGTCTCAACGCAGAATGTAGTGTCATAAATCACGCACCGTCATGTACCTGTTTCCCAGGTTATACTGGCAATCCAATCACTGCATGTCATATGCCACCACCAAGTAAGATTAAAATTATTTTTTTACAATAACTAAAAAAAGAAAAAAATTAATTTTTATATTTTATTTATAGTGGATGAAATACCTAAAAATCCATGTGAACCATCACCATGTGGACCTTATAGCATATGTAGAACTGTGAATGACCATGCAGTGTGTTCTTGTCAAACTAACTATGTTGGTACACCTCCAGGATGTCGTCCAGAGTGTGTAGTTAGTTCAGAATGTCCTCAAAACAGAGCTTGTATTAATCAAAAATGTTCAGACCCTTGTATTGGAATATGTGGTATTGGGGCCAGATGTCAAGTTATAAACCATAATCCAATTTGCAGTTGTCCAAATGGTTTCATTGGCGATCCTTTTGTTCAATGCAAATCTGAACGTAAGTTTTTTAGATTTCTTAAATTATTAGAATATTTTTGATAAATAATTTCTAAACAATTAAATTAAATAATTCCTTATTATCAATATCTTTTTTATTACATAATAACATTAATATAAATATATTTTCAAAATAAAAATTTTTATAATTATAACTAATGAATGTATTTAAACAAAATTGATTTATTAAATAACTTTGAAATGTAACTATTAATTTATTTCATTATAGCACGACCAACTCAACCACCACCTAGTGGAAATCCTTGTGTCCCATCACCATGTGGTCTGAATTCAATATGTCGTGAAGTGGGATCAACACCAGCATGCTCTTGTCTGCCAAACTTTATAGGAAGACCACCAAACTGTCGCCCCGAATGTTCAATTAATGCAGAATGTCCAGGAAATCTTGCATGCTTAAACGAACGTTGCAAAGACCCTTGTCCTGGTTCTTGCGGAGTGCACGCAACTTGTGTAACACGTAACCATAGACCACAGTGTACTTGTGAAACTGGATATACAGGGGATCCATTTGCGGGATGTTCTTTAGTTCAACAAAGTAATATACACTTAATATTAACAGTTAAAATGTTTTTATTTTAATAATTTTTCAATATATTTGTAATAGTTCCTCCCACTGAAGGACCAAGAGATCCATGTAATCCATCACCGTGTGGAGCTAATGCAATTTGTCGAGAAAAGAACGGTGCCGGTTCTTGTGTTTGTCTCCCTGAATATTTTGGTGATCCATACACAGGATGTAGACCAGAATGTGTTACAAATGCTGATTGTGATCGCACAAAAGCATGTGCAAATAATAAATGTAAAGATCCATGCCCTGGAACATGTGGCCTCAATGCAGAATGTAAAGTTCTAAACCATGCACCTTCATGTAGTTGTATACCAGGATATACTGGTGATCCATTGAGCATATGCAATGTTATACCAATAAGTAAGGATAGGATTTATCTCCCTTCTAAATAGTAATTACCATATATTAATATGTTGTTTTGACTTTAATTTTTAGCTGAAGCTACGCCAATAGATCCTTGTGTTCCATCTCCGTGTGGACCTAACAGTCAATGCAGAGAATTAAACGACCATGCCGTTTGTTCTTGTTTAAGTTCTTATATCGGTACACCCCCATCTTGTCGCCCTGAATGCGTTGTCAGTTCAGAGTGTAGTCAAAACAAAGCTTGTGTAAATCAAAAATGTAGTGACCCCTGCATTGGCACTTGTGGCCTGAATACAAGGTGTCAAGTAGTAAATCACAATCCTATTTGTAGCTGTTCCCCCGGATATACGGGCGATCCTTTTGCTTCTTGCAATAAAATACAACGTAAGAATTGTATAGTGAATGTTTGGTACTTTTTACTTGAAAATCTTTTGCATTTCTTTATTCTATTGCATGAAAAATATGATATATGTGATTTCTTATATTACTGTCTGAAACTCTGTTGCATGTTTTTCTTTTTTTCTTTTTCTCACTTTAGCCACAACCACTCCTTCACCACCTACAGCCCCTTGCTCTCCATCACCTTGCGGACCCCACTCTCAATGTAGAGTGGTGAGCAATACAGCTGCTTGCTCTTGTTTGCAAAACTACATTGGTCGGCCACCCAACTGTAGGCCTGAGTGTGTTATTAGCGCGGAATGTTCAAGTAACTTGGCATGTATCAATGAAAAATGCTCTGATCCATGCCCAGGATCATGTGGACAATATGCTCATTGTAGAGTGATCAATCACCACCCTGTTTGTACTTGTTTACCAGGGTACACTGGCGATGCACTTACATATTGCCAATTGTTACCTACCTGTAAGAACAAAGACTACTACTATGTAAACTTTATACTTACAAAAAATATTTTTAAATCAACGACAGATTAGTTTTAATAAAATTTTAAATAAGTAGAATATATTTCTTTGTTACAATGCATGTAGACCAACATATTTTTATTAACTTATATAGCTACTGAAAGATCGCCGGAAGCTGTTGATCCTTGTTATCCGTCCCCGTGTGGCCCGAATTCAGATTGTGTCAACCGAAATGGAGTAGCTGCTTGTACATGCTCTACAGGATTTTTCGGTGATCCTTATACAGGATGTCGAAGAGAATGTGAAAATAATGACGATTGCAATTTATCTTTGGCTTGCATTGGCTATAAATGTATAGATCCTTGTCCAGGAACTTGTGGTTCTGAGGCAATATGTACAGTTGTAAAACACATACCTATTTGCTCTTGTCCACCATCGTTTACTGGTGATCCATTTACCTCTTGTCGTCCAATACCAGTTATCCGTTAGTATATTTTTAAATAGTTAAATTTAGCGCTATTAAACACATAATTAAAATTGTACTATTGTAATAACAGCAACACAAAGAGAACCTATTGACCCATGCCATCCATCACCATGTGGACCTAATAGTCAATGTCGTAAAATTAACGATCAAGCTGTCTGCTCTTGTTTGCCAAATTATATGGGCAGCCCACCCGAATGTAGACCTGAATGTGTTGTCAGTTCAGAATGTCCCTTAGATAAAGCTTGTACAAACCAAAAGTGTTTGGATCCTTGTCCAAATACTTGCGGTATTCAAGCTTTATGTACCGTGAGAAATCATAACCCAATTTGTGCATGTCCTGCCGGATATTCTGGAGATCCGTTCTTGCAATGTGCATTAATACGTAAGAGCTTAATATAAATTATAATTTAACAAGATAATATTTTTAATCTTTTTTATAGCTACTACTCCAACACCTCCAGTAACTGAACGTCCAGCATCGTGTTATCCAACACCGTGTGGACCTAACTCACAATGTCAAATACAAAATGGAATACCAGTATGCTCATGTTTACCAGACTTCATAGGTTCACCACCTTCATGTAGACCTGAATGTGTAATAAGTGCTGAATGCCCAAGTCAATTGGCTTGTATGAACCAAAAATGTCGAGATCCATGTGTGGGTTCATGTGGTCTAAATGCGAATTGCCATGTACTAAATCATGTTCCTATTTGTACATGTAATAACGGTCTAACTGGAGATCCATTTGCCTTATGTACACAAATACAAATAAGTATGTAAACATTTATAGGATTTAAACTGAATATTAAGTTTTTATCAATATTTTTTTTTCATAATAGCTACTGAGAGACCATTAGCGTCTGATCCTTGTAACCCATCACCTTGTGGACCAAATGCGGTCTGCAGAGGAAATGGAAATTGTGAGTGCTTGCCAGAATATACAGGAAACCCCTATGAAAATTGTCGTCCAGAATGTGTGTTAAATACAGAATGCTCTAGAGACAAGGCATGTATGAGAAATAAATGTCGCGATCCATGTATTGGAACTTGCGGACAAGGTGCAAATTGTGATGTTGTAAATCACATTCCGATTTGTTCATGTCCAACCAAATATTCAGGAGATCCGTTCACAATTTGTCGACCAGTTCCAGAGGGTAAAAATCAATAATTTTAATTTTATGCACTATAGTTTTAAATCAAATGTCTCCTTTGATTTATTTAGATGTCCCAGTATCAAGTGACCCATGTGTTCCATCACCTTGTGGTCCTTATAGCCAATGTCGAAACTCAGATAATCATGCAGTATGTTCTTGTCTACCAAATTATATTGGTGCACCACCGTCATGTCGTCCAGAATGTACTGTCAGCTCTGAATGTAATCCAGATAAAGCATGTGTAAACATGAAATGTATCAACCCGTGTGTAGGAGCTTGTGGTTCTGGAGCTAGATGTGAAGTAATTAATCATAGTCCAATCTGCAGTTGTAGAGAAGGACAAACTGGAGATCCATTCAGAAGCTGTTACACAATACCAAGTAAATATTAACAAATTATTTATTCATTTTTTATCTTATTTATAAATTCAAATTTTTCAGAACCAATACTTCCACCTCAATATGATCCACCGAAACTCCCATGTGTCCCTTCACCGTGTGGTCCAAATTCTCAATGTATAGCTTCTGGAAATAACCCATCATGTTCATGTTTACCATCTTACATTGGTGCACCACCAAATTGTCGCCCAGAATGTATAATAAATCCAGATTGTCCATCAACTCTTGCTTGTATCAATAACAAGTGTAGAGATCCGTGTCCAGGATCCTGTGGAAGTGATGCTCAATGCCAAGTCGTTAATCATGCAGTTTCCTGTTTATGTCCTACTGGATATACAGGAAATCCATTTGTTCAATGTATTTACCAACAAGGTATGTTACCATTTCACAGATATATTTAATTGAATAACTACTAAATTTAATTTACATTTTTAGAAAATTTAAATCCATGTGAACCATCTCCATGTGGAGCAAATGCAATTTGTAAACAACATGATGGTGCCGGATCTTGTTCTTGTATCAATGATTATTATGGAAATCCATATGAAGGTTGCCGACCTGAATGTGTTCACAGTTCAGACTGTCCTACAAATAAAGCCTGTATTGGAAATAAATGTGTTGATCCTTGTCCTGGAGTATGTGGAGTAGGTGCTGTTTGTACAGTAATTAGCCATGTTCCAACTTGTAACTGTATATCTGGTTATGTGGGAAATCCATTCACGTACTGCCAACCTCAACCTCCAAGTAATATATTTATTTTTAAGCTTTTGATAAATTATATTATTAAATTATTAAATAATTATATTATTAGCAACTCAAGCCACTGTATATGACCCTTGTAATCCATCACCATGTGGCCCTAATAGCCAATGTAAAAATGTAAACCAACAAGGAGTATGTTCTTGTCAAAAAGAATACCAAGGAACACCACCAAATTGTAGACCTGAGTGTGTCGTAAACAATGAATGTCCATCAAATAGAGCTTGTCATAAATTCAAATGCACAGACCCTTGTCCTGGAACATGTGGACTAAATGCACGTTGTGAAGTTATTAATCATAGTCCAATTTGCACTTGTTCACCAGGATTAATAGGTGATCCTTTCACAAGATGTTATCCACAACCAGGTTCGATATTATTATATTATCTTTATTTTATCTGTAGGATCAAAAATTATTAATTGTAATCATCAATTTTAGTTTGTCTATATTATTGTACATATTTATTCTAAATCAAACATTTAATTGGCTGTTATTTGATATATAGTGAAACCATTAGATGAACCAGTGATACCAACAAATCCTTGTATCCCCTCGCCATGTGGACCAAATTCTGAATGTAGACCAGTTGGAAATCAACCATCATGTTCGTGTCGAAAAAATTATGTCGGTTCTCCGCCAAATTGTCGACCTGAATGTTCCGTTAACTCTGACTGTCCTTCTACATTATCTTGTATATCAGATAAGTGTAGAGATCCATGTTATGGCTCTTGTGGCTTAAATACAGACTGTAGAGTTCAAAATCATATACCAACTTGTACATGTATCGCTGGACACAATGGTGATCCATTTACACAATGTGTTCCAATAATAGGTATAATAATTTGCTTATAATTATTCTTAATGTATTTAATTATTTAATTTTATAACTATGAAATATTAATTTTAGTGCAACCAACATTAGCTACACCAATCGATCCATGTAATCCATCACCTTGTGGTTCTAATACACAATGTTACAATGGAGTCTGTCAATGTTTGGCTAACTATTTTGGAGACCCATTAATAGGTTGTCGACCTGAATGTACAATGAACACGGATTGTCCTAGAAATAAAGCATGTTTAAACCAAAAATGTCAAGATCCATGTCCAGGCACTTGTGGTCAAGGAGCAATATGTGATGTCATTAACCATATTCCAACATGTAGTTGTCCCGTTGGTACAGCTGGCGATGCATTTGTTATCTGTAGACCCATTAAAGTCCAAGGTATAAATCAAATTTTATACTCAAAAAATAATAATAAATTTCATAATAATTACATAAATGTTTTTATAGATGAACCATCTAGAGACCCATGTAATCCTTCACCATGTGGACCAAACAGTGTTTGTCGTGTAGTTGAAGGGCATGCTGTTTGTTCATGTCAAAATACTATGATCGGTTCGCCGCCTTCTTGTCGACCAGAATGTGTTGTTAGTGCAGAGTGTCCTTTAACTCAAGCATGTCTCATGAGCAAATGCCGTGATCCTTGCCCCGGAACTTGTGGCCATCTTGCTAATTGTAAAGTTGTAAACCATAGTCCTATTTGTACTTGTCCGCCACGGCATAGTGGAGATCCATTTAGAAGCTGTTATCCTGTTCAAGGTAAAATATTTATTGAATATAAGTTATATAATTTAAATGTTATATTATATCAAATTAAAATTTTATATTTTAATAAAATATTAACCTATTCCAGAAGTAAGACCAACACCATCGGCTGATCCAATTAATGTTTGTAGTCCATCACCGTGTGGTCCTAATTCAGAGTGTAGAGATCGTGGAGGAGTACCATCGTGTTCATGTCTATCGAATTATGTAGGAACGCCGCCATCCTGCAGACCGGAATGTACAATTAATCCAGAATGTCCTAGTCATTTATCATGTATAAATCAAAAATGTACAGATCCTTGTCCTGGTTCATGTGGCTCAAATGCTGCATGTTCTGTTATTAATCATACTCCCATGTGTTCCTGCAATAATGGATTTACTGGAGATCCATTTACATATTGTCAATCAGTCCCGGGTAAGATTTTAACATATTTGCATGGATATGCTTTGCACATTTGATTTTAAACACGCTAATTTATTTTAGATGAACAGTTTTTTTTTTAATGCTTGCTTCATTAATGTATGTTTTTAGTACAATTATTGATACATTTTTTGATTTATGGTTTATACCATAAAATGAAAAAAATAAATAAATAATATAACTACACAATAACTTAACTAAATGTTTTACAAATAACTTATACCAATGCCCGTATTAAAATTAAAACATTAATAAAATAAAAGTCACTAATTTGATACTATCATTTGATTAGCATTATTTTTAACAACATATTAAACTATTTTCCCATTTATTAATAAAGCTAATTTTTAATTGAATATCTAAAATATTACTACCATGATTAATACTTTCACCCAATCAACGGTTGAGCAGATTAGTTTTAATGAGTTCATATAATCATTTACCTGTCATTTAATAAAATAAATTTAACTAAAATGTATCAATTTCCCCTTCAAAAAATAAAATAAAATAATCTATACATATATAGTGTATAATAAAACTATATAGTAGTAAATATAATGCAATAGAAGTATAAACATCAAAATAAATCATTCATGAACATTAATATAGCCTTAAAATGGATGGCATGCTGTCATTGAATTTTAATCGATTATAATATGTTTTACATAATTAAAAAAATATATATACATATTTGCTTAGTGCATGAATACATTTTGAAAAGAATGAATTAAATATGTTTAAAATCAATAAAATCAAGACTATATATATTTGATGTTGCATCTTGTGTGCATGTAATATGATAAACGTTTTACTTAATAATTTTTAATTAAATTGTAAATATATTTCATAAGCTTTGGTTGTTAAATTCGTAAGCTATACATTATGATTTTAGTTCTGTAGTCATTTTGTTTTTATACTTGTATGCACTTCATTTTTGACAAATATTTCAACACATTTTTAAATGTGTATAAGGTTATTTATGTTTGTTTGCATGTAATTTAGGATTATTTTAAAATATTTTTAAAAAAATATTATTCAAAAGTACTTAATGTACAATGTTTGTACTATTTTTAGTTTATATATTTAAACTAGAGACGTTGAATCTTTGTAAGTGCCTCATATGAATTTAAGTTACCTTATAATATTAAGTATTATTATTTGTAAGTAAATAGAATAGAAATTAATATTTAGTATCTTAAGTTAAGTATATTTAGTTTGTTATTAGTTAAATTTAAGATCGGTAAGTCATTCCTAGTTCTTAAATGATAAAAATTAATTTAATGTTTTCAGAATATATAGAGGTAAGAAATATTATCAGGTTGTTTATACCTTAAGTATTACGATAGTATGATAATTATTGTTTTAGACCTAACATAGGTACTCCTTTCCAAAATGATGTTGATTATATTATCTGCTCAATTTTTGAATAGCTATCACTAATCATGTAACAGATGTATAAGAAGAATTAGGGCTTACTAAATAAATGTATAACAATAAATTTATATTAAATGGTGAGTACTAATAGAATTATTTAATATCTCATTGTGACTTTATCTCCAAATAATAATATTATTTTTTTAAATTATTATCGTAGTGTTACCAGTTTACCAAGAACCACTAAACCCATGCATTCCTTCCCCTTGTGGAATGAACGCTATATGCAAAGAGTATAATGGTGCTGGTTCATGTAGTTGTTTACCGGAATATAATGGAAATCCATATGAAGGCTGTAGGCCAGAATGTGTCATAAACTCTGATTGTACACCTCAAAAAGCTTGTGTGAAAAATAAATGCCAAAATCCATGTGCTGGAACTTGTGGTCAGAATGCAGAATGCTATGTGACTAATCATTTGCCATCATGTACTTGTATACCAGGTTTTACTGGAGATCCATACAAATACTGCATTCCAGTTCCACCACCTCAACGTATGTATTATATTTAGGTTCATTATATTTTTATATAAGAATTAAATCATATTAATATGGTATAATATATGTATAGAAATTCAAGCGGATCCAATTAATCCCTGTGTTCCGTCACCATGTGGACCAAACAGCCAGTGTAGGGAAATAAATAACCAAGCTGTGTGTTCATGTCTACAATCATATGTGGGCAATCCTCCAAATTGCAGACCGGAGTGTGTAGTCAACTCGGAATGTGGTAAACTTAAAGCATGCCGAAATTTAAAATGCGTAGATCCTTGTATAAATGCTTGTGGATCTAATTCAAAGTGTAAAGTGATAAATCACAGCCCTATATGTACATGTAAAGAAGGATTTACTGGTGATCCATTTTCAAGCTGTTATGCTATACAATGTAAGTTTAACTTTTTTGTTTAACTAGAGATTTAATATTATTTTGCCCTTATTCTTTTTATTCTTATAGTGTAATATTTATTAATAAAATTATTTAAATGTTAACAGATTTACCATCGTTACCAGTACAAAATGAACCAATAAATCCATGTGTTCCATCGCCGTGTGGCCTTTACTCGTATTGTAGAGATTCCAATGGATATCCTTCTTGTTCTTGTCAAGAAAATTATATCGGTTCTCCACCAAATTGTAGACCTGAATGTACGATAAACGAAGAATGTCCTAAAGATAAGGCTTGTATGAAGCAAAAATGCCAAGACCCCTGTCCTGGTTCGTGCGGTGTCAATGCCAATTGTAATGTTTATAACCATAACCCGATATGCTCCTGTATTGAAGGTTACACAGGAGATCCGTTTACCAGTTGCTATATAAAACCAACATCTCGTAAGTACATTATTTTATTGAAGATTGTAGTTAATATCATTAGATATATAAAAACAGTAATAATAAATTATATTTATTTTAATTTTTAGCTCCAAAGCCACAATATGACGATCCGTGTAACCCGTCACCATGTGGATCAAATGCCATATGTAATAATGGTGTTTGTTCTTGTTTGAGTGAATATCAAGGCGATCCATACTCTGGCTGTCGTCCAGAATGTATTTTAAATACTGATTGTCCAATTATTAAAGCGTGTATTAATAATAAATGTAAAGACCCATGCCAAGGAACATGTGGAATAAATGCAATATGTAACGTTTACAATCATATTCCTATGTGTACGTGTCCCCAAGGCACAAATGGAAATGCATTTATTCAATGCACAGCAATCCAAGGTAAAACAAATAATTCCATTTAAAAATCTTGTTACTTTAAATATTTTGCTTATTAATACAATTATAAATAGAAATATATTATATTACATATATAATTTCAGCATCTATCGAAGTTATTAACCCATGTGCTCCATCCCCATGTGGACCAAATAGCCAATGTAAACAAGTAAATGGTGTAGCAGTGTGTTCATGCATATCTGGATACTTGGGTGCACCACCTTTATGTAGACCTGAATGCACAATAAATTCAGACTGTGGTCTGAATGAAGCTTGTTCAAATCAAAAGTGTCGAAATCCATGTCCTAGTATTTGTGGAATTGGAGCAAAATGTCAAGTGATAAATCATAATCCAATTTGTAGCTGTCCACCGGGATTGATTGGTGATCCATTTACAAGATGTTATAATAAACGTATGTAAAAATTAATTTATAATAATTTAAAGAATATTATTAATAATTACGTTTAAAATGTAGCTGCTGATTTACCACAATATGTTGGCAACCCTTGCATTCCATCTCCTTGTGGACCCAATTCTCAATGTAAGGTTCAAGGCGAATCACCATCATGTTCTTGTCTGCCTAACTTTATTGGATCACCTCCAAATTGCAAACCAGAATGTATCACCAATAGCGAGTGTTCATATAATTTAGCATGCGCTAATATGAAATGTAAAGATCCATGTCCAGGTTCGTGCGCATCAAATGCTGAATGCCATGTTGTAAGCCATTCCCCAATATGCAAATGTCCAATTGGGTACACAGGAGATCCGTTCACGCAATGCATTATGCAACAAGGTAATGTGATAATATAAAAATAATATTGATTATATTAAATTAATCATTAATTTATATTTAGCCGACCCAATACCACAAGAATATTTAAATCCATGTGTACCATCTCCATGTGGAACAAATGCAATTTGTAAAGAACAAAATGGAGCTGGTTCATGTACATGCTTGCCTGAATATTATGGAAATCCATACGAAGGATGCAGACCTGAATGCGTTTTAAATACAGATTGTGCATCAAACAAAGCATGCTCTAATTATAAATGTAAAAATCCATGTCCTGGAACATGTGGTCAAAATGCAGAATGTCAAGTAGTTAATCATTTGCCCATGTGTTCTTGCTATCAAGGATATACTGGTGATCCATTTAGATTCTGTCATCAAATACCTCTTCCACAACGTATGTTGATACATTTTGATACTGTCATCATTTTAAACTAAATTAATATATTTATAATGATTATTTTCAATAGAAACTGAAATCGAACCAATCAATCCATGTTCACCTTCTCCGTGTGGACCAAATAGTCAATGTCGAGAAATCAACCATCAAGCTGTTTGTTCATGCCTTCCGACGTATATAGGAAGCCCACCTGGATGTAGACCAGAATGTGTAACTAATTCAGAGTGTGCTTTGAACATGGCATGCATAAAGCAGAAGTGTTCAAATCCTTGTCCTGAACCATGTGGACAAAATTCAAATTGCAAAGTCATCAATCACAGTCCTGTTTGCTCATGTATTAACGGTTTTACTGGAGACCCATTTATTCGTTGTTATCAAATACCTCCACCTCCACCACAATTTGATCCAGTTTATGTCAACCCTTGCATTCCATCACCTTGTGGTCCATATTCTCAATGCAGAGAACAGAATGGATATCCTTCTTGTTCCTGTTTGGCTGAATATATCGGAAGTCCTCCAAACTGTCGTTTTGAATGTACAATTAATGCAGAATGCCCCAGGGATAAAGCATGTATGAAACAAAAATGTCAAGATCCGTGTCCTGGATCATGTGGTATAAACGCGTTATGCAATGTAGTGAACCATATGCCAATTTGTTTGTGTCCTGATAACTATGAAGGCAATCCTTTCGAAAGCTGCAGGCCAAAACCTATGGATGGTAAATTTTAATAAATCATTACATTTTATCAAATTAAACATAAATTAATCAAATTATATAGTTCCAGAACCGGTATATTCAGACCCATGTAATCCATCGCCATGTGGTCCTAATGCCGATTGCTACAATGGCATTTGTAAGTGTAAACCCGAATTCCAAGGTGATCCTTACTCTGGATGCAGACCTGAGTGTGTACTAAATAACGATTGTCCCAGAAACAAAGCATGCATTAAAAATAAATGCAAAGACCCATGTCCTGGAACATGTGGAACAAATGCTATCTGTGAAGTTTATAACCATATACCAATGTGTAGATGTCCTGATGGAATGTATGGAAATGCTTTTATCAATTGTTTGATACAACAAGGTGAGTCTAAAGATAAATATGAAACATACAGTTTCTATAATTTATTATTATTTAATAGATGTGATCCCAGTGACAAATGTAAATCCATGCTATCCATCTCCGTGTGGACCTAACAGTCAATGTAGAGAAATTAACGGACAAGCAGTATGTTCATGTATAATTGGCTATTTAGGAGTACCACCATCATGTAGACCAGAATGTACAATCAATTCTGATTGTAACTTAAATGAAGCATGTTCAAACCAAAAATGTCAAGATCCATGTCGTGGTGTTTGTGGAATTGGAGCAATTTGCCGTGTTTATAACCATAAACCTATCTGTAGTTGTCCTCCAGGACAAACAGGAAATCCGTTTTCTAATTGCCACCCAATACGTAAGCAAAAAATTATTAACTATTTGATAATATTTATGAATTATAATACTTCTATTTTATCTATGCATCTTTATAATTGTTTATATTTTGATTTGTTATTAAGCGGCTCAAGATCCAATACCTGTAGAACATCCTTGTGTACCATCTCCATGTGGGCCCAATTCACAATGCCAAGTAAAAGGACAGTCACCTTCATGTTCTTGCTTACCTGACTTTATTGGTTCACCACCAAACTGCAAACCCGAGTGTATTAGTAATGGAGAATGTCCATATCATTTAGCATGTAAAAATATGAAATGTAAAGATCCTTGTCCTGGTACCTGTGGACAAAACGCACAATGTAATGTCGTAAGTCATTCTCCTCAATGTTATTGCTACCCAGGATATGTTGGAGATCCTTTCACTCAATGCACAATACAACAAGGTACATATAAAATATAAATATGAGTATTATTATAAAAAAACATATATTAATTATTATTATGTGCTTATTTAATAACAGCTGAACCAATAGAAGAAACTTTGAACCCTTGTATACCATCACCTTGCGGAGCAAATGCTATTTGTAAGGAACAAAATGGTGCTGGGTCTTGTAGTTGCTTACAGGAATATTTTGGAAATCCTTATGAACTCTGTAGACCTGAATGCACAGTAAACACTGATTGCCCATCAAATAAAGCTTGTATGGGAAATAAGTGCCTAGATCCATGTCCAGGTACATGTGCACAATCCGCGATTTGTCATGTTTACAACCATTCACCGACATGCTCATGTAATTATGGATACACAGGAGATCCGTATAAATATTGTAGTCTAATTCCATCTCCACGTAAGTTGTTTCAAAATGCTTTAATAATATTTAGTAATTTAATTATTTTCTGTAATATATTAAATAATTCACTTTTATTTCTCTTACATTTTAGCAATTCAAAACGAACCAATAAACCCGTGTTCACCTTCTCCGTGTGGACCACACAGCCAATGTCGAGAAGTCAACTTCCAAGCCGTATGTTCATGTTTATCAAACTATATTGGAAGTCCACCAAATTGTCGCCCTGAGTGCCTCATAAGTCAGGATTGTTCACAAAATCTTGCATGCATAAATCAACATTGTAATGATCCTTGTATTGGACAATGTGGTCAAAATGCACAATGTAAAACAATCAAACATCGTCCAATTTGTACATGTAGCCCTGGGTATACTGGAGACCCGTTCTCCAGGTGTTATCTGGTTCCTCCATTACCTCCACCTCCACAAGATGAACCAATACCAATAAATCCTTGTGTGCCGTCACCATGTGGACCATATTCTGAATGTAGAAACTATGGAAATTATCCTTCTTGTAGTTGTCAACCACAATACACTGGAAGTCCACCAAACTGTAGGCCAGAGTGCACAATTAATGCAGAATGTCCGAGCAATAATGCATGTATGAAAGAGAAATGTCGAGATCCGTGTCCTGGTTCATGTGGAATAGGAGCAGTTTGTAACGTGTTAAACCATGTTCCTATTTGCCAATGCCCCGATGGATTCACTGGTGATCCGTTTGTGAGCTGCTACCCGAAACCCCAAGCTCCTATTGCTGACGTAGAAACAGACCCATGTAATCCATCTCCATGTGGTACAAACGCAATATGTAATAATGGACTTTGTACATGTCTTCCTGAATACCAAGGAGATCCATACATTGGGTGCAGACCAGAATGTATTCTCAACGATGAATGCGCAAGGGATAAAGCTTGTATTCGAAATAAATGTGTAAATCCGTGTCCAGGGACGTGTGGCTACAATGCCATTTGTGAAGTATATAATCATATACCCATGTGTAGATGTCCAGAAGGATTAGGAGGTGATGCTTTTACTCAATGTCAGCCAATATTACAAGGTTGGTACACACTACACACACACTCATATAATATATATATATATATATTATTTTTAAATATAATTAATAAAATTGTTTCAAATTTCATAAAATCATTTTTGAATTTTTTTAGATCCAATTATTAATCAGCCATGTAATCCATCACCTTGTGGACCAAATAGTCAATGTAGAGAAATGAACAATCAAGCTGTATGTTCATGTATCGTGGGATATGTAGGCAGCCCACCATCATGTAGACCAGAATGCACAATTAATGCAGATTGCTATTTGACCGAAGCTTGTTCAAACCAAAAGTGTATAAATCCATGTATAGGAACATGTGGCGTTGGAGCTAAATGCCAGGTTATAAATCATAAACCGATATGCAGCTGTCCGCCAAGCATGACTGGTGATCCGTTTATACGCTGCCATACCATATGTAAGTCAATACAAAAATAATCTGTCAAAAACATAAAGAATGTAGTATAATTTATATTATTCAAAAATGATTTTTTGCTATTTAATTTTCAGTGGCACTTCCTGAGCCTGTAGGTAACCCATGTGTACCTTCTCCTTGTGGACCTAATTCACAATGCCAAGTAAAAGGAGATACACCATCATGTTCATGTTTACCCGAATTCATAGGATCGCCACCAAATTGTAAACCAGAATGTATTAGCAATAGCGAATGCTCCTATAACAAAGCGTGTGTCTATATGAAATGTAAAGATCCATGTCCAGGATCTTGTGGTCAAAATGCTATATGTCAAGTAGTTAGCCACGTGCCTAGATGTACATGTTTATCTGGTTATGTCGGGGATCCATTTATACAATGTTATATTCAACAAGGTAATAATATTATATAATTTATTATTTATTATTTTTCTATGAAAAATACCCTTTAATATTTCCATTCAAATTATCTAGCTGATCCAGTACCAATCGAATATTTATCACCATGTGAACCTTCTCCGTGTGGTGCTAATGCTGTTTGTAAAGAGCAAAACGGTGCTGGTTCGTGTAGTTGTCTCCCTGGATTTGAAGGAAATCCATATGATGGATGCAGATATGAATGCGCCCTTAATACTGACTGTGCATCTAATAAAGCATGTATTAGAAATAAATGCCAAAATCCTTGTCCTGGATCTTGTGGACCGAATGCCGAGTGTTTGGTTATAAATCATCTTCCTATGTGCACATGTTACAATGGTTATACAGGAGATCCTTTCAAATATTGTAATTTGATTCCTCCTCAAAGTAAGTAAAATATTTTAATTAAATTACTTTAATCATTAATGCACTTTTTTGTTGAACGTTTTATCAATAAAATAATATTATTTTTTATTTAGTTGTGCAATCTGAGCCTTATACTCCTTGTTATCCATCACCATGTGGACCAAATAGTCAATGTAAAGAAATAAATGGTCAAGCAGTTTGTTCGTGTCTTCCTTCATACCACGGAAGTCCTCCTGGTTGTAGGCCAGAATGTGTATTGAGTTCTGAATGTAGTGATATTCATGCATGTGTTAATCAAAAATGTGTCAATCCATGCCCTGGCCCGTGTGGTTTGAATGCTATTTGTAAAGTTATAAAACATAATGCAATATGCTCTTGTCAACCCGGGTATCAAGGCGATCCGTTCTCCCGTTGTAATTTAATACCACCACCTCCACCACAACAAGATGAAGTTATTTACACTAACCCATGTATTCCATCACCATGTGGTCTGTATTCAGAATGTAGAGATATTGGTGGAGCGCCATCATGTTCATGTTTATCACAGTATTTCGGTAGTCCACCAAATTGTAGACCAGAATGTGTGTTAAACAATGATTGTCGAAGCAATTTAGCATGTATTCGAGAGAAATGTCAAGACCCATGTCCGGGATCTTGTGGTATTGATGCATACTGTAATGTGATAAATCACACTCCAAATTGTGTATGCCGTGAAGGTTATACTGGAGATCCATTCACATCATGTTATATAAAACCAATTCAAGACAGTAAGTGGTTTAAAACAATATGTTTTAAATACCAAATAACTACATAACAATATTTTAGTTCCAGAACCTATCGAAAAAGACCCATGTAATCCATCTCCATGTGGTGCAAATGCAATATGTAATAATGGCCAATGTTTGTGTATCAATGAATATTATGGTGATCCATACTCAGGCTGCAGACCAGAATGTGTAATTAACAATGACTGTCCCCGAGACAAGGCTTGTGTTCGTAATAAATGTGTGAATCCATGTAAAGACACCTGTGGTGAAAATGCTATATGTGATGTTTATAACCATATACCAATGTGCCGCTGTCCTGAAGGAACGGAAGGAAATGCATTTATTAGATGTTCTGCATTACAACAAGGTATAATAATGTCATTTCATCAATTCCAATAAATTATAACTAATACAAATTTTGCTTAATTACATTTTAGCACCAATCGATATTCATCCTTGTTATCCATCTCCATGTGGACCTAACAGTCACTGTAAAGAAATAAATAATCAAGCAGTATGCTCTTGTATCATTGGATATTTGGGAGTTCCTCCATCTTGTCGACCTGAATGTACTGTAAACTCAGATTGTAATAGTAATAAAGCATGTTCAAATCAAAAATGCATAGACCCGTGTATTGGAGTTTGTGGTGTGAACTCGAAATGTCAAGTTATCAATCACAGCCCCATTTGTAGCTGCATACCCAGTTTTACAGGAAATCCATTTGTTCGATGTTATCCAAAACGTAAGTGCATATAATTAAATATGTTCAAATATATAACTATTTAAATTATATTAATTCATTATAGCTGCTGATATTCCACAACCTGTTGGAAATCCATGTATTCCATCGCCTTGTGGACCAAATTCACAATGTAAAGTGCAAGGTGAATCGCCATCATGCTCTTGTTTACCTGAATTTATTGGGTCACCTCCAAATTGTAAACCTGAATGTATAAGTAATAGTGAATGTCCAATTCACTTATCTTGCATAAACATGAAATGTAAAAACCCTTGCATTGGAGCCTGTGCTCCAACAGCTGAATGTAGAGTAGTAAGTCATTCTCCTCAATGTTACTGTAACCCAGGATATATTGGTAACCCGTATACAGAATGTACAATACTTCAAGGTAAATTGAACAACATATTGCTTTTATTTTTGACTAAGATGTGAGTAATTTACTCAATCGTTAATTTTTAGCTGATCCTGTACCACAAGAGTATATAAATCCTTGTGAGCCATCTCCGTGTGGCACAAATGCCATTTGTAAAGAACAAAACGGAGCCGGTTCTTGTATGTGTCTACCTGAATACTTTGGAAATCCGTACGATGGTTGCAAGCCTGAATGTGTTGTAAATTCTGAATGTCAGTCTAATAAAGCATGTATAAATAATAAATGTAAAGACCCGTGCCCTGGAACATGTGCTCAAAATGCCGAGTGTCAAGTTATTAATCATTCACCAACATGTACATGTTACAATGGATATACCGGAGACCCATTCCGATACTGTCATATCATACCACCACAACGTAATTAATTTTTTTTATAGAAATCAATTCATAGTAATTAATATATAATTATTAATTATCATGTTTTTTTTTTTTTAGAAACCGAAGTACAGCCTGTTTATCCATGTACACCATCTCCATGTGGACCAAACAGCCAATGTCGAGAAATAAATCAGCAAGCTGTATGTTCATGTTTACCAAATTATGTAGGAAGTCCTCCCGGATGTCGCCCAGAATGTGTTTTGAACGCAGAATGTTCATCAAATCTCGCATGTATTAATCAAAAATGTAAAAACCCATGTGAAGATCGTTGTGCACAAAATGCTAACTGCAGAGTATTCAACCATAGTCCAGTGTGTTCATGTACTCCTGGTTATACTGGAGATCCATTTTCACATTGTTATGCTATACCTCCACCACTACCGCCACCACAAAATGAACCTGTTTATACCAACCCATGTATACCATCACCGTGTGGAGCCTATGCTATATGTAAAGACATTGGAGGAACCCCATCATGTTCGTGCTTGGCTCAATATATTGGATCCCCACCAAACTGTAGACCAGAATGCATTATGCATTCAGAATGTCCTAGTAATGAAGCTTGTATTAGGGAAAAATGCCAAGATCCATGTCCAGGATCATGCGGCTGGGGTGCTCAGTGTAATGTAATTAATCACACACCTATGTGTATTTGTCCAGATGGTTATGAAGGTGATCCGTTTACAAAATGTGATATAAAACCAGGTATTTGTTAATATTTAAATATAATGTCTATATACTATTTTAATTTATTACTTTTTCTAGTTATTCAAGTTCCAGTTTACTCAGATCCTTGTAATCCGTCGCCTTGTGGTCCAAATGCTCAATGTAATAATGGCGTATGCACATGCTTACATGACTACCAGGGAGATCCGTACACTGGATGTAGACCTGAATGTGTACTAAATGATGATTGTCCAAGAAACAAAGCATGTATTAAAAATAAATGTATGGATCCTTGTCCTGGAACTTGTGGGCAAAATGCTATTTGTGATGTTTACAATCATATACCTATGTGTCGTTGTCCAGAAGGAATGCAAGGCAATGCTTTTGTTTTTTGCAGTCCACAGCAAAATGGTATGTATTTACTATCAATTTACTTTTACACTAAATAATAAACCTATATTTTTTTTTTAGAACCTGAAATATTTGAGCCATGTAAGCCATCTCCTTGTGGACCATATAGTCAATGTAGGGAAGTAAATAATCAAGCGGTTTGCTCTTGTGTAATGGGTTATACTGGAGTACCACCATTATGCCGTCCTGAATGTATAACAAGTTCAGACTGTAGACAAAATCAAGCGTGTTCCAATCAAAAATGTATAGACCCATGTCCAGGAACTTGCGGTATAAATGCTAAATGCCAAGTTATAAGCCACAATCCAATATGTAGCTGTCCAACAGGATATACTGGAAATGCATTTATGAATTGCTACCAAATTCGTAAGCATAAAATATACAACATTTTAATATCAAATAGCTTTATTATGAATAGCTACTTTTTATCATAACTATTTTATTCATTTAAATATACTCCGAATCACCAACTTTTAATTAACAATTAAAATGTAACAATTTTTAATTTAGCTGCTGACGTACCATTAATAGTGGGCAATCCGTGTGTCCCATCACCATGTGGACCTAATTCGCAGTGTCAAGTAAAAGGAGACAATCCGTCTTGTTCCTGTTTGCCCGAATTTATCGGATCTCCTCCAAATTGCAAACCAGAATGTATCACTAATAGTGAATGTTCCTACAATAAAGCATGTATAAATATGAAATGTAAGGATCCTTGTCCAGGAACATGTGCAGTTAATGCTATATGTCAAGTTATAAGTCATGCTCCAACTTGTCATTGCCAACAAGGTTATACCGGAAATCCATTTACATTCTGTTCAGTTCAACAAGGTAATAATATCATATAATGATGTTTAAAACTATTTTATTATGGTATGATAATTTGACATATTAAATATCTTTTAATTTATAGCAGATCCTATACCTCAAGAATACATTAATCCATGCGTACCTTCACCATGTGGTGTGAATGCAGTATGCAAGGAACACAATGGCGCAGGATCGTGCACTTGTTTACCAGAATATATAGGAAATCCATACGAGAGTTGTAGACCAGAATGTACAGTTAATTCTGATTGCGTTTCCAACAAAGCATGTATGATGAATAAGTGTAGAGATCCGTGTCCAGGTACATGCGGTCAAAATGCAGAATGCCATGTCGTAAATCATTTGCCAGTCTGTACTTGTTTGAATGGTTACAACGGTGATCCATTCAAATATTGTTCAGTTATTGTACCACCACAAGGTATTTATTTTTTATTGTGCAAGTTACATATTAAATTAAATGAGTTTGATTATTGTACACGTGAATGGGTTTAAATACTCAAATAACAATTAAATACAAAACAACTATAATATTATATATAAATTAAAAATTAAAACATAAACATGGAAAAAATTAAATAAATAAATAAATATTATATTTTATCTTGAATTAATTGAAAGATAAGTGGAAGATACAATTGGATTACATTGTTTTATATTCAATTAATTATTGGTTCTAATTTTTTTTTTTATGTAACAAGTAAGAAGTATTAAATTGTTAAAATCTTATAACTCTTGTAAATAAATAAAATTTAAATTCAATAATATTAAAAACATCAACTATGCTATTAATAAATATAAATCCACCTAAAAGGTCTTCTGTTTTTAAGGACATCAAATTAAAAATGACAAGTGTTATTTGAAATTATTTTATTCATGTTTTTTTTATTTACTTATATTATAGATGCTCCAATAGAACCGATTAACCCATGTTATCCATCACCTTGTGGACCGAATAGTCAGTGTAAATCCATCAATAATCAAGCAATATGTTCATGTTTACCAACATTCATTGGAAGTCCCCCTGGATGTAGACCAGAATGTGTAATGAGTTCGGAATGTAACAGTAATGAAGCATGTACAAACCAAAAGTGTTCTGACCCATGTGTGGCTATTTGTGGAAACAATGCTGATTGTAAAGTCATAAATCATAGTCCAATTTGTACTTGTCGGCCAAAATATACTGGAGATCCGTTCACTCATTGTTTCCCAATACCAAGTAATTTCTACTATTTATTCATCGTAATATCTTTATACTTACGTTGTACATTATTTTAGTACCGCCACCTCAATATTTGCCTACTGAATACATTAATCCATGTATACCATCACCTTGTGGTCCGTATTCACAATGTCATGATAACCAAGGAGTTCCTTCATGCAGTTGTCTTCCTCAATACATAGGAAGTCCACCAAATTGTAGACCGGAATGTGTTATTAATTCAGAATGCCCATCTAACAAAGCATGTATAAATGAACATTGTAGAGATCCATGTCCTGGATCATGTGGTTATAATGCTGAATGCAATGTTCTGAATCATACTCCAATGTGTGTGTGTCCATATGGCATGATCGGTGATCCTTTCACTAGTTGTTATACTAAACCACAGGAATGTAAGTGACTTAATTTTATTTGGCATATAATCTACTATACATTGTAATACAATTATTGTTAAAATATTTTAGATATTCCAGTTGAACACAGTGATCCGTGTAATCCGTCACCTTGTGGACCTAACGCGGAGTGTAATAATGGTCAATGTACTTGTTTATTAGAATATCAAGGAGATCCTTACATAGGATGTAGACCTGAGTGTGTTATAAATAATGACTGCCCACAAAACAAAGCTTGTATAAATAGAAAATGTCGTGATCCCTGTCCAGGAATATGCGGTATAAACGCACTCTGTGATGTTTATAATCATATTCCGATGTGCAGATGCCCTGAAAAAATGTCTGGAAATGCTTTCTTAGAATGCAAGCCAGTCGAAAGTAATATATTAGTTATAAGTTAAATCAATACTTAATAATTAATAACGTATTTATTTATGTAGTTCAAGCTCAAGTTTATCCATGCAATCCTTCACCTTGTGGACCGAATAGTCAATGTAGAGAAGTCAATAACCATGCTGTATGTTCATGTATATCCAATTACATTGGATCACCTCCTCTGTGTAGACCAGAATGTACTACAAATTCTGATTGTAATCAAAACGAAGCTTGTAGTAATCAAAAATGTAAAGATCCATGTCCCGGAACATGTGGAATAGGAGCTAAATGCCAAGTTATTAACCATAGTCCAATATGTAATTGTCCGTCAGGATATACAGGAAATGCGTTTGTTCACTGCCATCCAATACGTAAGAATAATAATTAACTAAAAGCAGTTTTGTTATTTTCATTATTATTAATAATTATACATATTTAGAAGCAGCACCTGTTGAAGAAGTTAATGAAAATCCTTGCGTACCATCACCGTGTGGATTAAATGCTCAATGTCAAGATATTGGAGGTCAACCATCATGCTCTTGTTTACCTCAATTTATTGGGTCTCCTCCAAATTGTAAGCCAGAATGTATAATCAATAGCGAATGTCCATACCATTTAGCATGTATAAATATGAAATGCCGAGATCCATGTCCAGGATCATGTGGCTACAATACAGAATGCAAAGTTATAAGTCACGCCCCACAATGCTACTGTTTACCTGGTTATATTGGAAATCCAATAATTCAATGTAATATACAACAAGCTGATCCAGTTCCTCAAGAATATATCAATCCTTGCCAACCATCTCCTTGTGGTTCAAATGCAGTGTGCAAAGAGCAAAACGGTGCTGGCTCGTGTTCGTGTTTACCAGAATACTTTGGTGATCCATATAGAGGATGCATGCCTGAATGTGTGGTTAATTCAGACTGCCCACAAAATGAAGCTTGTAGGAGAAATAAATGTGAAAACCCTTGCCCAGGATTATGCGGTCAAAACGCAGAATGTCAAACAATTAATCATGTACCCATGTGTACATGTTCCAATGGATATACTGGAGATCCGTTCAGATATTGTTCAGTTATTCCACCTCAACGTAATTAAATTACACTTAATTAATTATTTTCTCAGTAAATAAGAATAAGTTTCATTAAATATTGATAAATAAAGTGAAATTTTCCAATTGTAATAATATTTGTACAATATTGATGATTAATTTACTATTTCCTTTATAAAATAAAATATTTTTTTTTAATTTTAGAAACTCCAATTGAACCAACTAATCCATGCCATCCATCACCTTGTGGACCAAATAGTCAATGCAGAGAACTCAATGGGCAAGCAATATGTTCATGTCTTCCAGAATATATTGGAAGCCCTCCAAGTTGTCGGCCGGAATGTGTAATAAGTACTGAATGTAATCGTGATAAGGCTTGTATAGGGCAGAAATGTAAAGATCCGTGCCCCGGAGTATGTGGTCAAAATGCCATTTGTCAAACTATTAACCATAGTCCTATTTGCACATGTACTTCAGGATACACTGGAAATCCATTTTCTCAATGCTATCAACTACCAAGTAAATAAATAACTTTCATCACTATATTTATTATTAAGATTTAATCTCATAAAATACTGATTAAATATATTATTATTATTCAGAACCTGTTATACAACAAATTCCACCAGAACCATCGAACCCATGTATTCCAAATCCTTGTGGACCATATTCAATCTGTCACGACCAAGGAGGATATCCATCGTGTTCCTGTTTATCTCAGTATATAGGCACTCCACCAAATTGTAGACCTGAGTGTGTTATTAGTGCTGAATGTCCAAGCAATAAAGCTTGTATTAATGAAAAATGTAAAGATCCATGCCCTGGTTCTTGTGGGGTTGGAGCACTTTGTACCGTTAACAACCATACACCTAATTGTTACTGCCCAAGTGGATATATTGGAGATCCATTCAATTCATGTGTGCTAAAACCACCACAAGCCGGTTAGTATCTTATAAAATATTTACTTAAGAACAATTTTATTTTAAATAATTGCATCTTTACTGGATCCAGATATACCAAATGTTGATCCGTGCTATCCATCACCATGTGGTTCAAACGCGAATTGTAATGACGGCATCTGCACTTGCTTAGCGGAATATCAAGGAGATCCTTATGTCGGATGTAGACCTGAGTGTATAATAAATGACGAATGTCCTAGAAATAAAGCTTGCATTAAATATAAATGCAAGGATCCGTGTCCAGGAACTTGTGGTCAAAACGCAATTTGTGATGTTTATAACCATATTCCAATGTGTAGATGCCCTGAAGGAATGTCTGGAAATGCATTTATTGATTGCAGACCACAGCAAAGTAATAAATCATATAATTTATTTTAAGAAAATATGGTAATTCTAAATTTATACTTATCATTAATATTTATTTAATTATTTATAGTTCCTGAGGTACATGACTATTGTAATCCTTCGCCATGTGGTCCAAATAGCATATGTCAAGAAATAAATCAACAAAGTGTATGCTCTTGTATAGTTGGATACATTGGTTCTCCACCAACATGCCATCCAGAATGCATAGTTAATTCTGATTGCATATTGAGTAAAGCTTGTAGTAATCAAAAATGTCGAGATCCGTGCCCTGGAACATGTGGAATTAGTGCTAAATGTCATGTAGTAAACCATAATCCAATATGCAGTTGTCCTCCTGGTTTTACAGGAAATCCATTTGTACAATGTAGTCAAATACGTAAGTTATTATACATTTTACAAATTCCATAGATAAAAATGACATTGAATGTTTATAAATATTGATTTTTTTTACTATAGCAGTTATTGAAGATGAACCTATTAGAAATCCATGTGTTCCTTCGCCATGTGGTCCATATTCGCAATGCCAAGTTCAAGGAACATCTCCGTCATGTTCATGCTTGCCTGAGTATATTGGATCGCCACCAAATTGTCGACCTGAATGTGTTAGTAACAGTGAATGTTCATACAATTTGGCTTGTATAAATATGAAATGCAAAGATCCATGCCCCGGATTGTGTGGAGAAAATGCCTTATGTCGTGTTATCAGCCACTCTCCAATGTGTTATTGTATACATGGTTATACAGGAAATCCAATGGTTCAATGTGTGGTTCAACAAGGTATTTATATTAAAATATATTAATTCATTAGTTAATATATTTAATTGAAAATTGCGTATTTCAGAAGCAGTTGTGATAAGAGATGATCCACACCCTTGTACTCCATCACCTTGTGGAGCAAATGCCCAATGTAAAGAACAAAACAATGCTGGCTCTTGTAGCTGTTTGCCTGGGTATTTCGGAAATCCATATGAAGGTTGTAGACCAGAGTGCATTGTTAATACTGATTGTTCACCAACTAAAGCTTGCATACAATATAAATGTCAAAATCCTTGTCCCGGAACGTGTGGTTTAAATGCAGAATGTCAAGTGGTTTACCACGTCGCATCATGCATTTGTAATCCAGGTTACACGGGTAACCCATACCAAGCCTGTAATTTCATGAGACCACAAAGTAAGTTTAGTATTATGTCTATATTTATTTAAATACAATAATTCTATTATTTTACATGAAAAAAATTTAATTTGTTGCTAATAAGCGATAAGAAATCCATTACTATATGAATTTAGATTTAAGTAGACCTATGAATGTTTAAGTTTCAATAATATATGTATATTATTAAGTTTTAAGAGCTAAAAATTTTCTTAAATTTTTAACATCGAGAGTGATTTTTGACAACAAATTTTATATACTTTAATAAAATACTTTGTCAACAATAAGAAAATCCCATTTACTTTACTTAAAATATCAAAAAATTAAAAATATTTACATATCATTTATTAGTTTTAGATTATTTGATACATTTCTCATTACTTATTTAATCGTTATCAAGATTTCTTATAGCCATAAGTCGTTCTTATACAAATAAAAAATTTAGAAGCATAATTATTTTAAAAAATTCTGTTTTATAACTGTTTAAATAAAATCTTTTATTTTTAATTTTAGTAACTCAAATGGAACCAATATATTACCCATGTACTCCATCACCATGTGGTCCAAATAGTCAATGCAGAGAATTAAATAACCAAGCTGTATGTTCTTGTTTACCATCCTTTATCGGAAATCCGCCTATGTGTCGTCCTGAATGTACAACTAGTGCAGAATGTTCAACAAATTTAGCATGTATAAACAAGAAATGTGTAGATCCTTGTCCAGGAGTATGTGGACAAAGTGCTTATTGCAAAGCTATAAATCACAGTCCATTGTGCATATGCAATTCAGGGTTCACAGGAGATCCATTTTCTATTTGCTATCCAATACAAAGTATGATTATTTTATTATTATAATAATAAAAGTTTCTAAAATAAACTATTATTAATTTAGATTCACCAGAACCTCAACCACAGCCACCAATAAACCCATGTATACCATCACCTTGTGGTGCTTATTCTCAATGTCAAAATTACGGAGGTTCTCCTTCGTGTACATGTCTTCCATCGTACATAGGATCTCCACCAAATTGTAAACCAGAATGCACAATCAATGCTGATTGTCCAAGTAATATGGCATGTATTAGAGAAAAATGTAGAGATCCGTGTCCAGGTTCTTGTGGTTTAAATGCACATTGTCAAGTGTTAAACCACATTCCTATGTGCACATGTCCAGAAGGATATACTGGAGATCCGTTTTTGAGCTGTTACATCAAACCAGAACGTGAGTATCAAAGAAATAATAAATCTAGTATTATATATTTTTATTAAACAAATACCTAAATTTATATATGAATATATCATATTATAATATTAAATATCAAATTTAATTTCATTATTTAGCACCAATTCAACAAGCATCAGATCCTTGTAATCCTTCTCCATGCGGATCAAATGCATTATGCAATAATGGAATTTGTACATGTATTGCCGAATATCAAGGTGATCCCTATAGCATATGCAGACCAGAATGTGTCCTTAACAATGAATGCCCTCAAAATAAGGCATGCATACAAAATAAATGTAAAGATCCTTGTCCAGGAACTTGTGGTCAAAATGCTTTGTGTGATGTTTATAATCACATACCAATGTGTAGATGTCCTCAAGGAATGAATGGAAATGCATTTATACAATGTTTAACATATCAAGGTATTAAAAAAACAATTATAAATTTATTATAAAATACTAATATTTTTTAATTATTTATAAAGCTCCAATTGAAACAAACCCATGTCAACCGTCACCATGTGGTCCCAACAGTCAATGTAGAGAAGTTAATGGTTATTCAATGTGTTCTTGTCTCACTGGATATTATGGAACACCACCAACTTGTCATCCTGAATGTTCAATTGATTCTGATTGTAGTCAAAATAGGGCATGTTCAAACCAGAAATGCCGTGACCCGTGTCCAGGAGCTTGTGGAGAGAATGCGCAATGCCACACTATAAGCCATAGACCACATTGTACATGTCCTCCAGGTTTCACTGGAAATGCATTTTCCAGATGCTATGTACAACAATGTAAGATGAACATATAAGTTTAATAAAGATTTTTTCTATATTTATGTTTATCTGTTTAATTAGTACCACCAGAACCAGTACGCAATCCATGTGTACCTTCACCTTGTGGCCCGAATTCTCTATGTCAAGTTATTGGAAATTCTCCATCATGTTCATGTGCATCTGATTATATTGGTTCACCACCAAATTGTCGACCAGAGTGTATCAGTAATAATGAATGTTCTTATAATCTTGCCTGTATCAATATGAAATGTAAAGACCCGTGTCCTGGTTCATGTGCTTCAAACGCTATATGTAAAGTAATTAGTCATACTCCAAGATGTAGCTGTCCACCAGGTTATAACGGCGATCCGTTCACTCAATGCATATTACAACAAGGTAAATATATAAACATTATTTATAGTTTTAAATTAAAAAATACTGTCAACTGTATAATAATATATGAATTCAATTAAATTTTTTAGCGGAACCAATTCAAGAAATAATAAATCCTTGTATACCATCGCCATGTGGTCCCAATACATTATGTAAAGAACAAAATAATGCTGGTTCATGCATTTGTCTACCAGAATATTATGGTAATCCTTACGAAGGATGTCGACCTGAATGTATGGTTAATACAGACTGTAATGCTAACAAAGCATGTATGGCAAACAAATGTAAAGACCCATGCCCGGGAACTTGTGGCAGTAATGCTAAATGTCAAACTATTAATCACATACCAATGTGCACATGTTTACCTGGTTATGTTGGCGATCCATTTAAATACTGTCAAATTATACAACCGCAACGTAAGTTTAAGTAGTAAAGCATTATAAGTTATAACAAACGACAATTTTTAAATTAACTAAAAATTTTAACAACTTTTTTTTTTTATAGAAGCTGAAATTGTACCAAGTTATCCATGCATTCCATCTCCTTGTGGTCCGAATAGTTTATGTAGAGAGAATAATGGACAAGCAATTTGTTCGTGCTTACCATCCTATATAGGAACTCCGCCTGGATGTAGACCCGAATGTGTCACTAACGCTGAATGTATGCAAAACAAAGCATGTATCAATCAAAAATGTGTAGATCCTTGTCCAGGAACATGTGGACAAAATGCATATTGCCAAACAATAAACCATCATCCAATATGTAAATGTAGCCCTGGTTACACGGGTAATCCATCAACATATTGCTCCTTAATACAATGTAAGTCTACCTAATAATAATAATGAAAAATTATTTATGAAATTAAAATTTCAACTACATGGTGATAGCTATAGTTTTTAACATATTACAACAAAAAGTAATAGATAAATCTATTTTCTAAATGATACTTTTATAAAATATTACAGTAAAATATGGATAATATACATAATATAAAAAAAAAAAAAAAAAAAAAAAATTGAAATTGAATTAATACATTTTATTTACATGATAAAATAGGGAGTTTTTCAATGCGATATTTATACAATAAATTCCTTTAAACATATTATTAAAAATGTATTTTATATAATTAATAAATATTTTCAAATAATTTTTCAGATATACCTCAAGACACACCTGTTGTTGTTAACCCTTGCTTGCCTTCACCTTGTGGTCCTTACTCTGAATGTAAAGCATATGGAAACTCTCCATCTTGTTCGTGTTTACCAACGTATGTTGGAAGTCCACCAAACTGTAGACCTGAATGCGTTGTCCATGCCGAATGTCCAAGTAATATGGCTTGCATGAGAGAAAAGTGCAGAGATCCTTGTCCAGGATCTTGTGGTTTAGGATCACAGTGCAGCGTAATTAATCATGTACCAATTTGCACATGCCCAACTGGTTATACAGGAGATCCATTTGTCAGCTGTTATATAAAGCCAATCCCACGTAAGTTTAAAAAAATCTTCTGATCAACTCAAACATCAAACTTATAAATATTTTTGTATGTTTAGCTCCAAAGCCACAATATACAGATCCGTGTTATCCATCTCCATGTGGACCAAGTGCTACATGTAATAATGGAATTTGTACGTGCATAGTTGGATATCAAGGTGATCCATATCGTGGTTGTCGACCAGAATGTGTTTTGAATGAAGATTGTGCTAAAGATAAAGCATGTGTGAAAAATAAATGTGTCAATCCATGCATAGGCACTTGTGGAAATAATGCCATTTGTGAAGTTTATAATCACATACCAATGTGCCATTGTCCACCCGGAATGACAGGAAATGCTTTTATCGCATGTCATCAAATAACATTACAAGAACCAGTGATACAAAATCCGTGTTCGCCTTCGCCGTGTGGTCCAAATAGTCAATGTAGAGATGTGAACAATCAACCGATTTGTACATGCTTACCTACTTTCTTTGGTTACCCTCCTAATTGCCGACCTGAGTGTACAGTTAATTCGGATTGTTCTATGAACACCGCTTGTATAAATCAGCGGTGTAGAGACCCGTGTCCGGGAACTTGCGGTATGAATGCAGAATGCCAAGTTGTAAATCATAATGCAATATGTAGTTGTCCACTACATTTAACAGGAGATCCGTTCTCCAAATGCTATTATCCAGGTAAATAAATAATTGATTAATTTTAAGCATTTAATATACTTTTAACATGAAATATATAATTTATTATTTAATTACAGTTGTATCAAAACCACAACAAGATCCAATTAACCCTTGCGTACCAAGTCCGTGTGGACCTTACTCTGAATGCCGTGTAACTGCTAACACTTACACTTGTACATGTTTACCAAACTACCAAGGTTCACCTCCACATTGCCGTCCAGAATGTATTTCGAATAGCGATTGTAGATATAATTTAGCATGCATCAACATGAAGTGCAAGGACCCATGTATTGGTTCATGTGGTTTAAATACTGAATGCCATGTTTATAACCATATACCTCAATGCACTTGTCTTCAAGGATATGTTGGAAATCCTTTCATATTATGTCAAATCCAACAAACACCGCGTAAGGATGATTTGTGTTTCTATCACACTGTCAATAATAATTTGTTTTTAATAACTAATTTGATCTACAACAGCAAACTCCAATACTACGTTCATAATACTTTATTTTACGTTAAGATAATCTATTATAAGTTAGATTTTAAGTATAGATATGAATTATTAGTCATAAGTATATTTTTAAATCTCCATACCTCAGCTAATAAAATTCAGCGTCGTCTCTAGTTTAGTTTTAATTGAATATTTTGATTGATGGTTTGTAAGATTTTTAAAAAATGCATGCTTATAGATTGTTTTGCATGGTTTTATACATTTATTGCACGATTATTATGTATTTGCATGGTAGTTATTTGTTTTATACCCAAGTATGAACGAATATCACATCATACATAATATACGTAAATATTTTTTACTCATAAGAATACATTATCTAAATTATAGCTGTTCAACCAACACCGACATCACCGTCAGATCCTTGTTATCCCTCACCATGTGGGCCTAATGCTAGATGTCGTGTTGAGAACCAGCATGCCATTTGCGAGTGTTTACCAGAATATCAAGGAAATCCGTACGAATCTTGTAGACCAGAATGTCTTGTTAGCTCTGATTGCACAATGAACAAGGCTTGTATTAGGAATAAATGTCAAGATCCATGTCCTGGCACATGCGGCATATCTGCTATATGTTTTGTTTCAAATCATATACCAATATGTTCATGTCCAGAAAGTTTAACTGGTGATCCTTTCCAAATGTGTCACCCAATACCAGTTAGAGGTAATCATCTCTTAAATTCCAAAAAATTAATATTTGATCATTTGTGTCAATGTTTATTTTAACCTATTAAATTTTCATACAACTTATTTATTACTATGATTTATTTTTATCATTATTTAATTTTAATTTTAAATAATTGTATAGATCCAATTCCATCTGATCCATGTGTCCCATCACCTTGTGGACCAAATACTCTTTGTCGCATAATGAATGGTGCTGCTGTTTGCGAATGTTTACAAGGATATGAAGGATCTCCGTCTACTAGTGGATGCCGACCTGAATGTGTGATCAGTCCTGACTGTCCTCGCAATAGAGCTTGCGTGAACAATAAATGTATCGACCCGTGTATTGGAGTATGTGGGTACGAAGCAATTTGTCAAACTATTAACCACAGTCCAGTCTGTTCTTGCCCACCACCCACAGTAGGAGATCCATTCGTTGAATGTAAACAACAACCAGGTAAATTTTATATTATTTTTCAGATTTTCTTATTATTAATTTAATTTATTTACATACAAATATTTTAACACATATATTATCTAACAGCTTTGCCAAGTGACCCATGTAATCCGTCTCCATGCGGTAGCAATGGTCAATGTAGAGTAATTGGAAAAGTCGCATCATGTATTTATCCAGAGTGTATTATTAACCAAGATTGTCCAAGAGATAAAGCGTGTTTCACACAGAAATGTCAAGACCCGTGTCGAGATGTTTGTGGATTAAACGCTATTTGTCAAGTAGTAAACCACAATGCTTTATGTTCATGTCCTCCAGGATACTATGGAGAACCAAAACAACAATGTATAATACAACGATCACCAGGTAAAAAAAATAATGACCAAACATAATGTATAAAAACTATATTTTCATTTTATTATTTCATTTAAAAAAAAAAAAAATTCAAATGTTAATACAAAAAAATAAAAATAATTTTGTTTCCAAAACCTTATAGAAACTACAGTCCTCATCTTATAACATAAAAAATGTTATAATGCATTAACATAACCAATAATCATTGAAAAAAAAAATTATCAATTAACTTAAAATAATAATTAAATAAATATGTAACAAGTCGGTTTATTTAACAAACAATAATTATTCTTATCTTATATTTATCATACAAATCAAAATTATTTAAGTTTTTTATACAGATTTTACCATAGTTGCTTACAACAATATTGAAAGATCTCTTTCTAAATTCTATTTTAAAATTAATATTTTTTAAATTTAAATAATTTTGTATTAACATTTAATTCTTTGTTTATTTTGATGAATATTATAATTATAACTGAAATCAACACGTAAAAACTCATAAAAATACAAATTTATCAAAACATTTTTAGCATAAATATTATTTTAAGTTTGTATGTCATATGTATTATACAAACTTCTTGGTATACAAAAAAAATAACCTCTTAAAAGATATCTTAAATAATGAACTCATCATAGTTCTATACAATCTCTAGTATTTTTTGAAATTACTTCCCCCAAAACACATAATCCTTAACTATATGTGCCTGAAAAATATAATATATATTCTTGGAATTTTTATCATAAGTTGATATCAAGACTTCCAAATTTTTTCAAATGGAAAAATATTTCTTACAATGTTATCAAATACATGACTAATTACTGATGTTCATATAATTCTCTTGCAGAACCTAAGCCAGAATGTACTACTGATGATGAATGTTCCAACGACAAAGCTTGTATAAATTATGTCTGTAAAAACCCATGTCAAGAATCACCAACTACTTGTGCGAGAAATGCATTATGCTACGTTCAAAAACACAGATCAGTGTGTGTGTGCAGAGATGGAATGACTGGAAATGCTCAAATACAATGTGTAGAAAGTAAGCTTCGATTAGCAAAATATGCTTGGCTATAAATCTTAATCTAATTAAAATGATTTTTCCAGTTGGTTGTCGCGCTGATACCGACTGTCCACCAGAAAAATCATGTGTTAACGGAGATTGTATTGACCCATGTACTTACACTCATTGTGGTCTTAATGCACTATGTCGAACCGATGGGTACCACAGAGCTCGGTGTTATTGCCCTCCCGCGTATGAAGGAGATCCGTTTGTAGAATGTAGAAGACCTGAATGCGTAGTCGATTCAGACTGTCCATCAACATTGGCTTGCAGAAATCAACATTGTCAAAGCCCATGTGATTGTGCCCCAACTGCGCTGTGTAACGTAGTAAACCATGTGGCTGCGTGTAGATGTCCACCGGGTTACATAGGAAATCCTCATACGTCTTGTACTTTAAGTATGTATATTTAATGACTTTATATTTTCAATTTTGTATAATACATTGTTGATTTCGTAATGCAACTTATTCATCAAATATCTTTTTTATTACTATTATTATTATTAGCTCCACTTGCTATTCCACCTCAGTGCACAATGGACTCCGACTGTGCTAGTAAATTGGCCTGTTTCAACGGACAATGCAAAAACCCATGTTATGAAATAAAGCCATGTGGACCAAATGCAGAGTGTATTGTAGTCGATACGTTACCTCATAGAACTATGTCGTGCCAGTGTATTCCAGGTTATGTTGGCGATGCCGATATTCAATGTAAAATAGGTAATGAAAATTATTTTTAAAATAAATTAAAATTTAGAAATGTATCACAAACTAATTGTTATAATATACACGTATTTAAATTTCAGCTAATACCTAATAATATAACCAAATATAGTAACATTACTAATTAATACTATATTTTATGTGATTTCAGATTATAGCTGCTTACCTATTTCTTATAAAATATCCTCTAAAATTTATCCATTTTTAGTAACACATCGAAATTTATATAAAAATATTATACAATATAATTGTATGTGCAAACATGTTTTGTCAATCCCTTCACTTCCCTTAACTTTCTCTGTTGTATATAATAAATTATTTAGATTGACTACATTTTTAACAACCTTTTTATTATTACAGATAAAAATAATTTAAATTATTTATGTATAATTTACTAAAGTGTGTTTTATTTTAGGTGTTTCGTCATCGGTAGGTTGTACATCTAATGACGACTGCCAGCCAACAGATTCGTGCTTAAACCGCCAATGTGTTAATCCATGCACTATATCCAATCCTTGTTCATCTACTGCACTGTGCACAATCAATAATCACAAAGCTGTTTGTAAATGTCCAGACGGCCTTTCTGGTGATCCATTCATCAGTTGTTACAAAGGTAAAATAATTTACAATTATCACGTTTAATGAAACACCTGTTTAAAATTTATGAAACTTAATTTCACTTTTAAAAATTATTACAGTACCGCTGGCTTCACCAGAATGTACAACAGATTCTGAATGCCCAAGTTCTAAAATATGTGCCAACCAATATTGTCAAGACCCATGTCAAATATCAAAACCATGTGACCCTACCGCTGAATGTGTTACAATTAACCACCGACCAATTTGTAATTGTCCAAATGGATGGGCAGGAAATCCTCAAATTCAGTGTTATAAACGTAATACATATTATTTTGAAATTATAAATCCTAATGGTAAATGATAACTATAATTTATTTTTCTACATGTTTCAGCGGGTTGCAAGACCGATAGTGATTGTGTATATGATAAAGCATGCATTAACAGCAATTGTTTGAACCCGTGTTCTACTCAGAGTTGTGGTCACGGAGCTGAATGTATTGTGCAAGCTCACAAAGCTCATTGCATCTGTCCGGCCGGTACTCAAGGCTCACCAATGGTGTCTTGCGTATCAGTAGTGTGCCAGTATAATGAAGACTGTGCAGACCATGAAGCATGTGACAGATTAAATAGAAGGTGCAGACCTGTATGTGAACAAGACACTTGTGCTGAGCAGGCAACATGTTTAGCCCAAGCTCATCAACCGACATGTACATGTCTGAATGGCTTCCAAGGAAATCCTTACATCGAATGCATTGGTAAGTTAAACAGAAATATCAGTGTTATGTTTCAGTGTTTGATCAACTTTTAATTTAATACAGAATCAAGAGTACCATCAATAACTCCTGAGTGCACAACCGATTCTGACTGCCCATCACAACATGCTTGTGTAAATCAGAGATGTCAAAACCCATGTACCATTTCTGTGCTTTGTTCACCAGATCAAGAGTGTCATGTTCAAGATACCGTCCCATACAGAACTGTTATGTGTCAATGTAGATCAGACACTGTAGCCACCATTGATGGCCGCTGCAAACCAATAGGTAAACTTTTTGTGATTTCACAACAATTAATTTATGTACTTATCAACTTATTTACGTATTTTAACTACCTATTAAATTAGAGTATGTAGTAAAATATTTAAATACTTAATATTTTTCTAAGAATTAATATTTATTTGAATATATTTTTATAGATTAAACATATATTTTTATGTATACTAAAACAACAGTTATATTTTATTCAATTCATGCTATTTTTCGAACAAAAAATAATAATAATAAATTAAACATTTTTTTTCAGTTCCCATTACCCCCCAATGTAAAAGCGATCAAGAATGTCAACTATCAGAAAGATGTGTAAATCAAGGATGCGTAGAAGCATGTCGAATCGATCCATGTGGTATAAACGCACAATGCATCTCACAAAATCATCAAGCTGCGTGTTCGTGTCCACCAGGATATACAGGCAACCCACACACAGAATGCTCAATTCGTAAGAGTTAACACCTATAAAACGCAATAAACCTAGTTATTGCTTATTTGTATTTGATTACTAACGTTGCTTATATTATTAGAACAATCAATACCAATATTACCACCTTCGCCAGAATGTACGAAAAACGACGATTGTCCGTCTGACACAACTTGTATCAATCAAAGATGTGTTAGTCCGTGCACTTTAGGAGATAGCTGTGGCCGTGGATCATTCTGTCACACTCAAAACCATCAACCCGTTTGCAGATGTCCTAACGGTTATATCGGTGATCCACGCATAGCATGCTCTCCACGTAAGAACTATTTTATACATATTTATGTATTATATTAACACTAAACAAATTACAATATACCTATCAATATGTTTATTTCATGTTAACAGCATCGTCGGTGCCATCCGTTGAATGTGTATCAAGCACTGATTGTAGTGCAGAAGAATCATGTATAAACAAATTGTGCGTGAGTCCATGCAATTGCGGACCCAACTCGGATTGTAAAGTTAATGATCATTATCCTAGTTGTATTTGTAAGCCTGGGTATTATGGAAATCCCCAACAAGGCTGCATAAAAAGTAAGTGTAAACTTTTTTTTGAAGGTATATAAAACTATACTTAACACAGTGACACAGTGTCATCATTTATAAAAATAATAATAATAATGATATAACTTTAAACAATTTCAGTGGGATGTACATCAGATGATCAATGTGCTTATGATAAACAATGTTATAACGGCGAATGTGTTCCACCATGTTTATTGAGTGATCCTTGTGCGCCAACTGCAAAATGTTATGGTGACAATCATCGGGCTGCGTGCCAATGTCCGCCGGGTTACTTCGGAAATCCGTTCGAGAAATGTGAAAGAACTGAATGTACATACGACGTGGATTGTCCGTCAGATCGTATGTGCTTCGACCAGCATTGTATCAATCCATGTACAGAACAACACGGTGCTCCGTGTGCATCAAACGCCATATGTTCTGCCAGAAACCACGCCGCAACGTGTAGATGTCCAGAAAACTTCCCGATGGGAGATCCAAATACTTATTGTGAACGTTTACCACCACCTTTGTTCGGTGAACCAGAATGTAAGATCGATGTGGACTGCGCCAGTCGTCTTGCATGTATCAGAGAAAAATGTGTGAATCCGTGTCAAGAAATTAAACCCTGTTCGAATAGTGCTATGTGCACAGTTTTGGACAGTGTACCAGTTAGAACAATGACGTGTACATGTTCCGAAGGTTGGGTACTCGATGAAAGTGGTGAATGCAGACCAGGTTGGATTTCATGTTTAATAACTATATTTATTTGTTTTTCGAACAATTTTTTTTAAATATATTATTTTATTTTGTAGTCATTGTTTCTTCACCACCTGGTTGTACTACCAACGATGACTGCCCGTCAAACGAAGCATGTCTTAACAGACAGTGCCGTAATCCTTGCAATTGTGGTACAAACGCCCAATGTTTCGTTCAAAACCACCATCCGGTTTGTTCTTGCTTGGAAGGTTACGATGGAAATCCAAACTTTGCTTGTAGAATAGGTATGTAAATTTAAAAACTGGCGGTTATATAATAATATTCAGATCTTAGTACTGTATTGTACTATTATTATTTATTTCAATTCATACGGTTACAAGATCGGTACATTTATATAATTTTTATGATTTCTATAACCTGATTTTATGTTTTTATGTTTGTCAATTCTCTGTTTTTGATCTATAAAATATTATGATATACTATCCTCCTCCTTACAAAGCCATTGGACATCGATATTATCCTATCGTGGGAAATACCAAAAAAATCCCTAACTTTTAGATCGTAATATAATTCAACGTTTCATTAATCATAACTATATAATTTTCAGTGGGATGTAAGAGAAATTCCGAATGTGAATCCGGCAAAGCCTGCATCAACGGGCACTGTCTGAATCCGTGCATAGTGGAAGATCCATGTGGCCCTAATGCCGAATGTTTCACGGTCGCTAGTCGCCCAGAGTGTCGGTGCAAGAGTGGCTATCGGGGTAACCCATACGACAGGTGCTTGGTGATTGGTTGCCACAGTAACAACGACTGTCCCAATGATCGATCGTGCATCAACGGGCAGTGTATCAATCCGTGCGTGTACGAACACCCGTGTTCGTCACAAGCAGAGTGCAAAGTACAAAACCATTTCGCCCTGTGCCGCTGTCCCCCAGGAATGGTAGGCAATCCATATGTAGCCTGCAGACAGGAAGTGCAACCTGAATGTAAGGAAGACGCCGACTGTCCATCACTGTTGGCCTGCTTTGACAGTGTGTGTCGTAACCCGTGCACCGCGCTGGAACCGTGCAAACGGCCGGCCGAGTGCGTGGTAATCGATTCGCTGCCGGTCAGGACCATGATCTGCGAATGTCCCAGCGGTTACGTAAGCAGCGGCAGTGGTACTTGCAAGATCACACCACCGATGACGGCTGTTGCCTGTACCGCGGACACGCAATGTCCATCGGACAGGGCTTGCCTGAACGGTAGGTGCATAGATCCTTGCAACTGCGGGCCGAACTCCGAGTGTAGAGTATGGGACCACAAGCCAGTTTGCTCTTGTCTGGCCGGATTCGATGGCAGCCCGGAGATCGATTGTTCGAGAGGTATGACTGCACATGTCTTTTATTTTTTGTTTACTATAAACTGAGGTATTAAATCATTTTCACTGTACTCAAAAAAAACATAACGAATAATAGAAACCTAATTTACAAATGATAGTTGATTAATAAGTTATGTGTAATAACTAATCACGCATAACAAAATTATTCATAAATAAACTGGTCCCGGCGGTAATACTTAATTTATTAGACTACAATTTTTTCCGTGTCTATCACTAATCAATACTAAACATTTATATAGGTATTAGGATTTATACAAAAAAAAAAAAATCATTATTTCGAGAAAAATGAAATTTTCAATTTTTAAATATTTCAAATCCAGACACCGATTTTTAGTTTAGCTTTTTTATATACTTCTGTAATTGGACACATAATAAAACTTTGTGCTCTACTATTAACAGGATGAAACCCTTCACTTTTTAATTTGTTTACTGTGTCTCACTTATCTCAATGTGAACTTCTTTCGACTGCAAATAAAAATAACTTTTTTTTATACTTTCAGCCGGTTGTCGAAGTGAATCCGACTGTTCTGGTACACACACTTGCATCAACCGTATTTGTGTGGCTGTGTGCGCCGCGGATGGTAGCAGTTGTGGTACAGCGTCCGAATGTTACGGCATCAACCATCAAGCCGTGTGTGAATGTCCTCCGGGAATGGCTGGAAATCCGCAAATAGCCTGCGTGGTTGCCGGCTGTCGGTCGGATACGGATTGTCCCAGCGACAAGGCATGCATAAACACCAAATGTATTGATCCTTGCACCAGAAATAATCCATGCGTCAAGCCAGCTGAGTGTACGGTGTACAACCACCGCACTGATTGTGCTTGTCCACCAGGTTACGTCGGAAACGCCGGAACTACTTGCAAACAGAGTACGTATTCAGAAAACGTCTAAGAGTCAAGTTTCGAAAGGGGAATTAATTTTAAAAACTTTTTTTCTCTAGTCGAAGCCGGATGTCAAAGCGATTCCGATTGTCCATCACAGACGGGTTGCATTAACAAACTGTGCGTGAGCCCATGCGAAGTTTCATCACCATGTGGAATAAACTCGAAATGCAAAGTCCTCGACACCTTCCCGATAAGAACGATGACGTGCGAATGTCTACCGGGCACTCAAGGAAATGCAGCCATACGATGTGACGAAGGTAAGACGTTATTTCAACATTGATTGTCAACCATTTTAGCATAGTAAAACTCTACTAAATATCAAACTAATTAAATAAGTTGTAAATAAATTTATTGACGTTCTGGAAAAAAACTCCTGGAAGCTAACCTATAACACGTTTTTTGTACATCGTTCTAACTCGATTTAATTACTTTCAATACATTAAATATTATAAGTTATAGTCATAACATTTGTAAGGCTTACATCTAAAATATTTTATCATAGAGTAAAATAATAACACGCGTATTTATTTTCTTTCAGTTTCAAAATGTCCGATTGACAAAGGCTACGTGAGAAACGATGATGGAGAGTGTGTATGTCCACCGGGCACAGCTCTGAACCAAGAAGACGAATGCCGTAGGTGTGTAGTCGAACTGGGATACAAGATCGATGAACGCGGCCATTGCGTATGCGCTCTGGATAGAGGATTAATCATCGACGAAAGGGGACGTTGCATATGTCCGACTGAACACGGTTACAGTCTGAACATCTACGGACAATGTGTACCGAGTATGTAGACGAACACTATGCCATGATAATGATATTTAAAACAATTTTTCAATTATTACCACCACCCCCCCTAGTTGATTCACTTTATTGAAACTTTATAAAAAAAAAATTTCAGAAAACACGACACAACTTAGGACGGACTTCCCGAGACCGGACATGGTTGTCACGTGTTTGTCGGACGGAGTACAAGTAGAAATCCACATAACAGAAAAAGGATTTAACGGAGTACTCTACGTGAAGGGTCACAGTAAGAACGAACAGTGTAGACGAGTCGTATCGATGGCGCAAGACTCGTCGCCCAGGACGGAAATATTCAAAGTCAACTTTGGAAATTGTGGACTTATACACATCAACGTGAGTTTAATAACGATGTATTGAGTCCCAAATATTATGCGCAATTTTGTCACCGACGACGAAAACCATTGCTCCTTTACCTAACTATATAATTTAGTCATGTACTAATTGTTACGATTTATCGCGTACAACAGGGCCAGGCTAGTTTTGTACTAGTAATACAGAAACATCCGAAATTGGTGACTTACAAAGCCCAAGCCTATCAGATACGATGCGTGTACAACACCGGTGAACAGAACGTCACGCTCGGCTTTAACGTGTCCATGTTGACCACGGCCGGTACGATAGCGAACACCGGACCTCCGCCTACGTGTCTGATGAAGATCGTCACGCACACCGGTCAAGAAATCGACTCGGCCGAAATCGGTGACAACTTAATGTTACAAGTGGACGTCCAACCGTCGAGTAAGTGTGAAAACGATTCATAAAACATGTTTGAAAATCAATACCGGTCTCGTAGTTATTGAGTACTGACTACCGCGGAATATTATAAAGTCGTCCGTGTGTTTAATTTTATAAGACGCACGACCCTATTGTGATGTATATATAATATTATAAGTTTATATTAGTCATAATTTCTGAAAAGCGTTAAAAAATATTGAAAACCTATGATTAATGTTTTTGGACTCGTGTGGCGCAAACTGTTCGCACGTTGTCGTTTCCGCCACCAATGACAATAATATTATTAACCTTTAGTGACCCGTGCTTGTATTATATTGTAGGCATCTACGGAGGGTACGCCAGAAGCTGTGTGGCGAAAACGATCGAAGACAACGTCGAGAACGAGTACATAGTAACCGACGAGAATGGATGCGCGACCGACCCGACGATATTCGGCGAGTGGGACTACAACGCGGATACCCAATCTCTGTTGGCCGGTTTCAACGCGTTCAAGTTCCCGAGTTCCGACAACATACGATTCCAGTGTAACATACGCGTGTGCTTCGGCAAATGCCAACCGGTAAGTACTGCTGTTAAGTGTATAGATAAAACATGAATAACATTTTCCACCGACAGTGTCCGTCGTATCGATGGAGTAGACGTGTCGATGATCTTGGAAAAGTCTATACCTACCGGATTTGAATAAATTTATCGCGTAAATTCGTAATCATACACTTAATATACTGTGATTGAGACGTTTAGGTGTACTGGTTACTTGGCTAATATATTTTTTTCTTTTTTTCATAACGATTTAATATTTATTTGGGGTGGTTAAAAGTTTATAAATTTCGCCACATTAAAAATAATGTTTCGAATAGTGTAACTGTCACTCACAGTAATTTAATACCTAATGAATTTATTCAAATTATGATTATTTTTATTGTTTAAGTGTATTTTGAGGCTATATTTTTAAACACTTCGACTATTTAAGGAGTATACTATGATAACACAAACTTAATTTTTTCAACCTTCTCCTTTTTATGTACATTTTTAAATGATTTTATTCTTAAAATATTGAACATAATATATATATAATATATTTTAATCTATAGGTATAGCTTATTCCCATAGATAATTTTTAAAAATTATTAAATTTTAGTAGATTAAAAACAATTGTACCCTGAATTCATTATGGATCTAATAGAAGATAGATAACACTTATAATAACTCAGAAATCACTTTTTTGAAAATCAATTAATATAGGTACTATAGGTACATCAACATTTAAAAAAGAAATTATGTTCTTTACAATTTTTATTTTAAAAAATCAAATTAGTAGTATTGCTATTCTAGGTACATCCAACTATCTAAGCTTTTGAAAATATAGTCTATCGAATCTATATTTATCCACATTTGAATTCAAAAATTAAAATTTGAATAAGTGCATAAAGAAAAAAATGTTGGGCGAATATGCGCCTGCAACATAATAAATTAAATTATACAATAAACAGTACAGTAACTCGTTCAAAGACTGCACCAGTTGCAAATTGCAAGCATAATGACTAATGAGACAATGATGACGAATGTGCCTTAAAAATCTATTTATATTAAGTATTATCTAATAGTCACTAGGTACCGACGTTCGACGATGTGGCGACGTGGTAGGGCGAAACAATAACGATTTGTACACACAATCAGCAATCCCCACTGTCATATAATACGCGTTTAATAGGACTATATTAGGAGGTAGGTGTGTAGACATCATGTCTTACCGCCTTGGTGTATATCATACCAAATGTTGATATCGTCGCACACGATCGCCGATAAAAATCATGAGTCTAAATTTCTAGTGCGCTGTCAAATTAAGATCTCGGCTTAGGAAAATACTTTGTCTCGAATGTTCCTATTATTCCCCCTCTTCTCGCTGTTTTTTATAAATGCTTTACATTTTTATCTCAAGCACACGTGATTGATTTAATAATTAGCAAATCAACGTAACAATTAAAGTGTAAGGACAAATGGTTTTTTTTGAGAAGGAGTGCGAAAGTTCCACCTTTGCTCATCCCTAGCCTCTTCGTCAATGCGTTTCTCCGGTGTTTCGTATAACTCATCGAACTGTTGTTGCTTGCAGGTGAATTGCCGCGGCTATAACGCGTTTGGAAGACGCAGGAGACGTGAGATATCTAAAAACAACAACGGACCAGACGACGACGCACTTGAGTCCGCCCAGCGAGGACAGCTGAGAGAAGAGATCACGATCGAATCGAACGCCATTTTAACGTTCGAACGCAGGGAAGAACGACTGATGGACCCGACTGAAGGTACGTTGCACTGCAATTTCATTCGGCTATTATATTATGCACTACATGCTGCAATGTTAATAATATATACGTCATCGTTGGCCTTTGTGCGGGGGATAGATGGAAAGCCCGTCGACGATTTGATTTCTGATAAACGAATTTGTCGATCTCGCACTGCACTCTCGTGTTTTCTCCTCGCCTAATAAGCCGATTCGGTTGACGTCATCGACGGCGAGCGTTATTGCTATCCAATTATACGTTTGACCCACTCTCGTTCACTTTTACTTTCACCGATCTGGCTTATTATCAGTGTAGAACGTAGTAAATATATTTCAATATTTAATTTTAGAATACTATGTCAGAGCACCTGTGAATTTTCAGATCCCACAGGTTGCTGTCCCTTTTTTATCTACCGTTTTTTATTGAGAATTTTAACAGATTTCGGTGAAAATTTATTCTTAAAAATGATGTTACTAAAAATACATAAAATTATAATCGATAGTGACAGGTACCTCACCGACCCAGGTGATTTTATATTTAATTAGTACTTATTCGTCAGTGTTCGGTATGAAGTTGTGTCGCAAACGACCAACATTGTATTCATCAATAAAATTTTAGTGATTATGAACGCAACGTGTATTCATTCTGCACAAATATTACACAAACGTACAAAATAAACTATATTAATATGTAAATATTTTGATACGGCCAATAGGGATAGGGGGCATGGGCGCATGGCCCACTAGCCTCCTTGGCTACGTCACTGATTAAATAAATATATACCTATTTTATTACGTATCTTTTTCGGAAGCTTGAATACAGCTCGATTAAATAAAACCTGTACATTTGTATGACTATATTGTGTCTAGAAAGACGATATATTTCTTTGGGCTTTAGGTCGACACTTATTCTCCGCTAGAAAATACCCAATCTCGGGGAGATCGTCGATATCGTTGGTAAACATTGTGGGAGGGTGAAAAATGCTTATCCCCCCACGAAATCACGACTAGACGACGCAATAACAATTAAATTTATTTTTATGCTCTTGTACTAAAGTTTTTCGTCTTTTGTCTCCCCTCCCATTTTTAGCTCCGATTATTCAACCCGCCGAGGACATTTGCGTGTCAGTCATCGGGCTCATCGTGGCCCTCGTCATCACAGCCCTGCTTGCGCTGGTGGCCGTAGCCGTGGCTGTTTCGTGTTGGCTGATGGCCTACAGGAGAACGCCGAATGTCAACGGTCCACTGCCGCATCCGACTCAAGTGCCGAATCCGATGTTCATGAATCACGACCGGACGTCTTCCGAACCGTCACCGGATTACCTGACATGATGATAACAACGAAGACTAAGACGACGACGATTTTTTGTTTTTCCGTCGTCACAATTATTACTTATGACTTTTATTATTTCACATGAAAAAAAAAAAAAATGTCATACCTATTACCACCCCCTTCCCCACATATAACAGTCGGGTTGTAAGCGCCCAACAAATTATATTATTATTATATTATTTTTATTATTTTATAAATACCTATACACTGTTTTACGACTGTTAATCGTTTGCCATGTTTTGCGCTCGACAAAAGTCTCACGGGCCTTTAATTAGCTGTAGACACTCGTCGCGTTCTGATCATTAAAAATAACAAAAAAATATATTACATTTAAGAAATTACACGGCGTAACAACGACGTGATAATAATCGCAGACTTTGGGTTGGGAAAACGCAACAAAAATGGTACCCCAAATTACCGTAACACAAATATAATAATATTATTATCCGATACTATAACGAGACGACGAGTGTTCCCCGATTAGAGGCCTTTCTGTGAACTAGACGCGATATAATTAGTCAAAACTATTCAATTAAAACGTAAATAATTGTTTCCAACGCACACATTGCGTAATTATTTATGTTTTAATTGTTGTATGGACATCTCTTCCGAACGCTTACGCTGCGAGTTTCGTGGCTTAATTAAATACGTATAGGTATCTCACGCACAGACGTGTCGTCATTAAAAAATATATATTTATATTATACATTTATTAAAATATTTTTGCAATCCGACGACTTGTCGTGCGATAATACATTTTTCTTCGATTAGGTAACGTTAAAAGTCGTAAGCTTTCGGAAGACTTGTTCAATGTTAGTTTTAAGGTGTATGTATATGTGTGTGTGTGTGTGTGTGTGTGTGTATGTGTAATATATTAGATTTAAATTTGTATAATCGTTTTAACATTTTAATCGAATGTTGTGTATGAAAGTGTGATATATAAATAACTATTAATTTATTAACAAAATAAATAATTTAAAAAAAAAAAAGAAAATTAACTTCCTAAATAAACATATTATTATATTATTTTCAGTCATTAGAAAATTGTTAAAAATGACTAATTTTATATACATATATTATAATATTATATATTACTCCTACTTAAATCAAAACTGTTAAGTATTCTTTTCAAGTCATTAATTAACAAATTTAGGCTCTAGAATAAATTTATAATGTGTAATAGTAATTAGCCGTAAGTACCATTTAAGATTGTCTTTTATTGAAATAAAAATACTATAACACTTTAACTTAATATTTCGGTATTGCATTTTACAAACATTGTGTAACAGTTATTTTTTTTTTAGAAATTTAAAATTAGATACTTAGAATTCAATACTGTGTGATAATATTATGAAAATAATAATTAAACGAATATTATGCTTTTTTAAAAACTGTTTGTCACTTATTTTTGTCACTTTGTAATTAGCCGCGCTAATGGTGAGGGGGAAGCAAATCGAGCAACCATCCTATCATGGCCCCCGGGGGCGTCGAAGATTTTAACATTTTTAGTCACACAAAACTTTAAATATAAATTTAAGTTCATACTTTTGCTGGTAAGTATAGTGTATTTAAAAATAGGTACCTATGCGGCTATGTGTTGTATTGTTTAAGTAATGTAGGTACCATTAATATTTCATGATGACGGAGAGGTTAGATCAAATCAGCAATGCAATAGGTTTGGGTGGTACCTACATTCTAAAAAGCATATCAAGTAATAAGTTTCTTATACAGATAAAGGTAATATAGTGTGTGCTTGTGTACCGGCTACCTAAATATTTCAAGCTCATCAATCGTGTGACATTCAGCCGCAGCGCCGGATTGGGAAGAAATTACTTACCGGGCTGTCCACCTAGACCGGCCCAAGTTCCTAAACAATTTTTTTCTTAACCTATCAAATTTTATTAGTAGAGGCATATAACAAGATTTAATTTTTAGACCCTTAAAATGTAAATACAAGCACTACTATACGTATATAGCTGTCATTATATCAAGACAACGATTTTTATCATAGATTACATATTTACATTTTAGAATCACATTTTTGTCTTTTGATGTAGAATAAACTATGGATAAGATATTTCCGCTGATTCAAAATATCGTCAAACCGGCCCAAAATCTTTCGAATTTTTAACGGCTCGCCGGGTTTTGCCCGGTAGCCCGCCGGCGCAATCCGGGCCTACTATTCACAGTAAGCATGCGGCCCATAGGTATACGTATAGCATAAAAAAAACACCCTTTTTATTTTTTTCTTGTTCATTAATGTGATAGGTAAGTATTTTACTACAAAATTGAAGGCTTGCGGCCTACTGTGCTGTAGTAGAACAGTGACACAGTGGCCCGGTCCAGGCCCGATGACATCCTATGACCAATATGCAAATCATTTGACAGCGGTTGTGTTGGAGTTCTTGCAGTTTACGAGTCTATGTGTACTTGTAGACTCTAATCGATGGCGAAAAACCATTAAAAACGAAGCGAAACGTAAGAGTCAACCTAATTATTTGCCGTCACACCTAATTACATACCTACGTATTAGTTCTATCGATGTAATATTGTAATATTATACCTACCTTCTAAGTACTTACTAAAATACTAAATGAAGATGAACATGAATTGCACCGGTGAAGTTGCTAAATTTTCAAAACTTATGGTTAGAAGAAAACATTTTCGTAAGTTTAATCATTGATTATAAATTATAATCTATGGTCTAATATTACTTTTTTTTTTTTCTTTAGAAGAATATATTTACAATCTATTTTTACAATAATCAGTAAGTATACTGTAATCATATTATATTAATACTAAATATACACTGAAACCACGATTTATTTTTTATATTTAGTAAATTATTATTTACTTGCTGATCTGCATATTTTGATACTACAAGTCTGTTCTGTACACAATACCTAACATTTTTTATCACCCGCATTTTAAACGTAACTCCCTCTTAGTTTTTATTTATGACAGGTATCAATTAATTATAATTCAAGTATTACTTTAATTAACAATTAAACAAAAATTTCCTTAATCTCAAAACGTAATTTAAAAATAATAAACCATAAAAATACAACACTCTTTTCAATCCAATATTCTTTATTAAAAACATATTTTCATATAATTCAATATTACAATATAGTGTGTAGTAAATATTTTAACTGTTTACAAATTGTTTTCAGAAAAAAAATAATAATACACTTAAAATAAAAATTATTTTAATCTTAGCACATTAAAATTCAACATTCAGAAAATATTTATGGCAATGTAGTATTTTATAGAAACATAAAGTAATTGATTTTGACTAAAATTATAAATCACTAAATATATTCCTCGGAGGCTCCCATGTACTGTTAGGTCTTGTACTCACACTGGGCAACTGTCTCTCTACATCAGGTGTATTGTTAGTACTATAACTATGATATGATCGATCAATGGGATCAGCATTGTCCAACAAATATGATTTCATGTTGTCTTTCCGAGATGGTGGAACTCCTAATAAATCATAATTAATCATTAACACTTTACATTTTAAATTATAAAAATACTATAATATACATACTTTCTTCAACATCTTCATTTGTATTTTGTATAGACCTTTCTCTATATTTACGACGCATTTCATTACCTCGTATTTTACGTTCACGCCTTTCTTTTTCTAAATTCAAAACAAACAGTTTGAGCATCAACTAATAGCTTTTAGTAAAATATTATACAATATCTACCTCGAACAACAAGCAAACGCCCTTCTTGAATGTAATCGATCACCAAATCATCATCTTCTAAAAACTGAGGAAATCCTAAAATGGACAATATTCTTGTCCCAACGTTAAAATAAGTTGCTAAACATACAGCAACTATGAGGGTTGGAAAGTATACATTGAAACCATCACTGATTATTGTAATAACATCCATATGTCCCATTATCTGGAAGAAAAATAACTCAAGGTAATAAAAGTATAAAATTATTCATACCTAACCGTAAAATCAAATGGAAAATTATAAATATAATAAATAATAACCAATAGTCACTATAATAGAAGTATCAAATTTGAATTCAATAATAGTATTATTAATATAGATAAAAAACAATCCTGAATGGATGGTATAATCATAGACCTATTATAATAAGGTTATAAGGTCTATGGGTATAATATACTGTTGATAGTCTATATCACTAAGTTTATTACAAATTGTGTTTTTTGATATTGCTATTACAAAGTTTTTTTTTAGTTTTAGTATTACTTATTACAGTTGAATGAATTAAATTTTACCAAAAATATTGAACTTGAAAATATAATTGTGTATATAAAGTTTAGTTATAAACTTCAAAATTTTATGTCCCCATAAATAATATTTTTTTAAGTTTTAAATTATAACAAAATAATGAATATCGTTAATTATAATCTAAGTATAAAATGTATAAATTTGTACTTAAAATGTCGATAAAAAAAATCATGTTTATATATATTTTAGATTTTTTTTGTTTTGATAAACTACTTAATAGAAATTTTATATTTTATATTTAAACCTTGGATATAAAAATTACACACTTCAACTATTAAAATACAACATGAAAATGTTCATAATTTAGAAAAATTTTCTCAAAATTTAAATTTCATATGCAAAAATAAATGTTGTATATACGTTTAAAATATTTTTTTATATCTAGAACAACTTATATAATCTTGTACTAAATTTACAAACTTTTTGACCAAACAAAAAACTTTTAATAATATTTATAAAAATAAAAAAAAATTGAGAATTTCAAATTTTATAAATAACTTAAGAAAAGTTGTGATTTTGAAAATGTTACCAAGCATAAAAATTAACCATTTAAACATAAAATGAAAATTTCAAGTATCTACAGTTATTAGTTTTTAATTATAAAAAAAATCAAAAATATTTTAAGAAGAAATAATTATTTTATAGGTGAATATGCTATCATAAAAATTTTAACTTTAAGCACTCAAATTAAATTGATTTGATTTATTGATTGAATTTTTTTTTTATATAGGTTGTTAAATTTATGTATTTCTAACTATAACATTTTTAAATATTTTACCCAAAAAATAATCATTAGTCAATGTTTATACAAAAAAAAATAAAAATAAAATAAATTAAAAATTTCAAATATCTATAAATAGCTCAAAATATTTTGAAGATTTTACTTGATACAATAGTACAGAGGTCACTAACCTTTTGGACTTCACGGACCACTAAAACTAAACCCATAACTCTAAATTCTACGAACTACTTATACTCATGAGTCTTAAATACCAAATTTAAAAAAAAATTAACGCATATTTTATAAAATATTAATAAAGAGTTGTAAATAACAAAATTATTTAAGTTAGTTTAATTATTATTGATTACAAAAAAAAAATAAAAGTTAAAATGAAGATTGGATTCAAATCATTAGTAGTGTTCTTAGAACGTATTGCAATAACGACAAGCATACCTACAATATTATACAATACAATATATATACTATACAATAGGGGTGGCCAAACAGTCGATCATGTTAGAAATTAATTTAAGGCTACGCACACGAAAATTAATTATTGTGGTATAATAACTTAATAATAAAAAAAAATTTTACCTGGGTATAATCAGTTTCAAGAATACGACTCTTTATTACATGACTATCCATATGAATAAGTCCAAGGAAATTTAAACACATTGGTGAAGTTAAACGACTCAACAACCTATAATGGTAATATTTAATTATTCAAATTCAAATAAATTTTAAACTAGTTAAATACTTACAGTCCAAAAAAGATTAAACTACTTTCAGTAGTTTGATGGTTTGGTGCTAGGTAGTATATGTTAAGCAATTTTATCTTAAATATTGTTGAATACGTACAATATGCCAAATAAGCAATGGATAATGTAGATAACACCTAATAATATCAATTTGGTGACAATTAAAAATCAACATTTATACATAATCTTTAATTAAAGTTATATTTACTTTACCTGTATCATAACATAATCATTGTTTTGTTTTGCCAT